GCCCAAGAACGCCACCATGTTGGCATTGCCACGGGCTTTTTTTGGCGGCGGCCGGAGGAGCCCGGGCGCGGCCGCGGGAATCAGGGGCGGCGACTTGACGGCGGGCGACTCGACGACGGGCGACTCGACGGTGGTCGTCGGCGTGCTCTCGTCGCTCTCGGCGTCGTCGAGCGCCTTGGCAATGTCCTCCTCCATGGCCGCGTCCTTGGTCGCCGACTCGCGAATGTACGACGAGACCAAGTCGACGTTCCGAAGCGAGCTAAAGATGCTGTGGTTCTCGTCATCCTCGTCATTGTCGTCGAACGTCTGCGTCGTGAGGCGCGTCGGCGTCGGCGGTGTCGCAACGAGGATCGATTTCTTGGGCACCGCCGAGAGGTCGGGCGCCGCAAGCTTCTTCTCCATCGACAGCGGTGCTTGTTGTTTCTGGTGCTTGTTGGAGAGCTCCCACCACTTCTTCGACGCCTTGTCCTTCTTCGCCGGACTGTTGAGCGTCGCATCCTTCGTACACATCTTCTCGAGCGCGACGGCGACCGGGTTGGGCTTCTTGCTTTCGTGTTTTTTTGCAAAGTCAAAAAGCGAAACGCGACACCCGTCCGCCTGGGACGGCTCATCAAGCGCGAGCTTCTTCTGCATGCTGCTGCCGTCAAACGAGAGCGACGGCGTCATGGACGGCTCGGGCGTCGAGTTGGCGAGGGTTTGCCCAAGGCTGCTACCGACGGTCGCGCCCACGGCCCGGCGCGTGTTGCGTGGAAAGTTGAGGAGCGCGGTCGACTTGCCAGTCAGCCGAAGCGACGTGTCGCCGTTGCGCGCTGGCGAGTTGCCGTGGCGTACGTAGCCCGGGTCGTGCCCCGCGACCGAGAGGCCTCGGCTCCGATTCGACGTCAAGTTTTTGGGCCCGGCAAGCTGCGACAACCGGTCGTGCAACACTGGCCGAGCGTCGTCGACGGTCGTCGTGCTGCGGTGCTGGACGGGGTTCCTGCTGTTCATGACCTCGTCAAGCCACGTTTCGGTGGGGCGAGGGGCGTACTCTTCGTCACCCGTTGGGCTACTGTCACTCGTGGCCGAGTTGGTGCGCTCGAGCACGTGCGTCGTGTAAATCATGCACTTGGAGACTGGCGTGTCAATGTCAATGAGCAGCTCGTCCGTGCTCTCGCTAGGAACGTCGTCGACAGGCAGGCTCATGCTGCGACCCCGCGTATAGCTTCCTATGCCTCGGAGGCCGCTGCTTTCGCTGCGCCCGCGCGACATGGCCAGCGGGCGGGCGCCGGTCTCGGTGCGTCGCCGCATATGGACCGAGGATCGCTCTAAGGCAGCCGCGCCGCATGAGCTTCCGGGCGCCATCATCGTCATGGAGGTACCCGACTCGCTTCCGGTCCACTCGGGCGGACTGCCGCCGGGCAGCTTGACCGGTTGGAAGAACGTCGTGGTCATGACCCGTCTTCCGCGCGGATGGGACTAAAAAGAAAAACTAAGTAGGTGCCCTTACTCTGCCGGGCCATAAACACTTGCAGTGGAATTTAATTACCTTGGTGTTTGTATGTCAACTTTTAAAGATACGATTCCGACGTCCTGATTCGCTCGCTGTATCCGGACGACACAGTCGTTCTGGATCTTTTAAAATAATTCATTACAAATTGCAAGAGAAAGGTATGCATTGTTTTCACCTCCAGCAGCCGCAACCGGAGGATCAGGAAGCGCTAATAATAATAAAATAAAACGCACACGACCGTTCGAGCCGATGGCGACACCTCTAGCAGGCCGACGCAGCAGCGGACCGACGTGGCGGCCGGACGGAGTGACGGCCAGAGATCGCGGATGGGCGCTGGCAAATGGCGTCATACGTGGAAGTCTGTCGTCGTCAGGAACAAGCGAATTTAAAGTGCCCTCTTGCGACATGCCATCGGTCAGGTACACGTCCTCCAAGTGGACGCCGCCATGCGATCTCACACATCGATTGAAGGCAATCACTCTTATGTCACATGAAGGTCATCACCTTATTGACGATGCGTGGCCAGTCTACTTGGCGACAGGGTAGACGCAGCGAAAGGAGTAGGTAGTGGGGCAACGATGGCCTCGGCTTCAATCCGTGTTACCAACTGCAATTACAAGCGCGAACAAATTTCAGCGCAACGACCACCGTTTGGCGCGATCCTACACCGATTACACCCACGCCGTCCTTGAAGCATTGCGGGACGGGCGATGCGCGATGTCACAGTCGTTATCGCGCCCGATGACACAAGAGACACGGCTGTACGTCGTCGTCGTGCACTCATTCTCAGTTGGCCGCTATCTGGACATGCCGGTAGCGCCCATGATGGTGTAGCCGACGACGCTGCTTACAGGTACCCAAAAACAATGGTTGGAGCTGATAGGAGATGCGCCGACGTTCTGGTCAAGTCGGACAGACGTACATAGCTCGACAGCTTTGGTCCTAATAGCTTCTCCGTGCATAGGCGCGCTGCGGCTGGCGGCTACCATTGAAGCTTCTGCAGCCACGATAGGAGGTGCGACTGATGCACCGATGGCTGTGGTCGTAGTACAAAGAGAGGCTAGCACTTGCTGGAGCGTGTACTATCGAGGTTGAGCACGACGCGGCTGGCACATGCTGTGTGCCAAATGATCGGCTTCCGCTGCACCGATCAGCTCACTGCACCTATGAAGGCGGTCGGGCGAGCCATGGCATGGTCTCGGCAAGGCGATGCACCAGCGACGCGTGCGGGCCGCGAGGACTCGGGCGTCTCAACGCTAAAGGTTGCGATCTTTTGGGCGGTCCGGATACCGGAATATTAATTTAATATTGCCTATTTTTACTCTCCACGCTTTTCCGGACAGCTCAGCATTTGAACAAGCCGCAGGAAGAGGGCCGATGGACCAGTTGCAGCCGATATTCCCCGCGATCCCCGCGCCCGTGCTTGAGCAAGTGGTAGGCGCATGCGGTAGGAGGACTCATGACAACAGATCATTAGCTCCGCATCTACGACCATAACCTCGAGGCGGCGACCGACTACCTCCTCGAGAACAACTGGGAAGAGCTCCAGATGCACAACAACACGCGTGGCGCCGACCCGCATGCGAACGGCCACGATGGAGCTGGCCATGGGCATGTCGAAGATGACCTCGACGACGATGAAGGCGACGAAGGCGAAGGCGACGACAACGACAACGACGACGACGAAGACGATGAGGATGAAGACGACGAGGACGACGACCACATGTACTACGAGTCGGGCGACGACGGCGAGGCCGGCTTTCGCCATCGCCAGATCCCGCCATTGGCGAAGCGCGTCAAGATCACAACGTCGGCCGATGGGTCCAGCACCGAGCGCTTCTGGGTCGCGTGCGACTCGGACACTGTCGAAAAGTCCATGATTGGTAGGATGGTGATATCGCGAAGCGGCAAGCCCAAACTATTTCTTGATGTAGAGCTGCTTAACATTTTCATTGAGCAAGGTTGCCCATCAACGCATCGTGCTCCTCAACCAAAACACCCGCGTCATCGACAAGGTATCCCTCGTCAGCTCCTTGAAGGTTCTTGACCAGCGTTGCAGGCCAACGCCGAATTGCAGCTGCATGCACCACAGCCCACCGAAGCGACCACCGCGTCGTTGAAGCGCAAGCTGCCCGCAACCGAGCCCGAGACGGGCCGTGGCTATTTTGTACGCCTCCTTATTACCGCAGGGCCACGTTCGTGAGACGTGTACTTCTTTCCGATTGCCGACTTGGACATGGTGTGGCGCTCCGTCTTGCACGCGCACGTCTTTAACAAGCGCTTTGGCGACGTGATCGAGTTCCACACCGCGTCGCCAGGCCCGTACGCTGTGTCCCTTGATCGCTCTACGTAGAGAACGCCAATAACCTCTGGTATAGGATGGGCACCAAGGCCTTTGACGAGCTCTTCCATATCCACACGCACCAGCCGCGCTCGACTGTGACGGCGTTTGGCGCGTCCCAGCCGCAGCTCAAGTGCTGCTTGGTGCTGCCGTGCGCGACGACCGACGACGAGATCAACCGCGTCGGGAAAAACGTGTTTAGCCTCCTCAACCTCACAGGCAGCCTCTACTTTCGGTCGTCGTCCAAGACGCTTGGGGACGATGGTGGCAAACTCACGGAAGATGTCTTTCGACGCTACACGACCCACCGCTTGGTGCGCCACGAAGAGGTAGCCGCGTCCATCCTCGTCGCCAAGATGTAAAGCGTTTGGATCTAGGCGCCAACCGAGACGGGCCTGCACACTGCTGCGAACGGCATCCTCGGGTACCAGCCGCCGAAAAAGATTGTGTTCACCCTCGAGCGCCTCGATGCCAACAAGCGTGCCAGGATGCTGAGCGACGACGAGTAGTAGAAGAGACATGCTGCTGGCGTAATCTATTTAACAGACCCTCCTCCTTGCATGCCCGAGATCGAGTCGCTGTAAACGTTGTGCGACGCGACAAGACAGTATCAAGTCGACGGGTAGACCGGTCCTCGGTCCTAGATACTTGATTGCGTAGAATATAAATAATGCAGCGGCGACGACCCACGGGCGGATCGTAACGAGTTAGATCGCCGTCTCGTGCGGGCTGCGCGAGAGGTCGAGCAAGGACGGGAGTTGCCCTTGCGCTTCCGCAGGCTTGTCGAGCGGGAGCTGCAGCGCCGGCCACTCGAATGGCGCTGTACTAAAGTGCAGCACGTCGTCCGGCGACTGCCCGTCTGTGTGGAGCTCGAGAAAGCTCTGGGGTTCCTGCGGGGTCGGGCGCTGCTCGTGGAGCGAGAGGAGGCTCCAGCACGTGTCCACGTTGGCGTTCGGGGACTGGTTGAGGACGGTCTTGACGAGGCGAATGAGCGTCTCGACGTCGTGCTTGAGCGAGAGAAGGAGCGCGTTGTCGACGATCGTCGACGTGGATGACATGGGTTCGGACGACGACGAGGACGCGCCCGAGTCGGTCGTTCGCTGCTTCTCGCGTCGCTTCCGGTCGCTCTTAAGCTGATGGGCGTTCTGGCGCATGCGGTGCATGGAGCAGAGCGAGTGGAGCGTCCCGTTGATCTTGCGCGTCCGGGGGTTCAAGCACTTGCCGAACTTGTACGTGCAGAGCGAGGTCTTATCTTCCTCTTCCTGCGCATGGTCGTCTTGGGCGCCGGTCTTCCATGCTCCTCCCCCCTTCCGTGGGGTCGTCCAAGCGCTCTTCTTCGCCATGCTAGTCTTGTCTTCTTGCTCGGGAAATCGCGACTGCGATCGTCCAAGATCCAAGTGCAAACTCGAGCGCGCGTTGCATGTCATTGGTTCGTTGGATTTGTTTTTGGCCAATCATCGTGGGCGATTTTGGCACCCAACCCACCACAACACGAAAGTCGATACGACCAAGATGCTGCGGCTGCTGCAGAAGGCCGCGGCCCTCGTCGCCCTGGCGCCGGCCGCGATCGCCCTCACGTGCGACGATGCAACCGTCAACTGGGTCTGGAGCGGGGCCATGACAAGCTCGTCGCTCCGTCTTCGCGTCTCCACGAGCATGACACATCCCGGCTGCGATCCCGACGCAGTCCAGCTCCACGTAACGCAGGTAGAGGTGGCCAGTACTATGGCGTAGGAACTCTACTGCATGCGGTAGGCGGCCGGTGCATCAAGCGTGTACCAAGGCGCCAAGCAGGCCATGGGCCCATCGACGTGGCTCCTCGACTTCCACGCCACCGTATACCGTCTTGGCTTGGTCAAGCGTACTACCGTCATGTGGGTAGGACCTGGTGCCGGGCCCGATGCAGTACGAAGTGCGGTATGGCGCCGGCACGTACGTTCTCTCGCGTCCTCCTCGATCGAACTCGACCTCGCCGTGTCCAGGGTGCTCAAGGCGCAGACAGGCGCGATCTCGCTACCGCCGGCGCCAGGGACACCCACGTCGTTTGAGATTGCCTTTTCGTCTTGCGCCGACCAAGACTCGAACCCCAAGGTAACCACGCTCGCTACCTACACGTGGCACGGCGACACGGCGCTAGGTCTTTGAGACCATTGCCAAGCACAACCCGCTCTTCTTCCTCCACATGGGCGACCTCCACTACGACAACATCGAAGTCAACGACGTCCACGTGTTTCGCAATGCGTACGATCCATGTTTGCCTCGCCTGCCGGCAAGGTACGCGTCCATGTCTTGAAAGGAAGAGGCCTTAGGCTCTGTCGAGGCGATGCTCAATATGGATCTGCCCATGGCTTACATGTGGGACGACCACGACTTTGGTCCGGACAACAGCGACGGCACCGCGCCAGGTCGAGAAGCGTCGCTCCAAGCCTACCGAGAATACGTGCCGCACTACCCGCTGCAAGACAAGTACGCCGAAGCATCTCGATTTCAAAACGAACGGTTGTCACAGGCCCGGCGTCACCGCACCGAATGAGCGGCCGGTGCAGCAAGCCTTTACCATTGGGCGTGTCCGGTTTCTCGTCACCGACCTGCGGTCGCAGCGCACGCCCAACACGGACCCCGATGTACCCACCAAGACGGTCTTGGGCGCAGCACAAAAGCTTTGGTTCAAGCAAGAATTGGTGCGTCTCCTGACGACGCAGAAGGGCGACATCTCTGCACTGTGTAGCTCGCTGCTTCGTCGCCCGAGAGCGCAGTGGGCCTCATCGTCTGGGTGAATACGATGCCGTGGATCGACGACGAGCGCAAGTGGGGGTTCGTGGCCCATTGTGGACAATATTGTCCTACGACAGGGTGTCCCTAGGCACTTCAAGCACGAGCAAGCCGAGCTCGTGGCCTTTCTCAGCGAGCACGAGCTCAACACGCGCGTCCCGATCGTGATTGCGAGCGGCGATGCGCACATGCTGGCGGTGGATGATGGCAGCCACAGTCCCGGGCACCTGCCCACGTTCCATGCCGCTGCGCTGGGCCGTCCGGGCTCGATCAAGGGCGGGCCGTACAGCCACGGCGCGATCCCAGGCTCGGGTATCTATCTAGCTTTGCCTGAATTGCATGGACGCGACTGTGGTCCGTAGGACACTTTGGCTTGATGCACTTTGACGACGATGGCAGCCGTATTTGCGTGCGCTACAGCGGTCGCAACCTGCACGACGACGAGCTCTTGGCGTACGATACGTGCCATCCCGTGGCCGGAACTGCGTATTACCCGCCGCCGATCGTGGTGCGCCAGCTCACGCGTGGCTTCCGGAAGCTCTGCTCGCGCGCCATGACCAAGTGGCTCCGTGCGTCGCCGTTGGAGCTGGTGGCGCTTGCGAGCCTTGTCCTTGGCCTCGTTGCTCTGCTGCTCGTGCGCAAAAAGCAGTTTCGCCAAGCCAAGCGGGACTAGAAAGCAGCGAACGAAGAATCTCTTTACAAGGGAGTAATATGCAATGGCTGGAACTGGTATTGATTGCTAGCATGGAGGGCACGAAGCACGCAATGGCCCGTCGACAGCCTAGTGGTGAGTCGACGTGGCCTCGTCGCGCCAATCACAAGCTTCGTTCTCAACGCATGACCACCAACTCACAAGTTTGGCTCGTTGAATCAACCAGCAACACTTGATACAGAAGGGCCGACCAGAAACAACGAGACGCCGGCCGCCATAACCAACGGATCAGCGCGAGGGGACCCAGAGATCACTCACTCCTCACGGTGCTAGCTCCCGTGCCGAGGCGTGAAGGCCACTCTACGACGCTCATCGGGAATCAAAGGAAGTAATGCGATAAGAATAGGAAAAGCTACGCCTGTGGAAGCAGGAACGACGCGATGCCGAGGGTGTCGAGGAGCGCTTCAAAGCCGATGGCGAACTCGACGTACTGCAACACGTTCGCTGCGTCAAAGCTGTAGCAGATGACCGCGTCGTTGGCCAGGTGCGCGTGCCGCTCCGTCTTGGCCGACCGACTACATGTATATATCCGACCTCGGCAACTGGAGTGCGCCACGTACTGTGCCGGTGGCAACGACAGTCGCATCGCTTGGGAGACCACGAGCCGCTTCGCGTGCGTTAACCGGTTGCACGCAATGATGCTAAACGTAAAGGCCACGTCGCCTTCGCTGCACGCGATGCCCAGCGGCGCACTCGCGTTGCCTCGGTTCTCGACGAGCTTGCCGTACGATAGGAAGACGCGGAGGGCACTCGAGGCCGCATTGAGGAAGACGCCTTCTTTCTGATGGGGCAGTAGATGCGTGTGGCCTCCTACCCATGCCAATACATTCCAACTTCAAACCTTGACGTTGGCCAAGCCGTACCGATGCGCAGGCCGGCTTCGTAGCTCCAGTCGAGCGGACGAAACGACGTCGGGTTGAAGAGGTAGAGAAGGTACGTGTTGCTCGCGAGTACGTTCATGCACAAGTGGTTCGGCTGCAAGTTGTGCCTACGCGAGACAAAGAGGAAGCGATAAGCTGCGTGGAAGAGGATCCTCGATGCAGGTACCGAATGCTGTTGTCGTCAATGTCGATGGTCATGCCCGCGAGCTCATGGAAGCGCACCGTTTTGTGCCCTACCAGCTAAGCGATGCGTCGCGGTGCGGAGTGCATTGTCGTACCGGTGGCGAGTTCGTTGCAGTCGAGCATGATCGGCACCGAGAGCGGCCGGTATACGACCGAGTCGAGGGAGACCCAGAGCTGCATCATGAGGGGCACGCCCTGGAACGCAGGGTCGTCGAGGGCGTGGTTGCCGCGCAAAAGCACGTTGGCATCCAGGAGCACGGGGGCCGGAAACACCTTTACACAGCACAACCACACACGATGACTATGGTGCATCTGGACGTGCGACAAAGAAGAAGACCTGGAAGAGCTCGCTCTCAAAGAGGAGGGATCCGCGCAGCGCAGCGACCGACGCCATGAGGTTCATGTGTTCGTTGAGCAAGTCGCGCGCTTCGTCGAGCGAGACGAGGCCGATGAGCGCGGAGATCTCTTGGATCGAGCGGTTGATGCGGAGCGAGAGGTCAAACATGCCTAGAGCACGCTGAGTGCTTGCGTCATAGAGGCAAGGCGTACGCTCGCAACGGTTGTACACGGACGCGCGCTCGCGCGAGCACATGAGGCTGCGTCCGTGGTCGATGCGGAAGAAGGTCGTGTCGCCGGCCGCGTTCATCAGGTACACCCGCGCCGAGACGTTGGTCGCGGGTTTGCGCGAGAAGAAGGTGCGCAGCGCAAAGATGCGCCGGTACGACGCCGCCATGTAGCGCACGTGGCCATAGAGCGCAACCACGCGCTCCTTCCACTCGACTTCGCAGAAGCGCTCGATCTCTTTGTTGAGCTGCGTCACGACCAAGAGCTCGGGCACCGAGAGGAAGGGCAGCACGTAGCCCAGCGTGTTCTCGCGGTAGCTACTGCTGGCGTCCAGCGTCACGGGCTCGCTTCCAGGCGGCGGCGCCACAGCGGCGTCCTCGAAGCGCTGGAGCGACGCCACGACTGGCTCGGCGGCAATGTCCATCGTGCTTCCGGTTTCTTTGTACCTATTTTTGCCACGATCCGCACCCGGAGTGCCAACCCGGAGATGCTATTCCCACACATGAGTACACGCCGTTGGACGCTTGGTCGGTTCACGGCCACGATGCAACCCGAGGTTGCTGCGTCAACATGGCATTCTCACACGCGTACTGTAGCGGGCGTCCACGACCACCGACCGCGACAAGCGAAGCGGACGAGCCTGCGCCGTCGCGACAGTCCACCTCCTCTCAAACTCATATCTGCTCGTGCTATGAGACCATCGAGCAACGCCCTAGTCGTGTCTTCGCACGCCCGGCGCGCGTCTGGGCGTGCAATAAAGACACGCCATCGTCTCGCAGACAAGCCATGTCGTGGCTACTCTTTGCATCCACTCTGGTTTCCGCGCATGGCGATCTTCGCAAATGTACTTTCTAAGCGAATTCCGCCTGGCTTGTTCCAATGTGGTCCAGACGCATTTGACTTGCTCGACGTGGCAGCAGGACGCACGAGGTGGAAGATACCAATGCTGTCTTCGCTTTATGGTCCTAAATAGTCGCTACTACAACACACATGGCCGGCCGCTGCTATGGCTACCTCCTACCCGGCCCTTCTCGTCTCCTACCCTACATGTAGTATATACCATGGCATCATCGTCTATGCCCGGTTGAACGTCTGGATGAGCTTGCGCTTCTTCATGTGCACTTCCGGTGAGTACATGATGCCGTCGTACGTCGGCGGGTGCGCCAACGGCTTGGGCTCGCGCGAAAATATCGACTGGAGCGAGGGCAGGCCTGTCCGAGGCGCTTGCGGCGGCAGCGGTGGCAGCGAGACCGTCGTTGGTTGTTGTTGCTTGGCGTGCGTCAGGAAGATGCACGGCGCAACGTACCCGAGGCAGCTCCGGAGGTCTTCGCACACCGGGTGCGTGCACACCTCGGCGTTGGGCACAACCGTCGGCTGCGCGGGTTGACTCCACGGCATGATGTATTGCGTGTGGATGCAGGCAAACTGGCGATCGCCGAGGAAGCACACGATTTGGCAGCCCTCCTGGTACTGGTCGAGCACATACTGCGGCAGCTGCGGCAACGGGTAGTTGAGTGGGTACTGGATCGCGGGCCACCACGACATTTGCGGCGTCCGCACCCAGCAGAGCTGCGGGCCGTCGGCGGGCGGCGCCGGCAGCACCATCTGTGTCTGCGCCTTGCGTTGGAGGTGCAACTTGACCGCTTCACATCGCGGGACAAGGCACGGCGACTCGAAGCCACAGCGCTCCGCGTGGCTAATGAGGATGCGGTACGTCTTGATGCAGTCGGTGCAGTTGGGCTCCGCGTACGGGTGCACGGTCGTGTGATGTAGCACGCGACGCATTTCTGCGCAGCCGCCCGTCGGACACAAATGGCCTTCGTCGGCCGCCGCGCACGACGACGCGTGGCGCACGAGCTGGTCGACGACCTTGCTGTCGAGAAGGCTCGACGATGTGTTGGTCTGCGGCGGCATGCGCGAGAGGTTGTAGTGCAGGCGGAGGTTGCTCAGGCTCAGCGACGACGTGCCGTTCGCGTTGGCCTGCGAAAAGACGGGCGCGTGCGGCTTGGAGGTTTCTTGCTGCCACTCGACTTGCTGCATCATCGCGTACTCTTCGTCGGCGAGGCCACTCTCCATGTCTTCGTCCTCCTTGTTGCCGCGGATCGCGGTCTTGACCTTATCGACCGCGCGGCGCAGCGTGTCCATCATGCTAAAGTCGGGCGCCTGGCGCGTCCGGTTCGCATTGCAGGCCGTGCAGTGGCCGTTCTTCTGCACATAGTACCAGTTAGAGCTACAGCCTGGCGTCGCGCAGCGCGGTGTGCCCGACCCGTACATGTACATCTGCTGCTTCTCGAGGTACGCCCGTCGGGCGGCCGCGCGCTCGCCGAGAATGCGAAGCGCGCGGAGGATCTGGAGCACGAGGAAGGCGCGGCGCCAGGCGCGGCGCGGGTCAAAGGGCGGTCGCGCGACGGCGGGCTGGCGCCAGCCACGGAACGTGATGGGGAACGTCATCTCAAAAACCTGTTGTGGGCCGACCAAGCCCAGCGACCGATTCAATCTTCGCGGCGCCAGCTGGGCGCAACTTCAAGATATTGGCCCTGGCTACAAAGTGATTTGATTTAAGTATGCGTCGACAACGCTTGACACCTTCAAGCTTTGAATATGGGCTGAGGTTTCTTGAACCGGTGGCAAATATCGAAATCGACTGCGTTTTATTCCCGTTTCTTACAAATAGCAAGTGTACAATAAAACGTACGAATAAAAAGCATCGCCAAAGAAAGGCCGGCGGATAAGATTCCGATGAGAAAATAAGCCGACGCAAGGATACAACGGCGTGAATTTGCTCCGCGACCATCTGGGCGGAACGGCGCCGCTTGTGATCAACCACCTCGCAACGGAACCTTGAAGGCCACCCAGTCGGCCGCCCCTTGCAGCTCGTTTTGATATACCCCTCTGGACCGCGCTACTTGGAGGCCGCAATTGCGCTCTGCAAGCTAGAGTACCGTGTACATGCAGGTGTAAATGCATTCCATGAGGTGGTGGAAGAAGCCCTACACACCGACGACAAGAGACGCAACGACGTCGCACGCCAGAATCGGGCGACGTAAATTGAACACCTTGGACTCTGCTCTTCGATTCGCCGCCATCAAGAGAAAAGTAGATGCAATCGGCATCTCAATCCGTTCGTTGTGGAAGGCTATGGCGTCGAGCCTCGTTGAAGACGGCATGCGTTCGCGCTCGTTCGGCCGTGGTCCACACCCTGTCGATCCATTGCAGCGATTGTTGAAGTGTACCGAGCGCATCCATAACACGCTTGGTACAGTTATAACGCGCGATCTTCGTTTTGATGGGCGTCTTGTATGGACGTGTCCCAGCCTTGGCCAAAAATGCGTGGTCGAGAGCCGAGGGCCGGCGCATGTACACTGTACACGGAGGCGACGTTCTGAAGCTACTTGTAGCACGTTCGCGGCAACTGAACGCCCGCGACAAGGCCGCGTCGGCGCACCCATCTTCTTGGCATCAAATTATTTATTACATGATTGTGGAAGGGCTCGAAATGGCTTTCCTCGTGCAATCATGCAGAGCCCTTGGCATGTCGCAGTCGTCGCACATTCAGCGCTCTCTTTCGCGGTCTGTCTCGCAACCTACTAGCATAGCATAATCGAATGGTCCCCTGGAGTCGACTTGCGGTATTAAATTGTGGCGCTGGGGATTGGGCGCCGCGTTCTGCTTGCTCGATCGCACGTCAGTCGAGATGATAGGTCGCGTCGAGGCAATTCAGCGCGCAAGCATCCTCTTCTCTGCACTCGTTGGGTATTCTTCAGGTTCCTTCACTTGGCTTTGGACGGAACGCTTGTATCAGCTATCACGACGATGGCGGCGGCTGTTGCTTTCGTGTTATCCTAACGTCTTGAGTGGGTCGACTACAATTTTTAACGCTATTCCTAGCACGCCATTGCCAGCTTGGCCATTGCAGGCGCAGGCAATCCAAGCGCACTCTGATATCGAGTCGGTTTTCTTCCTCGTACGTACGCCAACCCTTCGCACCACCCAAGGAAGCATCTTGACGACTGATGTCATCCATTGCAAAAACCCACCCTTTCCTCACGCGACCTAGAACCAAACACGACAATACTCATACTACAGTTCTTGCTCGACAAGCGGCTTGAAGCGAGACAACATTGTTTCCACCGCGTTGTCGTCTGGACCATCTTGACCTATCCAATCCGACGTCGATCGCAGGGCTATTATACCCCTGCGATCGGCCCTGTAGCCGCGCAACTCGATAAAGTCCAAGACTTTACCCTACGAACAATTGCACGCAACTATTACGATACCCGACGTGTCTGAATATCGCACTCTTTTGCCTCCCGTTATCTCCAGTTTGATGGAATATGTGCAATGCACAGATTGTCCCCGAAGATCCACGTCGTCGTTCGTCGCATTTGGACCAATCATACGCATTGGCGTCTCCTGATTGGCTACAATTCGGATCCGTTACACCTAGCGGTTAGTCGGGAAGAGCATGTTCGAGCGCTACATCGAGGGGCTCGTCGTCGACTACTTCTCCGAGTGGCTCGATGGCTTCGACAAGGAGGGCATGCGCGTGGCGCTCTTCGGCGGCAAGATCTGCTTCGCCAACCTCAAGTTCAAGCGCGAGGCCCTCGACGCGCTGCGCCTGCCCTTCGTGCTCAAGGAAGGGCGGCTCGGCAACCTCTTCATCAAGGTGCCATGGAAGCGCCTCTCCAAGGAGTCGGTGCACGTCGTCTTGGAGGACCTCTACGTCGTGCTCGGGCCGTGCCACGAAGGCGCGAACGCGGCGACGCAGAGCGAGCGCCTCCGCTGGGCCAAGCAGCACGAGCTGCGCATGCGCGAGCTTCTCTGCGCGAGCAAGTCGGACGCGGCGACGCCGACGAGTCCGCGCGAGAAGACGACGGAGACCGAGGCCAAGACCAAGCAAAGCTCGAGCTGGAAGTACAAGGACAAGATCATGAACACGGTGCTCGAGAACCTCTCGTTTGAGCTCAAGCGCATCCATGTTCGGTACGAAGACACGTCGATGGAAGTCTCTTCGCATCCGCTGAGCTTTGGCATCTCGATCGACGAGCTCAAGGTCGCGACGACGAATGCGAACGGCCACGTCGCGTTCCTCGACCGGTCCAGCTCGCACACACCCTTCGTGCACAAGCTCGTCGACCTCAAGAGTTGCTACATCTACTGGGACCTTGCAAAGGCCACGGGCGGCACGCAAATGACCTACCTCGTCGAGCCCTTTAGCACGACCGCGAAGATCACAGAGAACCACGACGCGTCCTCGTACAACTTTATTCCTCGCTACCGCGTCCGCGTCGCCGCGTCCGATCTCGTTGTCGCCGTCGCGCCCTCCCAGTGCAAGGACATCACCAACGTGCTCCATTTCTTCAGCGCCCACGAGACGTACCTCAAGCGCAGCGAGTGCCGCAAGCAGCGCCCGAGCGTCAGCGTGCGCGGCAACCCCCGCGTGTGGTGGCAGTATGCGATCAGCGCAACCCGTCGACTCTTGCTTCCGACGACATCACTTCCGCCGTCCTGGCGGCAATACGTCTACCTCGTCAAGATGCGCGCTGCGTACATTCCTCTCTACACGCGGTCGCTCAGCCTCGCGCCATGGAAGCCGCCGCTCGAGCCCGCAGATGTTGCGCTACTGCAGGCGATGGAGGACGATCCGCGCTTGACGGCTGAGACGCTGGTCTTCTTCCGTCTCTGCGCGAAAGAGGAGGTTGCGATGGAGACGACGCGTCGAAAACACATTAAAGACAAGACAAAGGCGGCGGCCAAGTGGAGCCTTCTGAAAAAGTCGCCGGCGCCGTCGCCGACCAATGGAGCACCGACGCCGAAATTCTCGCTCTTCTCGCCGCGCAAGGCCGAGCCCATTGTGCCGCCGTCGCCGACGTCTGCGGGCCCACCGACACCGACCTCGGCCCTGCAGGTGACGCTCGAGCCCATCGAGCGCCAGCTCGTGTACGAGCACGTGGGCTCGTGGTTTTTTGAAGACGACGCGCTGCCCGTGGCACCGTCACCGCCCACAACGGCCAAAACGACCAAGTCCCCCGGCATTCTCTTGGGCCTCGACTTTAGCATGGACCGCGTCCAAGTCGCGGTCGCCAAGGAGAGCCTCAACGACGCCAAGCAAGTCATTCGAAAGGAGTTTGTCCGCTTCGACATGAGTGCGATCGCGTTCTCAGTGCAGCACCATCTGCACGTTGGCCACGGACGGCAAGAGTGCAACGTCGAGTTTTCCGTGGGGCACATGGAGCTCCTCGACGCGACCGTGCCGGCCGACTCGCCGTTTGCCGTCATTTTTGGTCCGCTCCCGCACTTGCGGTCCAAGGCGCCGCTGATTCAGCTCAAGTACGACGCCCAGCCATCGCTCTCGAGCATCACTCTTGCAGTCGATCCGGCCCGCCTTTTGTACCACAAGAAAGCCATGGACAAGATCGCAAAGTACATCACGCCCGACCTCGACAAGAAGCCTGCTTCGTCCAAATCGACAGCCTTCAACGACGCCAGCAGCAGCAGCGACGACGACGAGGCGATCTTGCCTCTGCACGTTGTCGTGCATGCCTCGCAAGTCCAAGTCGCGGTCGCGGGTGCGGACGATGCATTCTATTGCTGCACATGACGGGCGGCAGCTTCCACACCGAGGACGTGCGTCAAGCGTTCACCTCGTCGCTGGAAGCGGTCGATGTGCTCTTGGTGCCCGTGAGCCAGCTGCAGCTACTCGCCGACGATGCGACACTGGCCCACAACTGCCGGCTCCTCAAACGATTCCCGTGCACCGTCCAAGGCACTTGCAAGGAGACGACGACGACGACGACGAGGATCTGGAACTACAACGTGGTGCTCGGCCCGCTGCTCGCCAACGTCCTCGAAAGCCAAGTCCGATCCCTCGTGCATTTGGGTATGTACTTGGCGCCACCAGCACATTCTACCACCAAGGTCCGTGGCCTGCCAACGCCGCTCGTCGTCCATGTGGAGACACCTGCTATGCAGTTGCGCGTCGTCGGCAATGAAGTGCTTCGGTCCGGCCTTCAGTTGGATGCCATCAACGTTCGCGCAGACGCGACCCGCGAGGCAAATGGCGCGTTGACGCTCCTAGGACAAGTTGAGCAGCTTCTCTGCAAAGAGGCGGTGGCCACGACGACGCACCGGTCGTATTCATTTGATAAGCGCGTCACGACTACCCTCCTGGCGATGCAAGACGCGGCAACATGGACGTGCGTGGTGGCACCCGGCGCGTCGCCGATCCTGACGCTCGAGCTCCCGCACTGCGACGTGTATTGGAACTACCACGTGCTGAAAGAAGCGCTCCTGTGCTTCATCGTGCCGTGGCCACTGAGCCCAGTCATTATCTCGGACGTTCTTCTCGCCCGAGTGATTTTGCGCGCGTCTGGCGTGTGCTGGCATCTCAACCCCGCCGACGACTTGGTCTTTGACGTTGTGTGCGGCAAGCTCGACACGCGCACGGCCGTGTACCTCAACGGCGACGTCTTTTGCGATATTGCATCCAATGACGTGCACCTCTCGGGCACAAAAGAGGAGAAGGTGCCGCTCTTGTCAGTGCCTGGGGAAGCGACTTTTCGGTATGAAACCAGCGGCGCCGGCGCGCTCTCGGGCCGCGACAATGCCGCCTCGTACGTCAAGGCAGCGCTGGGACACGTCCACATGACCTACCACCACGCGTACGTTGTCGCCCTTGGTCAGTACACGCTCGGACGCGTCGCGGAGCTCTTCACGTGGTTGTACTTGGCGCGCGAAGGCTTGGGCAAAACGGCCATGGCGCCGGCGCTTCTGCGTTGCAAGGTCGACGCGGCGATCGAGACCATCGAGATGCAGCTGCCACCGAGCACCGGCGCTGTCGCAGACTGGGTCGTCCGCGTCGAGTCGATGCAAGTGACGTCGTCGCGGTACCTCACGACCGACTACGAGCAGTACACGGTGGCCTTCGATCTTGGGTTGCCGCCGCATTTACACGCCAAAGGCGCGCAAATCGTCCTTGTATCCGCCAAGCACGACACCATCCTCGACGTGCTGGCGCCAGAAGTGACACTCGATATCGGCCAGGACCAAGTCGCGTACGCCCTCGCGGTGGTGCAAGACAATCTGTTGGCAACGGCGCTGCCCATGGAGGCCATGGCCACGCTGGCGGCCGAGACCGAGGCGACCGACGACACTGTCGTCCTGCGCACCCGTATTGTCGTGCCCGCACTAACGGTGACGCTTGTCCAGCAACACAAACCCCTCGTGTCCCTCAAGCTGGCGACGACGCGGCTGGAACTCGAGCAATTTACGAACCGCGCGATCACGCTGCAAGCCGCCGTGGGGGATCTGTCGGTCACCGACACCGTCAAAGCCCTCGAACTCCATCTCTTTGCCCGGACTGAGACGAGCGCGCTTATTGTTAGCGTCGAGCTCTCGCCCAACGATGGCAACAAGACGGTTGTGTTGAGTCTCGACACGCTGCACGTCGTGCCCCACGTTGCCACACTCGTGTCGGTGGTTGCGTTTTTGAAGCAGCTGCCACGCCCACCACCGCGCACCTCAACGACGACGACAACGGGCTCGCTCGACGTGACGCTCAAGCTCCTCGAGTACAACGTGCAGCTGAGTGCGAGTCCCGGGCGGATTCTCAGCGTCCTCGGGTCGCTCGAAGCTCACATCGCGCAGTCCAAGAAGCGACCGGTCGTCAATGTCAAAGGCTCCGAAACACTGCTCTTACTGAGCGAAGCATGGCCGCTTGCGGCAGCGATGCCGCGGCTCAGTGACACGCTGCACTTGCTCGTCCATGGCGTCGGGCGCGCGCTCTGTGCTGGCTTTGGCTTTGAAGTCGATATGGCACTCTCGGAGAGCGTCCAGCAGATCTCGGCCTACCTCCTCGACGTCCACGGCGTTCTGAGCGGCGACGACATGGCGCTGCTGTACTTTACCGCGCGGAGCTATGCGCGGCAAGTGTCGCGCGCGTCGAGCGGCGCGCCGTCGGCGTCCGATTGGTTCCTCACGTTGGTCTTCAACTGTGCGAGCTTGACGCTGATTTCGCCGCAAGGCGACACGTTTGCTCCAATGCTCAAGCTCTATCTGTACAACTTGCTGCTCAAAGAAGCGTACAAGAGCTCGACCAATGCGTCGGTGGCGAGCGATCTCAGCGTCCAGTTCTCAGACGAGCCCGAGCGCCAGCTCTCGGAGAAGGAAGGCATGAGTCTCTGGTGCTTCAACGCATCCCTTGGCGCGTGGGAGCCGTGCCTCGAGCCGTGGTCCTTCCGCGCGTCCTTGGCGACGACGGTCGAAGACGACACGACGATCCAGCGAGCGTCGTTCCATGGCAGCAAAGCACAGAGTTGCCGCCTCAACGTGTCGCTCTCGACTCTCTCGAATCTCTGCTGCGTGCTCCGACACCTCCTCGGCGCATCACCGCCTATTAAAGTGCACAACGATGTCGCTTGCGGCGTGTACGTCTGCAACGACAGCGACGAGCGCATCTCGTACTGGGCCGCCAACGCCGACTGCCGGCGCCCGCTGAGCGTGCCGCCGCACAAGACGGTGCCGCTCCAGCTCGCCAAAGAAACGTTCTTCCCGTCCGACCAGACCATTTCGCTCTGCTTTGGCGACGAGTGGCAACCGCTCAACGACGTCCGACTCCACGCCGCCGGCGCCTATGTGTACCACCTCTCACCGAAAGAAAAATGCGTCAAGAAGGCCGCCTTGCCCGTGCTTCTGGACGTGGCGTGCGTCAACGGACTCCGGACGCTCACCATGTCGTCGATCGCGCGGGTGTACAACGACGGTGACGTTATTGTCCGTGTCGGCGTTGTCCTGACCGAGGACGAAGACGGCAGCAGTCGCATCGTCGAGGCGTGCGAGATCGCGCCCCATACGTTTCAGGCGTTGCCGCTCACGCTGTGCAAGGGTCTCGGCGACACGCAGCTCGTGTTTAGGCCACTGTTGCCCGGGTACAGCTGGAGTGCGCCCGTTCTCATCGACGCCGAGGCAATCGAAACCATTGCAACGTGCCCCCTCACGTCCGTGAGCAAGAAGGGTTGCAAGTGCCTCGCGACCTTTAGCGCGACAGTCACCTCTGCGAGCGCGACCGTCGACGTGTGCACGCACGGCGACTTCCATTTGCGCGTCGTCTCAGCGCTTCTCGCGCCACGCAACCGACACGCGCTCTCGCAGTTTGTGGCGATTCATGTCTTGGCGCCGATGACGATCGAGAACCGGTGCCCGATGCCGATCCAGATGCTCATGTTTACGACCAAGAAGGTGCCGCCGCTTGACGCGCCGGCGCGGCCGCCGCAGCTCGACGAAGAGATCGAGCCGGTGCAGATCCACTTGGTCTTTTCCAAGTCGATCGCACCACGCGAGGTCATCCACGTCTATGCAGCGTCGTTGCTCTACAAGACGTATGCGTCCATGGCGCTCGCGGACCCGCGCTGGAGCCCGCTCAAGCCGCTGCACGTGCCCGAGAAGGACAAGACGATCTGGGCGGTCGACGATGCCAGCGGCCGCCAGCACTATCTTCAATGGGCACTGCTCGAGTCGCCGTTCAAGCAGCGTCAGGCCGTGGTCTTTCCGAGCTACATTCTCTACGACCAGACGGCATTGTCGCTCGTGTACGACGTGGACGCGGCGCGGCTCCAATCTAAAAAGTCGTTCATTTCGTTTGGAAGCAACTCCAAGGGCAGCAACCTCTCGTCGTCCGACAGCCTCGAGACCGACGTGATCCATGCCTCGCTGCAGGCCCTCGCCAAAGACGCCGTGGTAGCGTACTTTCGATATGGATGCAGGTCACACATGATGACTGTACTAGCTGGACGAGGCCGCCGGGCGCTTGCCGTACATGGTGTCGGGAACGAGTGATGTGACCATTCGCTTGGACAAAGCCAAGTCCTCCGCACGTCGAGCTCGCTCGTCCGCCTCGACGCCATTAGCGACTCGGTGCAGAATTGCCACCGGCTCTTTAGCGACCTCACGCGCGAGTGGCATGACATTGGCGCGCTCTCGCGAGACGCCGACCACCGCACCACGATCATCACGTTCGTGCCGCGCTACATGGTGCTCAACAAGACGCCGTACGCGCTCTTGCTCTGTCCGTCGACGCTCTTGAAGGAGAGAGACCTCACACGGCTCCCGACGCTCGATGCTTCGTCGACGCCGCCGCCCAACCTCGTCGGGAGTCGACAATATGAACCAAAGCGGGATAGCTTCTCGACGTTCCATTGGTCGACGATGAGCGACCCGACCGACCCGTGCGTCCGCGTTCGCCCTGCCGACGTACTTGCATGCGTTGCGTTGGTGGTCTCATATGGATGTCGGGTGTAGGCGTCGGGCTGGAAGTGGTCCGGCAAGTTCTCGCTTCACGACGTGGGGGAGACGGCGCTCAACGCGGTGAACCGGGTCACGGGCGAGATCCACATCGTGCGCGTCCAGATCCGCGTTTACCGGGGCACGCAAATCTACGTGGTGTTCTCGCACGAGTCGAGTGCGCCCTTGTATCGCATCGTCAACCTCTCGGACGACGTCGTCCACTTCCACCAGCACGTCCTTACGGAGGCCAACTTGACGGCGAAACCCACGATGCGCCGTCTCTTGCCAACAGACGACCTCTGCTTCGGGTGGGACGAGCCGTACTTTGTCGACGAACGCACCTTGGCGCTGAGCTTTCCCAACGCCGTGAGCTGCCAAGTCCACGTCGATCGCATCGCGGACGATGTGCAGCACGTCGAGCTGAACGGCGCCAAGGTCTTTCTCCAAGTCGTGCTGGACGGTCTCACCAAAGTGCTCTACATCCAAGCCCACGCGCCATCCCCACGCGACGAGCTGTTGCGGAATAAGAAGCCGCCACTGCTTCGCCACGCACGCTACATTGTCGATTGCGTCCTCCCGCACACCGTGTTGTCGCTCATTGACGGCGCGCCCGCCGAGCTGCTCGTGCTAACCGTCTCCAACGTCATGGTCATTGGCGGTCTCACGCCCGACGACAACGAAGTCGAACTCACGATCGAGCGTGTCCAGATCGACAACCAGACGCCCAACGCCATGTTCCCGGTGGTCTTCGCTCCGTCGTCGCCCCCAAGCCCGTACCCCTTGAGTTTTTCTCGTCTTGTATCTCACGGGCTTGTTGGGTCTGTAGCGCGACCGACGACGAGGGCAAGACGGAGCCCGCACCATTTGTGCATCTCTCGCTCATTCGGCTATTTTACAGCGCGGACATTGAGTTTTTTAAGGTATAAACTCGATGGCTGCCGGTTGCAACACGATGGCATGACCTCGATACCTAGTACTTTTCAGCGCTCATGCAGCCCGCGACGCTCCAGCTCGACGCGTCCATCTTGCTCTCGATCGCGCAGCTCGTGGGCGACGGCGTCAACGTCGTGCAGAGCTATTTCCCGCACTGGTTTGTCACCGACCACACGCTCGCGTTCGTCGAGAAGCTCCACGCCAAGAGCGAGCCGCGCGTCTACTTCGAAACGCTGCAGCTGCACCCGCTCAAGCTCTGCGTCACGTTCACCCAGAGCACCCTGTCCCGCCAAGTCGGTGTCGATGGCTGTACCTATTCCTGCTCAAAAGAGACATGTGGCTAGGCCAAGGAGACCGTTATGGCCGTCGTTCCGCTCATGTTTCGCGTGCTCCAGACCAACTTGGCCAACATCGACAATGCATCGCTGCATCTCAACGCGCTCGTGCGTCGTCGATCTGCCTCCGATGCAAGCGTTGACGGAGGATCTATGCGTAGCACATTTCGTATTCGTTCTCGTCCATCTCGCTTCTCGTGTCGTCCGTGCGCCAGCACTACACGACCCAGTGCCTCCGCCAAGTGTACTCGCTCCTTGGGTCGGCCGAGATTCTTGGCAACCCGCTCGGGCTCGTCTCCAACCTCGGTACGACCATGCCATATACAGGTGTATTCAAGATACGACGAATGCGTAGGAAGTGGCGTTAAAGACTTTTTCTATGAGCCCGCGGCAGGCATGGTGCAAGGCCCGGGACAATTCATGAAAGGGCTCAGCCGCGGCACCGAGAGCTTGGTGAAAAACTCGGTCTACGGCACGTTCAACGCCGCGAGCAAGCTCACGGGAAGCATCTCGACGGGCCTCGTCAACCTCTCAATGGACAAATCGTACATCCAAGCGCGCACCAACCGCAAGGCGTCGCAAGGGCCCACCAACGTCGGCGCTGGCTTCCTCCTCGGCACCAAGCAGCTCGGCCAGGTAGACGCATATATTCGTGCGATGCCACTCACCGTCGGCTAGGGTATCTTCGCGGGTGTTTCGGGCGTCATCACGCAGCCCGTCATGGGCGCCTTCCATAACGGCCTCACGGGCTTTGTCGAAGGCGTCGGCAAAGGCATCATTGGCGCTGCGGTCAAGCCCACCGCTGGCATCCTCGACTTGGCGGCCCAGACGACGGCCGGCATCACGTATTCTGCCGCCACCCACGACAAGAAGCCCAAGCTCCAGCGTGTTCGCTTGCCGCGCATGATGGCGACGAGCGACAAGCGCTTGACGGTCTGTTCTTCACGATCGCGACGTGCTCATCATGTCGTCTAGATTTACTCGGACGAGACGGCCATGATCGCGATGCTTCTCGCCAAGCTCCCAAAAGATGCGCTGTCCATCGACGAGCAGCACGAGCTGCATGTGATGTTGCCAGGCTCACGCGTCGTGCTCGCCACGTCGCACCAGCTCATGGCGCTTGACGCGACGAGCGTTCTCAAGCCGCGCGTGCTGTGGGCGTACCCGGTCCGGCACGTCTTGAGCAGCGTGAGCACCGATACGGGCGTGAGCATTTCGATCCAAGCCGAGAGCGTTATTGTCGTCAAGGTTGCCCTCGAACCGCAGGACGACCGGGAGCGCGATCGCGTTGAAGACCTCGTGTGCAAGGTCGTGAGCCAAAACACCAACCACCGCACAACGGGGAGCTTTCGGTCCTAGATGCCGCGTACTTGGTGCCCCCATCTCATTTCTTATTCACACTATTTGCTTGACAAGGTGGTTGGTTGCTGGACAAGGTGGCTGATCACACCGTGTCAAGGACATCGCTGAGGGTCTCGCAAAATATAGTGTACGTGGCATGCATCGCTGTACATTTCGGCTACTGCGGAGCCAACGCGCCTCCATTTTTGTGTCGGCGGCCCACGCAAAGCGGTGCACCACCGACAGCCTATCCTCCAGCTACCTCGTTCACTCGGTAGTCGTCGTCGCTGGTTCTGAAGGCACCGAGTTGATCACGGAGACGCACCATGTGTTGGCCTGCCGCACCGGGATCGCAAGGTCCATAACTTTGCTTCATATCTAGCTACACCTACCCCTCCTTGCAGCCACCGCCCATCCGGATCTATCTTTGCGCGGCGTAACCAACGTGGCGCGATGGCGGGGGTCGTGTGCGAGCGGGTCAAGGTCTACTGCCGCCTGCGCCCGCAGCTCGTCGCCGCCGCGCCCGAAGACGACGGCTCGACGTTTGTCACGGGCGGCGCATCGCACTGCGACGGCGGCGGCACGGCCGTCACGATTGCCGCCCCGGAGAGCAATCCGCTGCCAAAGCGGCTCGTCTACAAGGACACGACTGCGAAGGACTTTGAATTTGACGGGTGTTTTCGACAAGACACGACGCAGGACACCGTGTACGCAAGCGTCGCGAGCGAGTTGGTGCAGAGCGTCCTCCTTGGCTACAACGGTACCGAGACATCATCGCATCTCTCGCCAACACTTTGACTAGCGACCATCATGGCCTATGGGCAGACCGGCTCTGGTATGACAATATGTACCTGCTCTTGCACCAATGACCTGTCTGCAACTAGGCAAGACCCATACGATGATGGGTCCGAACGGAGACGGACCGGACCGCGGCGTCATTCCACGCTGTCTCCAGGGCCTCTTCACCGCGCCTGCCGACAGCGGGCTTCGATTTCACTTGAGTTTTGTGCAAATTTACTGCGAGCGCGTCTTGGATCTACTGAGCGGCCTTCCGACGCCGCTCTCGATCCGCGAAAGCGAAGACGACGGCGTCTTTGTCGACGGCGTTCAAAAGAAGCACGTGCACTCGGTCGAGGTACCATCTATCAATGTATCAATCTATTGATCGATTGGCGTAGGAGTGTCTGCATTGGATCCACGTCGGCAATGCCAACCGCACTGTGGCCGCCACCAACATGAACGCGCACTCGAGCCGAAGCCACGCGGTCATTACGATTCAAGTCGAGCGCATCGATGCGGCCCAGGCGTCGTCCCAGGTGCGATCACATCATCATCACGAGGCCGTCGTCCAATGCCGATGCGCAGGTCGTGCAGAAGAGCCAACTCCATCTGGTCGACTTGGCCGGGTGCAATGTAGACTCTCCAATGGCATAGAACCAATCATCCACGGACTAACAGGTCGGAGCGGGTTAAAAAGTCGCTTGTCCGCGGGTCCCACGTCAACGAGCTCAAGGCCATCAACCTGTCCTTATCGGGTACTAGCTGCGCGATCGAGCGACGGCACATGTCTCATAGTACACGACTAGCGCTTGGCAATTGCATCTCGGCGCTCAGCAAACAGCAATCGCACGTGCCGTACCGCGACAGCAAATTGTACAACTTGTCAATATGTACCAAACTAAGATATCGGTATTTGAAGGACCCGACTGCTTCAAAACAGCTTGGGCGGCAACGCCAAGACAGCCCTCATTCTTGCAGTGACGCCCGAGGTGTCGGAAGCGGCCGAGAGTCTCGCGACACTTCAGTTCGGCCAGCGCGCCATGCAAATTCAAGTGTCGGCGCACGTCAACGTCGTGCCCGACTACAAGCGCCTCGTCGAGATGCTCCAGGTCCCAGCATCATGACAAACGAAATGGAGCTCAAGAAGTATCGATAATGCTAGGCCAAAGTCGACGCGTACGAAGACAAGCTGCACGGCCTCGACACGGAGCTGCAGGCATCGCGGGACCAACAAGCGCTTCTCATCGTATGTACAACTAAACGCGCCTTTGTCCCACATAGCGTCCTTGTAGAACCAAGCCGACGAAGCGAGGCTCGAAGCCTCCAAGATCGCCTTCGAGATGGAAGCGCTCAAGACGACAACCCAGCTGCAGATTGCCATGGCCAAACAAACACCGGCGCCCCAATGCGCAGCGGCCGAGAGCGATGACGCACCCGACGACACATCGCCGTCGTCGACCGATGTGTTTCAGGCGTTTGAGACCAAATTGCAAGCGCTCACGGCCCAGCACAGCGCCGAACTGCATGCTCTAAAGCAGCGGTACACTATGGATTGTCCTGGATGGCGTGTCTTGAAACCTTGATAGATTTGATTTTCAGGTCGAGACGCACAAGCAGATTGCGAATCGCGCCAACCAAGAGTGGCACAACATTGAGCACGAGCTCTCGAGCGAGCGCACCGCGCACCTTGAAACGTGCCACGAGCTCCGCGCGACGAAAGAAAAGTACTTTGCGCTCGAGAGCGACAGCGTCGATCGGATTAGCGACGTCTGCAACGAGAAGAAGGAGCTCGAGACCCAAATCGCTTTGCATACGCAGACGATCCAGCGGCTCGAACACACGATCGGCGACCTCCGGTTGCAGCTGGAGCACGCGCAGAGCGGTCGCTCGGAGCTCTCGGCATCGATTGACGCCAACTTTGTATCGCGCGAACAAGTCAACGAGATGGAAGCCCTCTACTCGGATGCAATCACCAAGCTCCAGAGCCGCGTCGAGTCGCTCGAAGGGCAAAAAACAAAAAAACCAACACCGCCCGTGCTCGAAGCTCCGAAAGCACCAGTGACTCAAGTGAAGAAGGATTCGCTCATCGGCAAGAAGGCTGTGCCCAAGATTGGCCGCGTCATGCCGGGTGGGCGGCGTTGAGCCATAGGAACGAAATATAAAGATGTAGTACACCCTAAAGCGCTACACCGGATGCACTGCTTATCGCTGACTCCAACTGTTGGAACCCGTTGACGCAGCGCGAGAGCTCAAATCTCTACGCAAAATCGAGTGCTCTTGCATGCATTACAGTACTTATAACTCGTGCGTATGAAGCGACCACCCCGGCTGGCTCTTTCGGTCCTTGACCACGAGACGGAGCTCGTGGAAGCACGCATAGACGTGCGACGCGAGGTTCTGCGTGCGGAGCTCGTCGTGGTTCTCGTGCACTGGGGCACGGTAGTAGCACGGGATATACTCGTCGACCGTCGCAAAGGTCACGGCGACGCTGCCGTGGTGGAGCCGGGTCACGTACTCGACCGGGCACGCCATCTGGTCTTTCCCGCATGCCCAGTATGGGATCCAGCCCACATACGCGCCTTCGTGCAGCCCGTAGCCGTCCAAGAGCACCGAAATCGGCTCGTTCGCGTACGCAAACGACGGCTCGAGGCCGGTCAACGCCGCCGCCGACCGGGCTTTAAACACATCCAGCTTCTTCCAGGCGTGGTGGGCGGCAAAGAGCAGCAAGAGAATGGCCTTGACGCGGCTCGAGTAGAAGCGGAGACCCAAAAGAAACACAATGAGCAGTGCTAGAAGCGCTTGCAGCAGCGGCGTGTACACGGACGCCGGGGTCACGCCGTCGAGGGGCAAGCATGCGAGCGACTGCGAGGCGAGGCACGGCGCGAGTAGCTCCATGACGTTGTGCTCGGCGATACAAGCCTCGATGGCGGACACGCTCGATGGCCACTTGAAGAGACGCCCGGCGAGAAAGCCTTGGGCGTCGCAGGCGCTGGCAAAGGCCAGTGACGCGACAAGACCAAGCGCAATCCAGTTGAGAAGGATCGTCCAGAGGAACGAAAAGAAGGACCGACACCGCAACGGCCAATACGGCGCGTAGAGGCAGCGGTACAGCACCAGCGGCAGTAGCGTCGCAGCGCCAATGGTCGACCAGAACATGTTTTCGAGCAAGAGCCGCAGCCAGGACCGCGTATCTGGAGCGCGCCGCGCCGCCGACCGCGCTGGCTTGGGCACGGGGATATCGTTGGCCCACTGCAGCGGCGAGAGGCCCACATCGCCATCGTCGCTTTCGCCCTCGTCGTCGTCGCCGCTCTCGTCCGCGTCCATGTCCACGGTCGAGTCTTCGTCGTCCGACGAGTAGGTAGCATCTTGGTCGATGAGCTCTTCGAGCTCGTCCATCAAGGCGTCGGCGCGGTCCGCTGGCCACTGCGGCTGGGATGCTATGCCCAAGGCCCGGCGCTGGCCCCTCGTCATCATTCCTGGCATGGCGGTGGCGACGTTGGGAACACTACGGTATCCGTACTGGACCGGATATGGCCGCCATTGCCATAAAAAATAGCCACAGATAGCCACAAATAATCGCCCAGGCCAAGTCATCAGCACGGTCGCCAACGAGACGACGAGCCAGGCAGATATATTACCGCAGGATGGGGCATGTGCAATGCTGGCACACCACAGACACGTCCACGCAGCAGCAGCGGTGTACTCTCTCGATGCAGCTTCCTATGCATAGCATCCAGGCGCAAAGAAAGGGAGCCTGTCTCTTCCATCATCCGAGTCCGTCCTCGTAGCCTCTGCAACAAAAGCAATCATGCTATGAGCTTCGTAGGCTACTAGTCTGTAGAGAGGTGCTCCATCAATTGCAACTGCCACGTGCCAAGGCAATAAGACCGCAATAAGTCGGGAATAAGTCGGGGATGCTGCTTCCGTGGCGCGTTATGTTTCGATACTCATTCTGGCAGGTCGTAGCTCACCAAGATCAGTTGCGTTGGTCACATTTTTAGACTCGGCTTCTGCGGCAAGGACGGCGACGACGATGGAGGGATGGCTCACCAAGCGGCGCGACCACATGAACATCATCTGGAGTACGTCCTCATGGAGCATGGGGCAGGTAGACGCTCGGTCTCATGCTCTTCCGTACGTAGCGGAGCGCTACTTCATCCTCGACGGCAACAACCTGCGCTACTACAAGAAGCGGGGCGACCCTGCGCCGAGAGGCGCGTATGTGCTGACGGACGGCTGCGTCGTGGGCAAGGTCTTCAACTCGGAGGAGAAGCACAAGCACCATGAGCCCGTGTGGATGTTCCGCATCACGTTTGCGGTCGAGGCGGGCGAGAAGAGCTACAAGAAGGACCGGTTCGTCGACCTCGGCGCCAAGACGGAGGCGCTGGCGAACGAGTGGAAGAAGACGCTCGAGCAGACTATCTCGGGCGTGAAGGAGATGTTCAAGCACGTGCGCACAATGAAGTACGAGGCCGACCACGGTGCCACGAACCCTGAAGTCGTCTCGAAGCTCCTTGCCGAGGACGAGAACATCTCGCTCTTCAACCTTGACGAAGACAACGCCAAGGCCGAGCAAGGTCAGATGAATCCCCTTGAAACGGAGCTTACCATCAACTAGGCTGGTGGCTCGCGCGGGTCGAGGACGGGCTGCGCATCATGCAGGAGTGCCCGTTGGGCCATCAAGTCGCGGCGTCCATGTACGCGCACCACGCAACGCTCACCAACAACCTCCTCTTTGCGTCCGCCATCAGCTCCATCTTGGCGTTCAGCATCATGTACTCGTTCATCCACAACATGCTTATCTGCATCCTCACGGCCGTCGGTGCCGTCGTCGTACGCTCTCTTCTCGACCTTACCTACCGACTCATGCATCCCCGTAGGTGTGTGGCATCACGCTCATGCCCAAGTCGTACATTGAGATCCCGAGCTTGCGCGTCTCCCAGGTCGTGCATGGTTCGCCCGCAGACGTCTTCCGCCTCATCATGAACCCGTCGCGGTACCAGCGGTACGATAACGACGACGACGACGACATCGCTCATGTGGCATGTATTAGATGGGACGCGTCGGTGGCGTCGATGAAGGTGATCCAGACCATGGACGACCACGCCGACATCATTTACATCACGCTCCGCCCCGTGTACATTTGGCCCATGTGGCAGAAGCCGCGCGACCTCGTGCTCATGCGCTACTGGCGCCGCGAGGAAGACGGCTCGTACTTTGTCATGTACCAGAGCACGACGCACCCCGAGTGCCGCGTGCGCCACAACTATGTGCGCGCGAACCTCCTCGGCGGTGGCTTTGTGATTGCGCCGCAAAAGACGGCGATCGCGGGCGGTGTCCGGTCGCTCGTCACGTACGTCTTGCGCTACGACCCGAAGGGCAGTGCGGCGCTGTACCACCAGCTCGGGATGGACGTCGACATGGTCGTCCCGATGCTTCGCGCGATCGTTGGCATTCGCGACGAAATGAACACGAACGACTTTATTACGCCCATTGTGACCGTCTCGGAGCCCGCGTCGACGGGTGCCGCCGGGCGCAGCGAGCTCGGTGCGACGACTGTCGATGCGGCCGGCCTTGTCCACGGCGTGAAGAAGTGGAAGACGTCGCTGCCCGAAAAGATGTGGGGCGAGCCGGACGCGTCCCTCTTTGCCGTGCGTGGGCCCAACTACCTTGTCGATAAGAAGAAGACGCCGTCGGCGCCATCGCGCTTCCACCTCGTGGGCGTCGACCTCCTCTCGTACGAAGTCGCGTCGGAGCGGTACCACGTCGCGTCGCGCCCCGGGTCGCTCGTGCAGAGCGCGACGAGCTTTACGTTTGTCGTCAACATGATCATCCCGAGCCCGAACAACCTGAGCATGGTGTTTTACTTCCAGCCCGACTCGGCCAACATTTTCACCGAAAACACGCCGTTCTCGGAACTCCTCAATGACTTTCTGGATGGCGACGACGCGTTCCGGAACTCGCGCTTCAAGCTCATCCCGACGGTCGTCGAAGGCAGCTTTATCATCAAGCAGAGCGTCGGGTCCAAGCCGACGCTGCTCGGGAACAAGCTCAAGTGCCCGTACCACCGCGGCGACAACTACTTTGAGGTCGACTTGGACATTTCGTCGAGCTCGGTCGCCAACACGGTCGTGGGCATGGTCACGGGCGTCACCAAGATCCTCGTCGTCGACATGGCGTTCCTCCTCGAGGCGCAGACGGAAGAAGAGCTCCCCGAAGCCATCCTCGGCACGGTGCGATTGCAGCACGTGTCGCTCGACAACCCGATCAAGGTCCCCAAACTCCAAAAGTAAGACCACTGCAGGATATTGCCACATTCAATGTACATGACCTCTTATCTATTGGCATTACTTATCGCGACGGGTCGGGCTCGAGCTGCGTGTAGTCCCAAACGTCTTGGCTCATGGCCATGCCGTTCCATAGCCGGTTGACAATACTGGCGTTGTAAAGGTCGGCCGGCGTGAGGCAGTCGAGGATCCGAAGCGCCACGTCTCTCCGCACGGGCGGCTTGTCTTCGCCAAAGAGCGGATACACAACGAGCTTGGACTCGCGCCGTGCCTTGAGCGGTGTCACCGACTTTTCCTACACCACCATGAGCCGCCTTCAGCTATCAAGTTGATACATACCCGAAGGATGCTGGCGCTGAACGTGAGGTCTTTGGTCGTCTTGAGATCGAGACTCGTGGCGCGCTTGGCGACGAGTGGCGTCCGTGTCTTGACGGGCGTGACCGCCGACGTCGTTCGGACCATTCTAGTCACGGGTTTCGGCGCCGTCACGTGACGCACCAGCGACGTCGGTGCCTTGTGCTTGGTCGTCGTCGTCGATCGAGCAGCTGCTGTGCGCAGCCGCCTGGCTGGTTCTTGCAGTCCTACGCATCGCATGCTGAGCACATACGACGAGAGGAGGAGGCAGCGTACGATGCACTTGCAGTTGTCGCCGCACGGAACGCCCGCCTGGAAGCACTCGCAGTACTTTTTCTGGCAAAAGGACTTTTTACAGTGGCACCCGTTGTGGTGCGTCGGCGTCGCGGCCACTTCCTTTTTGATTTTTGGCTGGAACGCGTTCGGGTTGCGCTCGAGCGTCGCGTTGATGGCGTCGGTGCGCAGCGGCTCGGACGACGGCGTGTTGGCGCACCCGACGCACTTGCAGCTCTCGTCGCAAAAGCCGCCGGACGCAAAGCACTCGCAGTAGAGCTTGAGGCACTTGGATTTCTTGCAATTGCACGGATTGCGCTTCTTTGGCGGCGGCGGCGGCGCCGGAACTTCGTGCTTGATGCGGACGGTGGGCGCCGAGAGCCGCAGCTTCTTTGCGACGGTGGCAACGACGGGCTCCTCGACCTTGACGTCGTCGACGTCGTTCATGTCGAGGCGTTTGGTGACCGAGTCGATGTCGCGCAGAAGGACCTTGGGCTTGCGGGGCGCGGTCGTGGGCGGCGTGGGAAGCGCAAGCCGCATGTTGTGGCTCAAGTTGTTTTCGCTCAGCGCACGCACGGCCTTGGCGTTCTTGGTCGTCTTGCGCCTACATGTCCATATTCGCGCATGAGCATATATCCGATGAGATGTGCTCGTACAAGGAATCGTTGATGGACTTGAGACTCTGTTGTGTGCTCAGCGTGCTCGAGAGCTGGATGACGGTCGCGGACCCGGGCGCGCTCTCGGCGCGGTGGAGACGACCTGGCGTCGCGCTTGTGGATGCTTGGAAGTTGGGAAACGACGTTGCAAACGCCGAGGATGGCGAGCAGTCAAAGTCGAGACGCTGCGCGACGATGCGGGGACACTCGGTGTCGGTGTCGGGTGTCATGTCCTGCCGGAACGGTGGCATGCTAGAGCATCATGAGCTTGCATCGACAATACTAATGCAGGTGACGCACATCTTTGTGAGCGACCCCAGGAGGACGGGTGTGAGCGGCGCGAGGCGCGTTGACAGCGCTGGCGACGCGGCCTCGTCGAGCGTGCTAACGTCGACAATCGGCGGCAGTGAGTGTGCAAACGAGAAGAAGCTCTGGTGGTCCTGCTCGGCGGTGGTCTTGATGGGCGACATGAGGAAGCGGAATTGGCCCTTCTCGTGGTCGTCGATCTTCCAGTCCGAGAACGGACTCAGCATGTACGCCGAGGCTCGGCCATCGTGCGGCTGCTGGTGCTTGTCGTCCATCCAGCTGCGCTTCCGCGTCCGGACCGGCGTCGTATGGCTCTTCTCGGCCTCCTTCTTCTTGCAGCTGTACGGTGACCGGAAGAAGCTTGATGGCGAGTAGCCGGCGGGCGTCGTCGCTTCCTTGCTGTGCGCATGGCGGCGGGCAGCCGGCGACTCGGCGCCATGCCAGTCGGCGAGCAAGTCTACCTCGGTCGTCTCGGCCATCGTCGTCCGCGCCAATCTAAAAGTTGACCTCGCCAATCACGGTGCACATCCTCTACAACTTGATACCGTGCAGGTCGACGCGCGGGAAACGTGGGCGACCACTTGACGTTTGTATGCCGATATCCGGACGCCGTGTGATTGGTAAAAAAGAAGCGGGAACGGTGCGCGGCAATCGCATATGATTGGCTGAAATGGAATGACGAACCCGCGAAAAGCTGCGGATGCCACGCCCGGGATGACACGCATGGCGGCAACGGCCCACTCTTGGCCTCTCTGACACGCCGTCATTCGAACTGCGAAATTTAATACTGCAAAGTCGCCATCTTCAGGATTAAAATACGCGCCAAGACCGAAACCAACCCAGAGCACTGCTACGCTTGGTGACGCCCGGCCTGCTTGTCGTGACTGCGATACCTGCACCGCGTCGTTGACGTACCCGGAGCGTCTCCTGTCAACGTGCGTGTTTAAGGCGCACTCGGCGATCGTCCGATCTGTTGCGACCCATGAAAGCGCGGGAGAATTCGGACGAGACGGCCCTCTACGACGCTTGATACTCTTAGAAGAGCTATGATGGACACGCTCTAGCTCGTGTGCACTCAATAATGCAGCTGCACGCTGCACCTCGAGCGCACACCACAAGCAACGCTACGTGGCAAGACGATGCGATTCTGGCGGACAGCACGCAAGGCTTCAAGGCAGCGACGACAATATGCAGCAGAGAAGTTGTCCAATATACCTGGATCGACGTGTGTCGACGAGCTTTAATTGTACTACCCGCATAGCAAGGCTACAGGTACTCGATCGTACTTTGCATCTGGCGACACGTACTACGTCTGCACGAGCTCCGCGTCGCCCGAAACCAGCACGGGCATGCGGTTTGTCTTTCCTTCTTGGCGCAGCGCCCATGCAGTCCAGGTATAGCAATTGCATCGCGTGCCATGACCAGAGTTGACAGAACTGGTATCTTGGTGTCTGGTACAGTTGCGTGTTTTCAGCCGCCCTTTTTCCCATGCCGAGCGTGTTTGTGACCGTCGGGACCACGTCCTTTGACGCGCTCGTGGCCGCGCTCGATACGCCGGCCGTGTACGCGACGCTGGCGGCGGCTGGATACACGCAAGTCGTTTTCCAGATCGGACGCGGCAGCTACGAGCCGTCGGCCATCGAAGCGCCGGTCCGTGTGACGAGCTACCGCTACAACGCAGCATACAAGGCCGACATTGTCGCGTCGTCGCTCGTCATTAGCCACGCTGGTGCGGGCACCATCATGGACGTCCTGCATGAGCGCAAGCACCTCATCGTCGTGCCCAACACGCAGCTCATGGACAACCACCAGACGGAGCTCGCGACGGCGCTCGCCGACCGCCGCCACCTCTTGCAGGCAGCCGTGGCCGAGCTGCCCACGCTGCTGGCGACCATGAAGTGGGACGACATGGTGCCCTACCCGCCGGTCGACGAAGACGCCTTTCCGCGCCTTGTGGACGCCACCATGCTCGGGCCCCATGCACTGTAACGCGGCAATAGATAGCATTATAGGTGTTTGCTTCGTCTTAATCGTCGCTGTCGTCTTCATCGTCGCTGTCGTCGTCTTCATCGTCGTCGTGGAAGACGAGTTGTTGCTGCATCTGGAACGACGTGGATTTCTGCAGCTGGAGCTGGAGCTTCGTGGGCGTCGGCAGTTTGCTCAAGAGCATGTGGTTGGCTCGCTGGAGGCGCGCGTTCTCGGCCTCCTTTTCGCTCAGCGACGTCGAAAACTGCGCCACGAGCCGCTGCAGCTCGGCGTTCTGGCTCTGCACCCGCGCAATGTCCTAAAGCAACGGGTCGCAAGCAACGGGTCGCAAGCATTTGCACCACGTCGACACGTACCGCATCGCCGAGTCCCGGCGCTTGGTCTGCGACTGGAGCGCATCTTCAAACTCGGCCGCTTCGTCCTGGTACCGCTTGATGTTGGCCTTGGCGACCGAGAGCTCGACTTGCAGACGGGATCGGTCCTTGAGCTGCGCCTCAATGTCGGCAATCGACCGACCCCCCTGCCACAGGTTACGTGTCGCTCCCATCAAAGTACCGATCGAGTAATACCTTGACGAGCCGCTTGAGTTCGTTGGCGAGACCGGTAGCTTTGGCTTTGAGCCCGTTGCGCTCTTCGATGAGCTTCATGTGCTGCTGCTGCAGCTCGACCAGGTCCATGCGCACCTACACTCGTGCCACCACGTGCGCAGAAATCGAGGCGTCTGTACGTACCTTGCGGGCATCGCTGTCGACGCCTTGAAGCTGCTTTTCCAGCTCACGATTCATGTCGTGGGTCGCCGCAAGCGCGATGTCGGCTGTACTTTTCTTGGCTTCGAGCGCACGCACCAGCTCCTCGAGACTCTGCGTCGTGGCTTCCAACTACAAGACGATGCATCCTACATCTTCGGTGGATGCGGCACCTTTTTGCTGCGCTCGTTGGCCATTCTGGCGGTCGCGAGCTCCGAGAGAAGGGCCTCCAATCGACTGCGCAGCTGCGTGGCCTCGGCGGTGGCGTCGTCGAGCTTGCGGTCGCGGACCTCGACTGCGATCGCCATCAAGTTCCGTTCGTTCTGCGTGGCCTTGATCACGAGTGCTTGCGACGCCAGTTGCCGCTACACACGTGTCGTCATGCGTTGGCCTTGCTGTCGACAAAATATTGTACGCGGAGGTCGGCGATGAGCGCTGCGTCATCGACGGCTTTGGTCGACGCACTGCGCTTGAGTTGCGGCTTGAGCACGGGGTCCAAGCCCTCGGTCGTTGCGTCTTCCGCGTCGTCGTCCATGAGATGTTCGAGACTAGACGCGGATGTGGCATCCTCGGCGCATGAATAACAACCAGTCGGCGTACACTGTTTTTTCAATCAAGGTGCCCGCATACGCTGCTTCGATCGCCCGAAGCGACGCGACCGCCTCCGTCGACAGCAGCGCGTTCCGGAACGTACGCAGCGCCAGCGCGATGATGTCGCGCGACGCCGGCGTCTGCGCGACGAGGTGGATGGCGCCGAGATGCTTCATGTCCAACGAGCACGACTCGAGAGGGCGCGTGCCAACGACGGCGCCCGTGGCTTGGAAGCGCAGTACAAAGCCCAGGGCGTCCGCCGCGTCGAGGTAGATGTGCGTCTCGACCGAGTAGTCGGCGTGCACGACGACGCCGCACTCGTCTTCGGCGATTTTGAGCAGCGTGAGGCCATCTTGATTGAGTTTGAGTTGAAAGCTGTTGTCCGTGTCCGAGTGTGCCAACGTCGCCTATGTATGCATCCACTCGATCCGAACGACAAGAAGACAATGCGTACCGAAGGAGCCGGAGCCGGCCTCGACGACCATTTGCACCGTCTCCTTGATGGACGGGTCTAGAGCGCATGTTGTGAGATGACGACGAGACTCGATGGCAAGAAGAGACCGAGGACGATAGGGCCGTAGACGGCGACCTTGCCGCGCGTCGGCGACGCGCCGTCGTGACGCGGCTGGCCATGACATTGCACGTACAGCAGCGCCTCTGTATCGTCCAGCGACGGCTCGTAGCGTTCATGCGTGGCGCCACGAAGCTTCAAACACTCGGTGGGCGACGTCGACCGGTACCACTGGAACTGGACGTCGCCTTCGTCTTCGTGGGGCACAAGACTTCGGGACGCGGCGACGACGTGCAGCGACGTGGTGTGGTAGACGCTTGCATCGGGCGTTGTGGTCTCGGGCTGGATCGAAATGCTACGCACGAGACTCGAGAGCGCTTCGTCTACGCAAAATAACGTTAGCGCCTTCGTTCTAAACGACACGAGACGACGACCATGGCGCTTGCCCGGGAGCATCTTGGAGAGGAGCGTCGTCGACGTTCGGCTCACTTTCTCGAGCGAAATCGAGTCTTGCCAGGTCTTGAATTTGCTGTGAAAGTTGCTGTCCCCCTGCAATATCGTACGTAGTATGTGGTAGCGATGAGGTCGAGGACGAAGGAGGTCATACCTGAGGCGGCGGCGACGGTGGCTGGCTTATTGGTTGCGGCGGTGGCGAGGTCCACGAGACACTTGCCGCAGGCGACTCGGTGAAGGAGGCGTGGCGCGGGCTCTCGTAAGCCGGTTTGGTCAGCATGTCGTTGCCGAACGAGGCCCGCTTTGATGTGCGGCCGTCAAAGATCTGGCCAAACTTGGTGCCGACGGCGGCGGCCCAGCGGCTCGTACCAGCTGCGGGTGGCGTCGACGGCATGGACGGGAGGTCGCCAAGCGAGCTGTTGCGACGGTGCTTGCTCGTGTCAATGTGCGACGCGGTCGGGAAGAAGTCGGGGACGTGCGCTTTCGGCAAGATGGTCAGCGTCAGCGGGAACGTGGCGTGCGTCGCCTCCTTGATGATCTGGCCAAACGGAAGCTGCGTGCAGTCGATAGCGTTGAGCGAAATGACCATGTCGCCGATCGCGACAAGCCCGGACCTTTCCGCCTCGCTCTTGCCGCCATGGCTTGTGGGCCGGAACGACTTGATGACGGCGCCGAGATGCGGTGGTGGGCGGGAGCTCAGATCGAGAAAGAGAGGTCCCTTGGACTCGTACCGGACGTGCCGTAGGAACGGCTGCATGCGGCTAGCCAGATCGAGCACCTTGGGTAAGGTTGGCGTCTGGTCGACCTCGGGCGAGTCCGACTTGGGCGAGAGGCCGTCCGTAGGCGTGCATGAGCCCGACGTCGACATGTACGCCTTGGCGGTCATGAAGTCATGATCGTCGTCGTCATGGCGGAGGATGCTCTCTTCGTCCTCGACCTCGATCTTCCCTACGGCCGCGGCCATCGCTCTCTGTTGCTGCGGGTTGTCGGTTGAGTATTTTTAGAGTCGCCCGGCATCCGGATAGCATATCCGGTTTGCTGCGATCCACATTTTGTGTCGACGGGTTGCCACGTCATTCAGGGCGACGCTTGTCAAGCTCCAGGCGACGACTTGATAGCTTTTGCAAGGCAGCCAGCCGCACGACTCGAAGGCTTTAGTACGACGCATGGGCATTGGTTGCGGTCGTGAGCACGGAATGTTCCATCGTTGTTCCTCCTCGGGCGTCGCAGGAGCACGCTCCGAGCTCACCGAACGTCTTCCAGCAGCTCTCTCGACGCATTAACGATTAGCTTGGTATCACTCACTACTGGTACGACCTTGCGCCCTGTCGCTCGCATCTGTCGACAGCTCCGACACGCTCAGCAAGGAGTCGGTTCGAAATTCGACAGGAGATGGCTGGGCAGGCACACATACCTGTGCACTGCAGCTGCTTTCCACTTCTAATATATGACGCCACCGCCCAAGGCGCCTGTGGCTACATGCCGCAGCAGCAAATGTAGATGGAGCAAATAGAGCCCAATGCCACTTGCTCGTGCTTGGCGCGCCTGCGACGATGGTCGTAGCCTCGGACGACCCATCGACGGCGTCTTTCGATGCCCACTGCGTCCGCCTCGCTGGGCACAGTGGTGAGATTTCATCGTCCGCAGCGACCACAAGAACGGACCTGTTGATTCAACGTTGAAATTCAAGTATGATCTTGTAGAGGCTCTAGACCGCAGCCGATATCCACTTTCAGAGGTAGCAATCCGATATAGTGTGAAGATACCGCTTCTCGCCTCTCAAGCGTGTGTTCAACGGTGGAGTAGCGCGCGTGTAGGTGCATCGTATGGTCTTGTTTAGGCGTAAAGCTCGTGGGACAGACGCTGGATCATGTGCGGTGCCAAAGATTCGGAGGGTGGCATGCGATCTTGCGCACACTATTTCATGCGTCTTGGCTTCGTTTTTGTGGCCGGCGTATCCGGCAGCAGTATCCGGAGATATCCCTGGCCCTTGAATGGCCATTTCCGATTTGTAGCATCGATGGACTCGCTCAAGACGCAGGTGAGCCAGCTCTCCGTCGACGAGAAGACGCTCGAGTGGCCCGCGGCCCGCATCCGCGAGACGTTCGTCAACTTCTTCACGTCGCACCCGGCGCTGCCCCATGACGAGTACAAGTCGTGCCCGGTCGTGCCCCTTGATGACCCGACCTTGCTCTTCATCAACGCCGGTATGAACCAGTTCAAGCCCATCTTCCTTGGCCAGGTCGACCCGTCGCACCCGATGGCCAAGCTCAAGCGCGCGACCAACTCGCAAAAGTGCATCCGCGCCGGCGGCAAGCACAACGATCTCGACGATGTCGGCAAGGACGTGTACCACCACACGTTTTTCGAGATGCTTGGCAACTGGAGCTTTGGCGACTACTTCAAGAAGGACGCGGTCGACATGAGCTGGACGCTCCTCACCAAGGTCTTTGGCCTTGAGCCCGAGCGCCTCTACGTCACGTACTTTGGCGGCGACGAGAAGCAGAACCTCCCGGCCGACGAGGAGACCCGCCAGCTCTGGCTCAAGTACGCCGTTCTCGCCGGCCCTCCAAATGGCTCACGTTGGATGTGTGTAGGTATGTCCCGACCGAACGTGTCTTGCCGTTCGGCTGCAAGGACAACTTTTGGGAAATGGGCGACGTCGGTCCGTGCGGTCCGTGCACGGAGATCCACTACGATCGCATTGGCGGCCGTGACGCTGCGGCGCGCGTGAACGCCGACTTTCCCGATGTCATTGAGATCTGGAACAACGTCTTTATCCAGTTCAACCGCGAGACGGATGGCTCGCTCGTGACCTTGCCGTCGCAGCACGTCGATACGGGCATGGGCTTTGAGCGTCTCGCGTCGATCCTCCAGGGCAAGATGTCCAACTACGACACGGACGTCTTCATGCCGCTCTTTGGCGCGATCCAATCGCTCTGCAAGTCGGAGCCGTACACGGGCAAGCTCGGCGAGGAAGACCCGACGCTCAAGGACATGGCGTACCGCGTCGTCGCCGACCACATTCGTACGCTCAGCTTTGCGATTGCCGATGGCGCTGTCCCGAGTAACGAAGGCCGCGGCTACGTCCTCCGCCGCATCCTCCGCCGCGCTGTCCGCTACGGCGAGCAGTTCCTCCACGCGCCGCGCGGTTTTCTCTCGAAGCTGGTGCCCGTGGTCGTCGAGATGCTCTCGGGTGCGTTCCCGGAGCTCAAGACCAAGCAGGCGCACGTCATCGAGATCATCTTGGACGAAGAAGTCTCGTTCGGCCGCACGCTCAACAAGGGCCTCGAGCGCTTCAAGAAGATCGCGACCGCCATGCAGGCCGAGAAGAAGACCGTCGTCTCGGGTGAAGACGCGTTCTTCCTCTACGACTCGATGGGCTTCCCCGTCGACTTGACGGAAATCATGGCTGAAGAGCAGGGTCTCACCGTCGACCACAAGGGCTACGAAGAGCAGATGCGCCTCCAGTCGGAGCGTTCCAAGCAGGACCGCAAGAAGGGCGGCCTTCACGGCGTGCGCCCGCTCGTGCTCGAAGCCGCCGAGACGAGCCACTTGGCGTCGCTCCACGTGGCGCCCACGAACGACGAGCCCAAGTACGTCCAGGCCAACGTCTCGGCCAAGGTCGTCGGCATCTTTGCGACGACGGCGACCACGTCGGCGTTTGTCGACAAGACGATTGCCGGCGAGTACCAGGCGATCGGCGTCATCTTGGACACGACCAGCTTCTACGCGCAGTCGGGCGGCCAGATCTACGATACGGGTGCCCTTGTGAGCAAGGCCGGTCACGTTGATGTCAACGCGGTCGAGTCGTACGCTGGCTACACGCTCCACATGGGTCCGTTGACGTCGGGCTCGCTCGCGGTCGGCGACGTGGTCGAGGCCAAGGTCGACTATGTGCGCCGCAACAAGATTGCGCCCAACCACACGATGACGCACGTGCTCAACTACGCGCTTCGCAAGGTGCTCGGCGGCACGGTCGACCAGCGCGGCTCGCTCGTCGACGACGCGCGCCTCCGCTTCGACTTTACGACCAACAAGGCGCTCAAGCCCGACCAGATCGCGGCCGTCGAGGGCATCGTCAAGGACATCATCGCGCAGCAGCTGCCCGTGTACGTCCAGGACGCGCCCCAGGCTCACGCCAAGCGCATCCAGGGCCTCCGCGCCGTCTTTGGCGAGACGTACCCGGACAACGTCCGCGTGGTCTCGATTGGCGCTGCGATTCCGTCGATGCTCCAGGACCCCGAGAACGCGGCGTGGGCGCAGTACTCTGTCGAGTTCTGCGGTGGCACCCACCTTGGTAACACGAAGGAGGCTGTCGCGTTTGCGTTGCTTGAAGAAGGCGCGATCGCCAAGGGCATTCGCCGCATGAGCGCGTCGACGGGCCAGGCGGCTATTGAAGCCGGCAAGCGCGCGGACGCGCTCCAGGCCCAGCTTGAAGCCATGGCCAAGGCGCCGGTGGCCGAGATCGCGGCGGCCGTCGCTGCCTTCCGCCCGCAGCTCGATGCCAGCATCATCTCGCTCCCGCGCAAGGAGGCGCTTCGCGGCCTCCTCAACGACTTGGTTGAGAAGATCAAGGCGTGGCAGAAGGAGGAAGCCGCGTCCCGCGCGGCCGCCGGTGTCAAGACGGTGTCGGCGCTCGCGGCGACGGCGCTTGCCAACCACCAGGAGTTCTTGGTCCTCAACTTGGAACTCGGCACGGACGCCAAGCTCGGCAACCAGCTCTTGGAAGCTATCACGCAGGTCCACCCGCAGGCGAGTGCGATCGTCTTCAGCGTCGACGCTGAGGCGGCCAAGACGGCGGCGTTCTGCCAAGTGAGCCAGAAGCACAACGGCGAGAAGCAGTTGGATGCCAAGACGTGGGTCAACGCGGCCATGGTCTCCATGGGCGGCAAGGGCGGTGGCAAGAACGCCTTCAACGCCACGGGCCAGGCCAAGACGACCGACAACTTGCAGCAGGCGATCCTCGACGCCAAGAAGTTTGTCGGCCTCAACTAAGTGCACGGTAGTAGGACTAGGTACTAATTCATGTGAAAGATGATGATGATTCTTCCTTTGGACACTTGGGCAGATGGGAGGGTACACAAAAATGTTGGCTTAGAGCACACAGGCTCGCTGCCCACAATGGTGGCAGCCTAAATACAATCGTTGGAGAGACGACCTTGCGAGATGCGAGTCGTCGGTCTCCATGTCATATACCGTGTCGACGCCATGCACATGGAAGCTCGGGTCTTCGCCGCAATGCTGCCTGAATGCATACATGAGAACCCATCCACGTCATTGGGTGTAATACCGATGGGCTTCGAAGGCCGTTGCTAGGGCGCGTTGGAACTCGGACAAGGCCGACGTCTCGGGGTCGGCGGGGAAAGGCAGGTGAAAGCCGCACCGACAGGACACAACGCGCGTCTCGACGTCTTCGGTCCAGTCGATGGCTTCGTCAAGACCCGACTTTTGCAGATCGGACACAGCACAAACTCGGCTTGCTGGCAGAGGTCGAGGTCCTCAAAGTCGGCGATCCATGCTTCTTCCTCCGCGAGCGCGGCCTCGGCCTGGATAATGTCTTCATGCGTGACCTCGTCCCGGAGCGCAGCTTCGAGGCTCATGAGAATGTCGAGGTAGTCGTCCTGCGAGAGCTCGCCGTTGACGAGGAGCTCGTCCATCGCATTGACCTCGGAGACGTCCATGACCTCGGCGGCGACGTCCGAGAAGCAGTTGCGGAGGTTGTCGAGGATGCGCTTCCGGTGCTTCTTCATGTGGTCCATGCAGCGCTTCTTGATGCGCTCCTTGAGACCCATGGGGCTCATGAAGGTCACGTCCCGGCCTTGCGCGGCCCAGCGCTGCTTGCCTCGGACTCCCGCCATCATGCGCTTCTCAGAAATACCCGCGCGGGGAATTGTGCTCTCGATACAAGCACCACCATACCCTTGCTACAAGAACAGCTCGCGCGCGGTTTCCACGCGCGCTCATTGGTCAGCACCACACGTCACTGTATTTAATACTACTGTACTTGATGTTTGTATCCAACGGTCGTATTTCTTTTTTAAATGGGACCTGGCGATCTGGTTCGACACCCCGGGGCACATCAAGTTGAAGTTCATTTTTTGTGACGACGCCGCCAACGACGCCAGCATGCAGCATGGATCAGTCGCCATCGCAACGAAGAAGCTGGGGGATCTACGATGGACAAGTCGCAGGATACAATATGCAGTGGCTGCTAGGGACAGCGGACCACACGTGGCAGGGACCATATATGAGGCGGTCTCACGAGTGCACGGTAGTAAGAGTTGCAGTATTAGTAGTATGGAGGAAAAGAAGGTCAGTCTAATAAACGGTTGAATCAAAGGCGCACACGGAGTTGTAATTCTTGAACGTCGTCGTCTACTCGGTCAGAAGCTTGAGCTTCTCATAGGCCGAGTTGATGATGCCCCACGAAACAAGCGACCGGACAAAGTTGATGTGCACGCCTCGGTAGACGTGTCGCCAGCTGTGGTCGCGTTCGACGTACGTCAATCGGAGGGCCTCGGCGACACCAATGTACTCGCCACCATAAATACTTTGCATGCGCGTCTTGGCGACTAATTTCAGGTCCATGAGTCGAGAACGAAGAGGACGAGCATACCGTTGAGGGGGAAGAAGAGTGTGCTGAGAAAGGCGCCGAGGACCGCGCCCGAGACAAAGTCGGCGGCCAGCGTCGTGTGCGGCGTCGTCGTCTCGGGCAAGAAGTCGCGCACGTTCTCGCGCAGACCAAAAAGACAACGTTCGAAGGGCCGTTGCGCAAGAGAACCGCCGAGAGCCCTCGGTAGTGCTCGCGTACGCCGAGCATGCTGATCCGATAGAAGGCGTCGATCGCGCCCTTGAACTCGTTGTTGTACTTGACCGTTTGCAGAAGGGTTTGCGCGCGCTACGCCTCGTCATGAGCGGCGAAGAGAGTGATGCAAGCGTACCTCGAACGGTGTCAAAATCGCCTCGGACGTCCCCGAGAGAAAAGCCGCGTAGTGCGACGTCGCAATGCCGTTGATGTGGTTGCCATACTCGTCCGTCATGGCGTCGTTGTAGCAGTTGTAGAGGCCAAACATGAACGACTTGGCGGCCGCGGCTTGCATGAGCGGCGGGCGCACGCCGCGGTACAGCATGTTCCAGCCGTCTTGCTGGAGGCTTTGCCACGCTTGGACGGTGGATGAGCCATAGAGCTACAAGGCATGAGAACGTTGGCATCATGTGTGGATGCGTACTTGCTGGCGGAACATGATCTTGTTGGGCACGAAGGTTAGGACGATGTTGATGGCGGCGGCCGTGCCACCGCAGGCAAACTCGCGCAGGTTCGGGTTCTGCGCAAAGAAACCGGTCGGCTCGACGGCCATCGAGTCCATGGAGTTGGCAGGTAGATGGACGACGACGACGATGGACGCGCTCGTGAGCCCACGGCGAATGCGTTCGAATGACGCAGGCTTCAGAGCTGGTGCATCCGGATACACATCGTATGTTCGATTGTCTCCTGCCTTGTATGCACGGAGCGAAATAAAATAAAGATGCCGGATTAAAATAGCGTATCCGGATAATGCAGCACGCGAGAAAATGAATGGATTAAAGTCCGAAATATCTGCGAATCAGACGTGCCGACGCGCACCAAATATAGCCAATCACAGAGAAGGATTGCATGGCTTGTCACACATGAGTCAGGCAGGGACGTGAGTCGTGGCAGCTTCACAGCAGCCGACGACTTGAAGGCTGCGCGCTCGCACGCTACTATCGACCGTTCCCATATCGCTCGCGTCAATAATGCAAATATCGACCGTTCCCATAACGTCACTGTCGTGTTCTATATATTGAAAGTGAGATGAAGAGCGTACTTCCCAGATGCCTGTAGAGACAACGACATCCGACCTCTCGTCGACGGCAAGTCGAATCCGAGTCTGAGCTGCTCGTGGTACCATTAGGTTGGTGAACGCTACTGGAGAAGCCATCTTGTCTGGCGGTGCGGGTTGGTGAACGCTACTGGAGAAGCCATCTTGTCTGGCGGTGCGACCGAACGACAGAATGAAACAAGCAAAATATACACAACGGTCCTTTTAAAGTGTCCGCGCCAGCTCGGTCTGCACGATGGACGGCCACGCCTTGGTGAGCGTCGTCTTGTACTCGTCTTTGATCCACTTGAGGAGCTCATCGAGGAGGAACTTGGGGTTCTTCTTCCACTGCGCGCAGAGCGTCGCGCGCGTCGCAATGTCGTTTCTAGTATGTATCAACTTGATACAAGGATACCATGGTTGCATTCAGCGTACCGCTCGAGGGCCATGACGAGCAGCTGGATCTTGGCGTCAAACTTTTTGCGCAAGAGCGAGGCACTCGGCTCCTTGAGCCGCGTCGCGAACGGCAGCAGCGACGGCACGACCGCGCCGTCCAAGAGGCAGCGCGCAAACCAGCGCACGCGCATCGTGCCCGCGGGGTACTCGACCTACGCTCGGTGACGACACCACTTTACGAGTCTGCGTACCGTCACAACGGGCAGTTCCCATTGGTGCACGCCGTACACGGGCTTGACAAAGCAGTCGACGCGGTCCAAGGCTGCATTGTAGCGCGGCGATGGGGCCGTCAGCGGCTCGGAGAGCTTGCAGAGCGGCGACGACTGCGCAATCGCAAAGAGCCAATCGGGCTCGATGGCGGTCACCGTCTTCATGCACGCGCGCGACGACCGGACAATGGTGTTGTAGACCACAAATGGCGGCAGCTACGATCGCATTCCAGTCGCCATAGTGACAAGAGCTCTGGAAATACCTTGGCCGGCTCACGTGTAAAGACATGCGAGTGCGGATGAATGTAGATCGGCTCGTTGACGAGGCCGCTGCACGAGACGTACGCACAGTTGCGCTCAATCTTGGTGCCTTCCGTGATCGTGCCCGGCGGGGCGCGGTGCGCGACGTGATCGAGGTACCCTACGTCCATAACAATTAAGACATGTTGTCCAAACCATGGGCGGCGCACCGGCCGCGACGATCTGGCGAATCGTGTCTTGCTCCTCGGGGCTCGGCGGCGGCATGTTGGGGCGCAAGGCCACGGGCGTGTAGCTCGCATCGTTCGAGAAGAGCTTGTTGACGATGAGCGTGAGCTGGCTGCGCAGCTTGAGCATTTGCTCCATGATCTACGGATGCCACCAGTGAGTCGCCTCCCTTCTTCGTCTGTAGTGTAGAGTACCTTGGCGTGCAGATGGTTTTCCTCGCAAAACGCTGGCGACGCGCCCGAGTAGGCGTACGCACCGGCTGCGCGAAGCATGCCGAGAACGTCGCTCTCTTCATCGACCCACTGGCTGTGCTTGCGCATCTCCTCGGCTTCCTTCCACTCCTTGGCCATGTCGTCGCTCATTAAATAACCGGCTCGTCCGGCTCGTCCGCATCCTCTTCCTTGTCCTTGCGCTCGACGGCGAGCACAAAGGGCGGCTGCCCCGTCAGACTTGCGACGACCGCAATGATGTACTCGAGGCACCCGACCTGCTTGGCGATTAGCAGCATCTTGGCAAACCTATCGCAGCGTGATGAGATCACGATAGGCACACGACTTGGCGCACCGGGCCGCGACGGGGAAGAGCGCCAGCGTCCGGCCGAGGCTCGTGATCGTGTCGTTCTCCATGTTGAGCGCCCCGAGGTGCATGAGCGTCGTCATCGCCGCCTTGAGCGCGACGGCTTCCGGGGGCGTCGGGAATGGAAAGTTGAGGATGCGCTCAATGCCCATGGCTTTCATCTGCAAGATGACGTCCTCGATCGGCTGCGTCAAGAGCTACGACCACATATCAGATCGTAGCGTTCTGGATCGCGTCGACCTGAGGCGGCGAAAACTTGGGAAACTCGTTTTCATACACGGCCGACGAGTACAAGCGGTAGCAGTGGCCGGGGCCAGTACGGCCGGCACGACCCGCGCGCTGATCAGCACTCGCCTTGCTGATCCACTGCACTTGGAATTCGGAAATACCCGTCTTCAGGTCAAACACGCGCTCCTTGGTGCGGCCCGCGTCCACAACGTACCTACATCCTATGAGACAAGACAAGAGGCTCAGACGTTGTCTACCGGACGCCTGGGATCGTCAGCGACGTCTCAGCCACGTTGGTGGCAACCACAATCAACCGGTGCTTGGGCGGTGGCGCCTCAAAGACCTACCATCGAGCACGATAAGATCTAGGAGGATGCAAGCAAAAGCGCACCTTCATCTGTTCGTCGTTCGCGAGCATCGAGTAGAGCGGGAGAACGTGCACGTACGGCGTCGAGTTCTCCGTCGAGCCTTCTTCGTCGTCTTCGGGCTGATGGTCGTTTTCTTCCTCCGAGTCGGACGCATCCGAGTCCTTCTCGTCCAAAAGCACTTCGTCACCGAGGAGCTCGGCTTCTTCGACGTCGGCCTCCTCGTCGTCGTCGTCGTGCTCGCGCGCAAACCAGTCGTCGTTCGCGTCCGACTCGCCTTGGTTGCGCCGAGAGAGTTTGCGGGCTTTCCGGGTAATCTTGGAGCCCATGGTGCGGCGCAACTTGCGGCACAACTGGAGGATCTCGCGCTGACCCGTCAAGAAGACAAGAATCGCACCGTCGGGTAGCTTGCGGTGGATCTTGGAGACCTATGTAGCAACGTATCAATCCTCCCATTCGGATGCAGATCTGATTGATGGATACCTTTTGGTAGGCGGCATGGACATAGTCGTTGAGCTCCGTGTGCTTGTTGAAATGCACCGAGACAGGGTACTGACGCGCGTCGACCTTGATGACTGGCGGCGGTGACGGGAAGAGCGTCTTGTTCATGGTGAAGTCTTCGACCCGCAGCGTCGCCGACATGATCACCTACAGACTATGTGATGATGTCTGTACGGAAGGATCGAGGCGCCTACGAGTTTGAGCGGCTTGAGCGGCGGCGGCGCATTCGCCCGCTCGTCGGGCGTCATCGACGCGTACATCTCCTGCTCTTCCGCGGCCATTTGCGCGCGGAAGGGCGCGACGCGCGAGAGAAGGCCGATAAGGATGTCCGTGTTGACGTTGCGCTCGTGGGCTTCATCGAGAAGGATGATCGAGTACCTACACGACATATTGATTTGAGCATTGACTTTGCATTTTGGGGATTTGTAGGTCGCACTTTTTAAGCAAGAAATCTTGCTGGATTTCCTTGAGCAAAATACCGTCCGTCATGAATTTGATGCGCGTCTCGGTGCCAACGTGTTCGTTATCGTACCGAATTTGGTACCCGACCGACCCGTGCTTCCCAAACGGGACGTTGAGCTCGGTCGCGACGCGCTGGGCCGTGCTCACAGCAGCGACACGACGCGGCTGCGTCACGCCAATCATGCCTAGTCGTCAACGCGCTATACGACAATATTGTATGGTGTCGTCGTGTACCTGGGTTGTGTTCGTCAAAGCCGTAACCCGCCTCGTAGAGGAACTGCGGCACTTGCGTCGTCTTGCCACTGCCCGTCTCACCGCAGAGGATCACAACAGCGTGGAGCGAAATCGCTTCCATGATCTCTTGTTCCGAGCTGCAGACCGGCAGCTGCATGCGCGAGAGCTGGATCGACTCGATGCGGTTGACGGCGACGAGCGTCTTCTTGACTTCAACGACCGGAAGCGTCTCGGCGGTGGCCACCATCTCGGACGTCGTCGGCAGCGGAATCGCCGCCGGCACGTACTTGGGCGCGTCCGCGTACTTGTCGGCAACGGCCGGCGCAACCGTACCGGCCAGCTTTTGCAGACGCTTCTCTTCGTTCTTCTGGCGGAGTTCGAGGAGCTTGGCCATGAGCGCCGACTGCGACGACGACGAGACCGCCTCCGACATGGTCGCTTCGGGCGCCAGTGTTGCGACCGCCGGGGCCGCCGATGGCATTTGCACAACGTTGACAATGCTCTTGGACTTCTTCTTCTTGGCGGCAGCCGCGTTGGACGTCGTCGTTGTGGGCGCCGCCGCCGTTGTCGCGGCAGCCACCAGCGTCGGCGTCGGCTCGGTCGTGTCCATGTCGTACTCGTCGACGACGGGCTTTTCCTGGTAGAGCTCGCTCCGCGCAGCGTCTGTGAGCGTAAGGCCGGCCTTTTCTTGGTTGACGGACCGACGCAAACGCTCCCGAAGCGTCTCCTTGTGCCCAAGGCGCGCAGTCGAGTACATGAGGTTCAAGTGCGCCTGCGGCAGTTGTTGTTGCTCGAGTGACTGGAGCACAACGTCGCGCTTGGCCTCCTTCGCCTTGCGTGCTTCCAGCTGCGCGAGCTTCTTGCGCTTTGTCTTGCTGAGCTTCTTGGCTTGCGCCATGACCGCTTCGCTGATCGCCTCGGGCTTCTTCTCGGTCTTCTTCTTCTTGGTCATAATGAGCAGCTCGTCCTCGTTGCCGCCGAGCTCCTCCATGAGCTCCTTGGAGAGAAGGCCTTCATGTTCGGTGTCTTCCATGGGTACGTCGGCGGCCGACGTCGGGGGAGGCGGTGCCACGGCCGGAGTCAGCACGCGCTTCTTGTTGCCCTTGGCCATGCTCGAAAATGGATCGCGAGCCTAAGTACGTTGGAAATACACATTTGATTGGCTATTAATACCGAATACACGCGCGTGATTGGCTATTTGAGGCTAAAATGTGGTCGCTCAACATGGTTGGTCGATTTGTCTAAAGCTGTCTTATTGGCTGGCACGGTATCCAACAAATAGTGTTATGAAACGCCCCCGCTGACCACGATGATCCGCCTTGATATAGTGTGCGCGTCACAGTGCTGTTCAAGGAGGTCGAATGCAGCCTCCGACCATGCTAGCAGACTTTGCAAAAGCTCAATGCCGCATGTGATTCGCGCCAGAAAGAGCGCAGAACTGCTACCGAATGTGGCCGGTGCGAGCGCCTTTTCGCTAGTACTCCGGACGACGCACTAAAGATTCGCGTAGCTCACGTGCATAGATAGATAAACGCGTTTTTGGTTGATCTCCATCACTTTGACCGGCATTTTCATTGATGAAGACGGGCACGGAGCTAGTCGCAGTCGATCGTCGTCCATCGACTTAAGCAATATGAGGTTTCGCGCCATTTTTGGTCAAGGACATTGTCCTCCGTGAAATGATTCCCTCGTATTGATAGAGTCTTCGAGCAAACAACTATGTAGTGTATCTGCCATCTTGCGTTCGTTTGCTTTCATACTACGCCTACTTGGTCTCCCTCCCATTGCAGGGGATCTTCCAGGCATCCAGGCCGGCTTGTGATTGGTGGTTCCCAGACTAATTTCGTTGCACACTATTTGATGTAGTACACGAATTGCGTGTAAAAAGGCCAACTGAAAAGCCGCCATTGGTTGGCAGACACAGGACCTCAGTGTTGAAACATCTTTGAAGGATGCCGACGAAGCGCGTGAAGGGGAAGAAGAAGCTGAAGAGCATCAAGGCCAAGCAGACGGACGCGCATGGCTCCAAGCGCCGCCTGGCGAAGCTCGGGAAGGAGCAGCGCAAGGGCATGAAGGGCACGGTCGCCAACTACATTACGCGCTCGCAGGCCATCAAGAAGCTCCAGATCACGCTCAAGGACTTCCGCCGCCTCTGCATCCTCAAGGGTATCTACCCGCGCGACCCGAAGAAGAAGGCGAGCGGCAAGGCCACGACGTACTACTACATCAAGGACATTATGCACCTCGCCCACGAACCGATCCTCAACAAGTTCCGCGAGTTCAAGACCTTCATGAAGAAGCTCAAGAAGTCGCTTGGCCGCAAGGACATCTCCGAGGCGCGCCGCAAGAACGACCAGAAGCCTACGTACGAGCTCGACCACATTGTCAAGGAGCGCTACCCGCGCTTTGTTGACGCGCTCGGCGACCTCGATGATGCGCTCTGCTTGATCCACCTCTTTGCGGTCATGCCGGCCATCAACGGCATCAAGTCCAAGCTCACGGAGACGTGCCTCCGCCTCGTGCGCGAGTGGCAGAACTACGTCTCGGTCTCTCGCAGCTTGACCAAGGTGTTTGTGTCGATCAAGGGCATCTACTACCAGGCGTCGGTCCTCGGCGAAACCATCACGTGGCTCGTGCCCCACACGTTCACGCCGCAGATGGACAAGCACGTTGACCTCCGCGTCATGCTTACGTTCCTCGAGTTTTACGAAGTCCTCCTCAAGTTTGTCAACTTCAAGCTCTACACGGACATTGGCGTCGCATACCCGCCCCAGATTGACCTGCAGCTCGACGGCGCTGGCGTCCAGCTTGCCGCCATGAAGCTGCAGAAGCTCGAGGCCAAGAACGCCGCCCCCAAGGCGACCAAGGCCAAGGACGACGAGGACGTCGACATGGCGAGCAACGACGACGCGGTCCGCGCGCAGCAGAAGGCCTCGGAAGGTCGCATTGCGTCGCTCCAAATCTCAGCCGAGGCCGACAACGACGCCGAGGAAGAGGTCGCCAACTATGGCAAGATGACCGAGTCGCTGGAAGCGGCGTTCGCCTCGGATGCGCTCGCGGCTCAGTTTGTCGCAGACACGAACGCCGAGGAGTCGCACCACAAGCTCTTCAACGGTCTCCGGTTCTTTCTCTCGCGCGAAGTGCCGGGTGCCCCGTTGGAGTTTGTGATTCGCGCGCAGGGCGGCGTCGTTGGCTGGGAAGGCCAGGGCTCGCCGTTCAACGAGAAGAGCGATCTCATCACGCACCACATTATGGATCGCCCGCACCAAGGTCACCGCTACTTTACCCGCGAGTACGTCCAGCCGCAGTGGATTTTCGACTCTGTCAACAACGGCGTGCTCTTGCCGCTGGACAAGTACGTGCCGGGTGCGTCGCTGCCGCCGCATCTCTCGCCGTTTGTCGATGACGCGGCTGAGGGCTACGTGCCCGACTACCGCAAGCAGCTCGACAAGCTCAAGTCGGCGCTCGACGTCCACGCTGAACTTGCTGAGGAAGAAGACGACGAAGACGACGAGGTGTCGGAGGACGAAGAAGCCGTGTACGCGCAGGGCCTCAAGGACGAAGCCGACGGCAAGGTCGAGGCTGGCAACAGCGACGACGACGACGACGAAGATGAGGATTCGTCGAGCAAGAAGCGATCGGCCCCGACCGCCGTCTCGGACAAGCCCACCAAGAAGATGAAGAAGCAGGCCGAAGACGAGGAGCTCCATGAAATGGCTGTCTCGATGATGAACAAGAAGGCCAAGAGATTATACAGCCGCATGCAGCACGGCATTGGCAAGAAGTCGGACGCTGTCAAGGCCCTCGAGGACAAGAAGAAGGCGTTGGACGCTGCCAAGAAGGCCAAGAAGTAAAACACGACGACTACTATATTAACAGAACAACACGGTTGGATATTAGATGTACAATATTGTCTTTCTTTCCCCAAAGCCATCGACGAATCGATGCGAGCACGTTGAAGCTGGAGGCGTTTCACTTGTGATGGCACCTCATGCCGCCACGTCATATCGATGGACGCAATAAGAACCCGACACATCGGGGGATGGTTCAGCGTTATTAATACTAAATCGACACTACTAGGCGTCGAGCTGGTTGCTGCTTCGCGCAGCATCGAACCGTCGACCGTTCAAAACATCCGTCTTGGAGATCTCGGTGGCGTATGCATTGCGGTTCTGTAGAATCTCGTGGGCGTGCAGTCGTCGGTTCTTTTCGTGGCGCACGGTGGCTTTTCGATGGTCCTTGTCGTCGCGAAGGCGGGCTTTGGTCTCGAGCGTCGCGCGTTCGTTGAGCTCGTCTTTGGCGGCAAACTCGTGCTCCTTGACGAGTGCTTGTTGGTGCCGATACAAGTGGCGCACGTTTTTGGCCATGAGCTTGGTCGCGGCGTCCGTGCGCGCATCCTACGCGCGTTTGCTGCCATCAATGCGGTGGCGACGCGTGTCCTACGGTCTGCGTCGCGCGCTGTTTGATGGTCGCTTCGCGCTCGGCGCCCAGCGACTGCTGCATGAAATGGCGCTCTTCCAGCATGTTTTTCGCCGCACCGAGAAACATGCGCTTGTTGGCGATGAGCTCCTCTTCGTCACGGAGACGCCGCGCGTCGGCCTCGCGCTCGGCGCGCTGCTTGGTCATTTTGGCCGCGAGCTTGAGGTTGCCTTCGTCCCGCATTTTCTTTTCTTTTTCTAGCTTTTCCAGCTCGAGTTGTTTCTTGCGCGCACGCGCCGCGCGGTTCGCCGTCGCCGCCGACTCTACGCATCAATCTATCAATGTATCAAGATTGAGTGCGACGACGTACGGCGAATGCGCGCAATGTTCTGCACTCGGGATTTGAGGTCCTCTTCCTTGTCCTTCTTGCTCTCTAGAATGTGCTCGCGGCGCTCGGCTTCCCACTCGGCCTCTTGAACTTTTTTCATTTGGAGGCGCTCCCGGAGCTCGACCAGCGACATTTCCTCCAACAAACCATAGTTGGAGCTCTCGGTCGGGTCAAACACCTAAGTCGCTACGAGATCCAGTCGATGGTGTCGGTCGTACCGCCACGTGCTCGCGGTGCACGCGGTCCAGCGCGCGGATTTGGCGAATGAGGTCTTCCCGCTGAGCTTGGTCGATCGCATCCTGCTCGGCTTTCCGTTGTCGCTCGGCTTCGAGCATTGCATTGAGCTCTTCTCGCTTCCGAGCATTTTCGAGGCGGACGCGCTCTTCGGCTTCGCGCGGCGCCACCTCGCGCGTCTGTTTGATGTCGGTTGCGATCTGTTGGTACTGCTGGTTGAGCTCGAGCTCTACGCACATAAAATGCAATGAAAGCCTTGGCGGTGCGGCCGAAATACCTTCTTGTCGCCGCTTCTCGTCGTTCTCACGCGCGACGAGCTTCATTTGGATGGCGACTTCGCGGTTCTCGGCCTTGGCGCGCAGACTAGGCAAGAGGATGCTAGCATTTTTCACATCGTCGGCGGAGGAGACCTCGCTTCGATGGCTTCGTGCTGAGCCTGCGCCATCTCGAGGCGCCGCATCTCGACTTGTCGGCGGTGGTCTTCGTCGTCCTTCTTGATCATGTCGCTCTGCCATCGGTAAAACTCGGACGCATCGCGCAGATCCGACTCGTACGCCTACAGGACCGAGCGTCAGTGCAGCGCCACATTGAGGTGTCGCCGACCTGAAGGATCTTGGCTTCCTTCTCTTGCTTCTTCTTGTACAACGCGTCTTCGCGCAAGATGGCCGCCGTGTTGAGTTTCACGGGCGCATCTTTTCCGTAAACAGCGGCGCCTACACGTACAAAATGTACCGAATGGCGACGCCAGCTAGTCAAATCGGCCTACCGGCTTGGCTTTGAATTTGAGTTTGAGCTCGGCCATGCGGGCGTCCTCAACCTCCTTCTTGATCGCATCCAGGTTGCTTCGCGTTTCTTCGAGCTTGAAAGGCTGCGCTGACGACTCTTCGTATTTTTTGAGCACCTAATTCGTATCGATTCGTTCTAGTCTGCTGATAAATAGGGGCTGCATTGCCTCTTGCTTGGCCGCCTCGCGCCGCTGCTTTTGCTGCGTCTCGAGGTCCGAGAGCGTGAGCTTGTTGAGCTCTGGTACCGGATTCGCCTTGATCTCGAGCGGAATACGCATCGGCTCCGCGATCGGGCGCGGCTTGGGCTTTGTTAAATTGGGCGCAATCGGGATCGTCGGCTCCTTGCTCGCGACGCGGACGATGCCGCCGTTGGCCTTGAGCGTCTCGCGCGCCGCGGCCATACCAAAGGCCTTGGCGTGGAGGTGGTCGAGGATGCCATTAATGTCGTGCTTGAAGACGAGCATTTTCGCGATCATTTCCTTCTACATGATGTCAAAAATGGTACAAAATCGGACAAGACACATGTTCGTGTTGTACCTCGATGAAAGCTTGGTCGAGGAGTCGAGTCCACTCGGCTTGGACCGGGTAAGATGGCTTCGTCAAAGAGGTAGGTGAGAAACACGTGCATCGACGTCGGGTTCTGCGACGACACGATGCTCTTGAAGGCGGGCATGCCGATTTCGCTCAGGCGGAAGATGCTCAGGTACGCGAGGATCATAAACTTGGTGTAGTCGTTCCGGCTGGTTTTCGCGCTATTGTCCATGTAAAAGTTGGCCAAAAACACCTTGAGCACGTCCTTGTAGCGCACGCAGCCATAGAGCACTTGATGCAGAAAGAGTCGGTCGGCGTCGGGCAAGTCGCGCAGCGCCTCGTCGACATGCGCGTCGACCGTCATGATGTTGGGGTCATATGACTTGACGAGCGCTTCGCAGGCGCCGAGAAGCTCCTTCCGCTTCATCTCGCGAGTTGCTGCTATTCAAGGATCGGTTTCGACGACATACACTCTGCATTTTGACTTGGGTGCACAAGTAGCTACGAATTTTGGCGCCACAAATCGAAGCGATGCGTCGTTGCAGCTGGCGTTGACCCAAGCAAGAGGGAAGACGAGCGGGCATGGAAGGCAGAAAAGGGTCGAAGCGTTTGCACTGGCGTTGTGAAGAGTGCTGTGCAGAAGGGGACCCGTGAACCGAGCCCGAGTATCTTTAGTGTGGCGATGGGCCGTTGGCACCCAAGTGTTGTGCGATGCATCGCCAACAGATGGAGCACCCATCGATCGTACTCGCACGAATACTTTGAGCCGGATAGCTGTATGAGGCTTGACGTTGGCGGGGCTTGAAACCCGTGCCTTGGATAGCTTGCATGCGCGGCCCGCTGCCTACCATCCGACAGATCGCCATTCTTTCCTAGCGTGTAAAAGGTTGGTGGCGCCGAAATGCATGGCGGTTCTCGCGCTGATGGTACTTGGTCGGCTGCGTCCTCCTCTCTGTCGCGATGCCTCGACAGTCGTGGTACGCAAAAGATTTCGAGGATTATGCGACAATTGGATCGAAAATGACGATGCACTAGACGATCGCAGGCTCCTGGTCTTCTTCCTGGTACGGCGTCTGGGACGTGCCAAAGAGATCGTCGTCTTTGGTGACGGACGGCCGCGTCGGCAGCGGGACGGGGCTAAAGCTGGCGACCCGCAGCGCCTCGATGCGGTACTTGAAGCCGCAAGAGAGCGAAGCCATGCAAAGCACAAACGCTGCGATGAGCCAGTGGAATGACGCGCCGTACGACAATTGCGCCGGCGCTTGCACGGCCCATGCAATCATGGTCGCAGTTGCCATGAAGAGAGCAAGCATCATGGCCGTCAGGTGAACCAGGGTTGCGTGGGCTTGGAGGAAGCGCTTGCCGCCGCAGCAGCCAGCGACGAGCGCGACGCACTCGGAGACGATGCCGATCACGGCGAGAGCAATGACGACTTGAACGCACGCGAGTGTGAGCCACGCCGAGACACCGCACGCGTCGGCAGCAAAGGCGTCAAACATAGACGCGTCGAGATGGGATGCCGACCGAAGCGCTGCGTACGCCGACGATGCCGTGTCGAGGGTGCAGAGCCCGGTGCCATCGATCGTCACAGAGTTGGTGGTGGTCGTCGATGCGTGGGGCTGGTAGAGGACGCAGTGCCCGAGGTACGAGCCCGCAGACGTGTCCATGCGCACGTCCGTGCAATAGCCCCACACACCGGCGGCGAAGCGTGTATGGAGCGTGAACGAGGACCCGGTGAACGAGAGATTGTCGAGCGCCGACCAAGCGGGCACGACGAGTGCGAAGGACGCCAAGAGACAGGCGACAATGGCCAAGACGATCGAGAGAATACCGTAGCCAAGCATGCTGTTGGTGTGCTACACAGCAAATTCGGCAATGCGGCATGCACCTGGCGAATGCGAGGGCGAAAATGAACCACGCAGGGGATGCTGCGCAGAAACGCGTCTGATTGGCCGACGCACCTTGCACTTGGTCGCAGCGGTTGCCACGTCATGGTGCAAGCTACTCGTGTTTTGTGCTCGCGTGCGAAGGCGTTAAAATTTGAAGTGTTCAGCGCCAACAACCGCAGCGTCCATCCGTGTGCGCCGCGTCAATCAAAGGAAGGACCATCGAGGTCGAGGTCGAGGAGGTCGATGGGTGCGCATAGCATGGAGGTGGCGCCCTTCTGGCAGGTGCTTTGTCGGCACAGACAGCCCGTGTACGGTGTTGGCAGTGGTGAGTTTTTCGAGCGGTGACACACCTTCGTGGCCGCTTCGTCCGATGCCGAGTTCTTCGAACGCGCTCGTTGTGCACCAAGGTTGCTGCCGTCGTAAAAACGAGCATGTGAACGCTTCTGACGTCATGGTGCTCAAATAAATTATTACCAGGGATACCATACTATGGTTGTTGTTCGGGTCTGTCGACGGCTACCCGCAGTATCGCAGTATCGTAGTATGTCCCCGAGGGGCCAATGCATTCCAACGGGGACGGGCGGCCAAGAATCCATCACATCACACACCACTATCATTCGCTTTGTCGCTTCACGACGCATCTGCGCCGCCAGAATGAGTACCATAATACCACATCGCCAGCTCACATCGCCAACACCATTCTCCAACACATACCGTATCCTAGTACATGCATTTTAGTCGACGAGACTCGCTTCGAAAGGTGCAACGAGCAACTACACACCGTGTGACAGACACCAACGTCCTCGTGTTGCTACATGTATCTCACTCGGTGCAATCTGGATGCACCCAGCCCAGAGAGCTCAGCCGAAGAGGTCAGTAGAAGCAAGGGTATATAATAAATGCATTTATTATATACCCTTGGTAGAAGTCTCTAGTGTCAGAGTAGCTTGTCTTGCGGCCGCTTGCCATCAAATATATGCAGCAGCGCTGGCTCATGGGCAAACATACGACGTATCGATGCACCCGCGTCGATCTTCTGAAGACGCGAGATCGTCGTCCAATGACGTCCTGCCACCATCAATTGGTACTATTTGTTGTCGCGAAGAACCCCATTGTTGGCATTCTCAGGGTAGACAAGGAAAAATGCTGTCCACTCGGCTTCTCTACGCCTTCCTTTGACCAAGGTTGCGCGGCTGACCCGTCGCACCTAGTTACCCTTTTCAGTACCTATCGGTTACACCTGGCCCTTCGTAGTTTGGTTTTACATACAAACACCAATATGTCTCTATTTGCCGAAGATTTTTACCACCTTCGCTGTCCACCGTTCTGGACACACGCGCTTGTATTAGGCGAATTCGGAGTGCGTATGACAAGCCCGTCGTGTCCAGGCCGATAGCACCGTCGCGGCCATGGTCGCTCACACTTGATCTCGCCCCGATGCCACCGGCCAAGACCTCGGGCCACTGTGCCATCGCCTTTTGCGCTACAGCGTTTGCCTTGTCTGCGGTCGCGATTGCCCTGCCGCGCTGGTCGGCGGGCGCCACGTTCACGGATGGCATTGGCGCGCTCTGCCTCACCAACGGGCCTGGCCACACGCGCTGCTTGCAATACCACACACGCAATAGCTTGGCGCCGTACCCAGACATGAGCTTTTGCAGCGTGCCATCCGACTCGCGGCTTCTGGGCGAGACAGCGATGCAAGCAGGCCTCTCGACGCCGCAGCTCGTTGACCACGTCGCCTCGGCGTGTGGCTTTAATGGCTACGCTCTGGTTGCGATGGTGGCGCTCGAGATGACCATGGGCTTTGTGTCGCTTGTCGTGCTCTTCAACGGGATCTGCTTTGGCCGGCTCAAGGGCCCTGCCGTGCCCATTGCAGTTGTCTGCAACGCCGTCGCCTTCCTCGCTGCGATCCTCGTCGTTTGCCTCTACGCCAAACCCAACGGCGCTTCGTACGACGTCTCGTGGTACCTCCTGCTGGCGTCTGCGTTCCTCTACGTCATCTCGCTCATGTGCGGTATCGTCTTTCGCACCACCCGCCGCCACGTGGACGCGGACGAGGGCGACGACTTTGGCCATGTCCGCTTGGAGACGCCTACGGGCAGTGTTGTCTAACTGCGCACTTCTTAATTTATCTGTACGTTGTGCTTTTGTTTGTCTCTTCAGATTCGTTGCGTCACGACCATTAACCCTCCAACGCCTGACTTTTGTTAATCAAATGCCGGGACACTTTGCGTCCAGACGACGACAGCAGCACCACTGCACGCTTCATCGGCAACCATAGAGGTTTGCCCCACAACTTGACATGTAGAGGGTCGTGGACACGGAAGAGGAGTGCTCTGATGTATTTTACTGTGAATCTATATGACCTCTCGCCGCTATTCTAGTCTGGCAAAGTACGTGGTGCCACCACGGTCGCGTCTCGAGCAGTTGACGAAGTTTGAATGCACACGGCTCAGGAATGGCCAGTCGGTCGGTCAATTCGTGTTACGTAGGACCGACGTCATCGAAATTAGGTGGCTAGCGGACGTCATCGAAACTAGGTGGCTAGGTGCCCTGTCGTGAACCCGCTGCGGCAGGCCAATCCGTTACCCCATTGACTACACTTGTAACCACACGCGAACGACTACAGTTGGAACCATACGCAAACGAATGGCGAGTCCTTCACGGCGCATCGCAGCGAAGGCTTCAGAAGCGTTTACGATTGTAATACAATAGTGTCATGCGCTGGACGATGACGGTATCGGCATTAACAACAGTCAAAAAGACAATCGTCAAGAAGGCGACGCTACATCACAGCAGCGTCTTTGTCGACTTCCGAAAACATGCACTCTTTCTAGACAGAAAAGAAAGAGCAGAGAAAAGACTGGTCTAACTGCATGTAGCAGTAGTTTATTAGCCTCAACCGTCTCGCAGCGAGCCACAACGAAGCGCGGCGACCAGGCACCCACAGTCGTCCGAGTATCCCGCGCGAAAAGATCGCAATCATGTGAACCTGGGTTTTCTTGAGAGTCGTATTTCATCAAGCGCTTGTTGGATCGTTCATTGCCGCCCAAGGCGTTAAATAGGTTAAACGCATGCCGTCGAACAACGTTTGCAGGTGCTAGTATGTAAAAACGCCCTTTGCAATCCACAAAGGCCAAACCTCGTTTGATTTCGTGTCAAACGGCTCGTTTTCCCTCTGCGAATGACCGTTTAAGCTGGCTGCTGTGTAGCCCAACCGACTCACGATTCATAACCAGTACAACCGCCACCCAGATTGCTCTACGCAGTCCCTAATACCCGCTACTGTTCCAACGACAACGTCTACGCGCTGTGTTGCGACGACGTTGAAACAACCCTTTTGGTCCATCGCCTACGTCAAAGCCTTTTGCAATGCACAGCTTGTCGTTTTGTCTTTTTGTTGTTTTAAAAAAACGTAGTACGACCGATACGTTAAACTCGTCGATGGCATGATGGAATGATGAGGAAAAGTTGCGTTGTTTGCGCCGCCGCCAATCCGGATCATCGCGCATCCGATTGGTCGTGTCGCATGCCTCACTGATGATTGTGCTTGGCGCGATCTAGCCCAATCGTCGCGTCTGATTGGCTAAAATGGTGATTTCCGTGGCGCCCGAAACCCATCAGCGCCAATCTTAGCCGCATTTCGGAATTCGTCACGGGATGACCACCAGAATGCACCACATCTCGCTCTGCGGCCTCCTCGCGCTGAGCCTCGCGGGCTGTGCGCTCTTCTGCACGTCCTTCGCGGTGAGTTTGCCCTTTTGGGCATCCACGGACGACGTCGACTCGCGTCTCTCCGACTCGGACGACGACTACTCGATGTTTGCGGCCGGCATTTGGGGCTTCTGCACCGATATTATCACGGACGAGCACAACTACGTGCGAGCGAATTGTACGCCGTACCGCAATTGGCTCTTTGGCAGCCCCAACGTGCCCTACAACATTACGTATTCGTCGGTTGCGATGACGATTGCGCCGGTCGGCATGTGCCGCCACGAGCTTGGGTCCTCTGCGCTCAGTGCGCTGCAAGCGACGCTGCCGCTGAGCCCATCGCAGTTTCGTGCGTTCTATGACTCGTCGTGCGGCGGCTGGGCGCGCTTCTCGCTCGTCATCAACGTTTTCGTGCTCATCAGCGCGATCTTTACGGTTGGCGTCTACAGCGTCATTGTTGTCTTTTGGATTTGCCCGCCGTCGATGCACACGCAGCTGTTCATGTCCCGCATCGGTCTCCGCCTCCTTGTCACCGTCTCGATGGGCTCGCTGCTCGTCCTCTCCGCGTGGTCCAAGCAGAGCCCCGTGCACGTGCCATACGGCAGCGCGTACTTTTCGGCGCTCGTGGCGACCTTGCTGTACTTCTCGGCCACCATGGGCGCCTGCAAGTATCATTTCTACGACATCCCGCGCCTCAACGGCGTCCTTAACGACGACGGCGAGACCTTTCCCGAGGCCGTCAACGTTGTTTTCATCGAGCTTGGAACGCCCGTCCAAGACAAGGACGTGATGCCAACGGTCGCGCGCGTAACGACCCCCGTTATCACGCACGTTTAATGCGCGTCCATTAATTTATTGTTTCTTTTCGAATCTTGCGCGCTTGCGTTGTTGAACTATTGCAGTGGCATCACCACTAATTTGCTTTTGGCATCGTCGCATTCACATCCTCCAGCACGAATCTGCGTCTAGACGAGCGCACCGGTAAAATTTATACGGTGAAGTATGCACGCGATGACGACGTCGATTTTTCGAGCTCGGCATCGTATTGCCAGGCCTCGTTCCCGGTTGTTGCGGCTCAGTACACCGCGCGCCCATTGTCCCTGGGCAAACACACACAGCATGCCTTTGTATAGATGAGCCTTTGCTTGTATTATATATTGGGTTAGTGTGCCGTCTTCGTTCAAAAGTCGCAACAAATGTCGTCTTAGCGGTTTTGGTGGTTGATAAAGCTCAGCGCAAGAAAGCCTAGGAGGCGAAAGGCCGCGATGCAGCCGCAGAGCACTGCCACGTTGGCGCCCGCATCGCTCGAGTTCATTTGAAACATGGTTTCAATGTACTGCTTGACCGTCACGCTGGGTGCATTGTTGAACTTGTACACAATCAGCGACAGCGGCACATCCGACATGACGGCGCAGCCCAAGTCGTCCGGGTGCTCGCACGTTGCAAAGGCCGCCGAGACGAGGAGCGAGAGGGCGTACTTGGGTGGCACGATCGTGTTGAGCCACTGCAGACCGGCCGGGATCTGCGATGTCGGTGGGTTGAAGCCCATGAAGAGGAAGAAGATCGAGCTGATCAAGCCACCAATCGTGCTCGCAACCTCGATCGACGGCAGTGCGCACGCGAGCAATTGACCAAAGTAGACTTGCATGAGCACGAAGAGGAAGAGGTAGATCGTGAAGAGCACGCCTTGGCTCCACCCGACAAAGCCCACAAACGGATAGAAAATGAGGTTGAAGACGACGACCGACACGAAAACGTACGGGATCTCAATCAAGGTCGAGCCGACAAAGTACCAGACCGCGCTGTACGTCTCGCAGGCCCGCTCGCGGTAAAAGCTCGCACGCTCTTGTACGTACAATGGCAGGACGTTGTTGAAGCCCATCATGCCAATGAAGAGCGACGCGAGGAAGACGATGCCGACGCCCGCATTGAGCCCGCTAAAGCTCGCGTAGTTGGTTCGGCAGTAGATGATGCCAAAGAGGATCGAGAGCGCGACGTTGATGAGGATGCGCGTGAGGTTGTACGACGGCGTGCGCCAGTACATGCGGACAAACCGCTGGAGCACCATGCGGCATTGTACACCCGGGTCCGCCGCACACTTGCGTGTAAATATCATCTCGGCGCGCTTCATATTGCTTTCTTCTTGGAGCACGGTCAGCATATCGGCCTTGGCCACACTTGCGCTATAGAGCGCGGCAAAGTCTTTTTCGGTCGCACCGGCGGCCGTGCCGGCGCCAATGACCTCGAGCATCCACGTTGCGGGATTGTGCCCGGGCTTGATAGAAGGCGTGTCGGGAATCGCCTCGAGGTACTCGATCAGATGGGCGCTGCCCGTGCCGAGCGGACCAAAGTAGACGGTGTGCCCGCCACGCTTGAGCAAAAGGAGCTGGTCAAACATCTCGAACACCTCGGACGACGGCTGATGGATCGTGCACACGACTGTGCGACCCGACTTGGCCACTTCGGTGAGCCCTTTCATGATACGCAAGGCCGCCCGCGCATCCAGCCCCGACGTCGGCTCGTCCAGAAAGAGGATACTCGCGTTCGAAGCGAGCTCGACACCGATCGTCAAGCCTACAAGTCATGTCGAGTTAGCACAAGACATCACAATGCGATAGAGACGGGGCGTACGCTTCATCTGCTCGACGGACGACCCGCGGATGATGCTGTTGGCCAAGCCGTGCATGTCCAGCAAGGTGAGGCACTCGTGCACCGACGCCATCTTGTCGGCATCCGAGATTTCATTCGACTGGCGCAGAAAAGCACTGAACTCGAGCGCTTCCCGGAACGTGGCCGACTCGCAATGCTGGTCGGTCTGTTCGCAGTAGCCGGTCGCTCGGCTGATGGCGAGCTTTGTCGCGGGGTATCCGTTGAGCGTGATGCGTCCCTGAATCGTACCGCCCGTCTTGCGGCCAGCGAGGACGTCCATGAGGGTAGTCTTGCCAGCGCCGGACGAGCCCATGAGCGCAGTGATGGTGCCTGGGCGCGCGTAGCCCGAGATGCCTTGAAGCAGATGCTTCTCGCCACCGTGCTGGTCGGGCACCGAGTACCAGACGTCGTGAAAGGCAAGCGTCAGCGGCGCCGCACGGTGGGCCGCGCCGAGGCTTGGCACGTCGATCACTGTGTTTGCCGCCGGCATCACCCTTACGCTTGTGCACGCATTCGCGTTCATGGCCTCCTGCTCTTCAACAATGACGTTGGTTCCTTCGGGGCTCTCGTAGCGCTTGTACTCGAGGAAGAAGTACGAGAGGCCGAGGAAGAGCACGTAGGTCGCGATGAGGTAGATGAAACCAGAGGCAATCCACGTCGCGTCTGCTTCAAAGCCGTACATGTGCAGCTGGTACGTGCCCATGTTCATGCCAGTCATTTTGCAATAGTCGACGCCGCCATAGACGCATTTTTGGTACTCGGATGCAATGTACTGGTTGACCGCGAGGAGGCGGAAGCACCACGCGAGCGGATTGATCCAGTAGATCCACACGCAATAGTCGGGCAGCGACTGCTGCGAGATGAGAAAGCCCGCAAAGATGATGTAAAACAAGATCGAGAGAAACGTGATGGGTTGCGCGATGAGCAGATTCGGGGCGGCCGACGAAATGAAGAAGAACCACGCGGCAAACGTGAGGTTGGCGACGAAGAGCGCGCTCAGAAAGACAAGAAACGCCGTGAGATCCGCGACAAAGCCCGTCATCCAATAGACGAGCGACCCAAAGAGAATGGATTCGCCAATCGCAAACGGGATTTGGGCGAGCGACGTCGAGAGCACGTATGAGGATGTGCGGTAAAAGTGCGCGCCGCGCTGCTTGTAAAAAATCGCGCGGGAGGCGAAGAACGTGTTGACTTGGGACGCTTGGCCAATGGCGATAAACATGATGGACGAAAAGATCATGCCCATGACGACCTGCGCCAGCGTCGTGTCCATCTGATAGAACGTAAGGCCATAGAGGAGGCCCATGATGACCACCATGGCAAGACGGCCTTGGATGTACGCCGTGTTGCGCAGCATGAGCTTCCATTGACGCTTCATGACGGTCTGCGTGCTCGCCCAAAACGTCTGTCGGTACTGCGGAAAGTCGAGTTCAAAGTGGTTGCCGTCAATCGGCCCTGCAATCCGCTGCACCATGCTGGCGTAAATCTCCGAGGCTTTGAACCGCGCTGCAAAGTCGGCTGCCGACCGAGGCACCTTGGCTGCGCCTGCAGTCACGTAAAGCGATTGCTGGTCGGTCCTAATTCACATCGCTCTCAGTCACGAAAATGAAGTGATGGAGCGAGTACCCAAGGTCGAGAAGGTAGTCGGCGACATCGCGCCGGGCGGGGCACACAAAGCCAAGCGACTCAAAGTACTCGAGCACTTGCGTCCGCGGTCCGTGGTACATGACGTGGCCGTCGTTGAGGACAAGGACGTCGTCAAACTGCTCAAACACTTCGGGCGATGGCTGCAGAAGCGAGATGACGACCGTCTTGCGAAAGGTGTGGGCGAGGCGCTGACTGGCCTTGACAATATCGAGTGTCGCCGCCGAGTCGAGGCCAGTGCTGATCTCATCCATAAGGTCCACGAGCTTCATACCAAACTTCATTTCGCCCGTGGTGACGCGCTTGCGCTCGCCACCCGAGACGCCGCGCAGCATTTCATCGCCGACACACGTCTTGGCGCAGTGCAAGAGCCCCAGTGCCTGCATGATGTTGTGCGGGTAGTTGTCGTAAAAGTGCTGAATCATCTTGGTTGCCAACTCGTTGTCTTGGGCCGTCCCTAGTCAAATGTGAGAAAAAACCACTGCAATGTGAAAGTACCTTTGTGGAAGGCTTTGGCGATCGTGAGCGGCATCGACTTGCCGCCCGAGCACTCGTTGGCAAACTGAAGCGTCTCTTCCACCGTCAGCGTCGGATAATGGACGTCGCGCTGGCCCATGTACGAGATGGCTTGGGGCAGCACGTGGAGCATCTCGTCGCGCTTCTTGCCATTGTACGTAATGTTGCCTTGGATCTTGACGTTGGACGAGACGGGAAAACGCCCCGAGAGAACCTTCATGAGCGACGACTTGCCCGAGCTCGGCTGTCCGAGCACGAGCGTCATCGTGCCCGGGCGAAAGGCGCCGGTCATGGGCTTGAGGATTTCCTTGTGCTCGATGTGCTTCTCGCGCGTGAAGGTGGCGGCAATCGCAGTTGTGAACGCGTTCCAGACCGTCGGAATCTGGTGCGACCGCGTCGGGTTGACTACAAAGTCGGCCTTGATCGCCAAGTCTTGGAACCGGATTTCCATCTGCGGCAAGCGCTGGCCCAACGCCGCTTGGATGACCTCGAGGACCTTGGCGCTGGCCGCGGGCGCCATCGGGTCAGTTAACCACTCGAGGGTCGGGGTCTTGGTCTCCATGGTAATCTAGCACTGCAACGAATCCCATGCAGCGCCAACGCGATCATGCCCGGAATGCAGTACCATAAACAGGGACGGCCATTATCTCCGGTGCGTGTCGCTTCGAATGGAAGCACGCTGCTATTGGTGCTAGGAATAGTCAGACACGACCCTGATAGCGCAGCATAATCAAGCTTGAAACGAAGGGATCAATCAGCTTGGTGGGACGTACTAATAATATACGAGTTCCCGATAGACATTGCCCCATCGCAGCGACCAAACTCGTTTTGGCTAGTTTTGCAGCAATCTGATTGGCCTGAAAAATTCGAAGCTCCGCTGATTGGCTTAAATATAGAAGTGCATCATGCGAGCAGCAACGTCGATAAAAGGATTGAGTACTAGCATCATATCATGTAATCATATTTATTTATAAGAACGTATATGTCTGCATCTTAGCGCTGCTGGTGGTTGACGTAGCGCATCGCGAGAAGACCAAGGAGGCGGAAGACGAGAATGCAGCCGATGAGCACGAGCACGTACGTCCCGTTGTCCGACTCCTTCATCTGGAACATGACTTCGACGTACTCCTTCATGGTCACCGACGTCGCGTTGTTAAACTTGGCGACAATGAGCGATTCGGGGATGCCTTCCATGTTGCGGCAGCCGAGATCGTTGCCACCCGGCTCGTCGCAATGGCCAAAGACCGTCGAGACGAGAAGGCCAAGAGCGTATTTTGGCGGCACGATCGTGTTGAGCCAGCGAAGCCCGGCGGGAATCGCAGATGTCGGCGGGTTGAAGCCCATAAAGAGGAAGAAAATCGAGCTGATCAAGCCGCCAATGACGCTCGCAACCTCGATTGACGGCAGTGCGCACGCCAGCAATTGGCCAAAGTAGACTTGCATGAGTACAAAGAGCGAGAGGTAGAGCCAGAACCAGATGCCTTGAACAAACCCGACAAAGCCCGCAAACGGATAGAAAATGACGGTAAAGATCGCGCAGCCAACGAGCACATAGGGGATCTCGACGAGCGTCGAGCCGAGAAAGTACCAGAGCGCATTGTACGTCTGGCACGCGCGCTCGCGATAAAAGCTCGCACGCTCCTCCACAAAGAGCGGGAGGACGTTGTTGAAGCCCATCATACCGATGAAAAGCGACGCCATGAAGACGATACCGACACCGGCGTTGAGCCCGTTGAACGTCGCGTACTCGGTGTTCATGTATATGACGCCAAAGAGGAGGCCCATGCCCACATTGACAAGCATCTGGGTCAGCGTGTACGACGGCGTGCGCCAGTACATGCGCACGAATCGCTGGAGGACCCACTTGCACTGCGTCGCGGGTGTCGCGGCTCGCTTCTTGCGGAAAACCATCTCTTCTTGGATTGTCGTGGCTTCGTCTTCGAGGTCGGCGACGAGATCGCGCTTGAGGTCGCTGGCGTCATAGATGTCGGCATAGTCGATCGTCGACTCGACGACCGCCGTGCCAGCACCAATGACCTCGAGCATCCATGTCGCCGGGTTGTGCCCGGGTTGGATCTTCTTCGTGGCTGGAATCGCCTCGAGGTACGAGATCAAGTTGGCGCCACCGGGCCCGAGGTCGCCAAAGTAGACGGTCGCACCACCGCGCTTGAGCAAGAGAAGCTGGTCAAACACGGCAAACACCTCGGACGACGGCTGATGGATCGTGCACACAATCGTGCGACCCGACTTGGCGATCTGCGTGAGGCCCTTCATGATGCGCAAGGCCGCCCGCGCATCCAGCCCCGACGTCGGCTCGTCCAGAAAGAGGATACTCGCGTTCGAAGCGAGCTCGACACCGATCGTCAAACCTACAAGTCATGTAGAGTTAGCACCCAACACCAATGCGAGCGATAGAGACGGGACGTACGCTTCATCTGCTCAACCGACGACCCGCGAACGATGGTGTCGGCCAAGCCGTGCATGTCCAGCAAGGTGAGGCACTCCTCCACCGACGCCATCTTGTCAGCATCCGAGACGTCGCTGGACTGGCGCAGAAAGGCGCTGAACTCGAGCGCTTCACGGAACGTGGCCGACTCACAGTGCTGGTCGGTCTGTTCGCAGTAGCCGGTGACACGGCTGATGGCGAGCTTCGTGGCGGGAAAGCCGTTGAGTGTGATGCTGCCTTGGGTGGTCCCGCCGGTCTTGCGGCCAGCGAGGACGTCCATGAGGGTGGTCTTGCCGGCGCCGGACGAGCCCATGAGCGCAGTGATGGTGCCGGGGCGCGCATAGCCCGAGATGCCTCGGAGCAGATGCTTGTCTTCACCGTTCTTCTCCTTGACCGTGTACCAGACGTCTTGGAACGTGAGCGTGACGGGCGACACGCGGGACGGCGGCATCGCGATGGCGACCGAGCCGTCGCTGGAGCTACCCGCCGGCGTTTTGGGCATGCCCTTGTACGACGCATCGGCGGCGTTCGGCTCGATCTCGTCGACGACGAGGCTCGTGCCTTCCGGCGTCTCGTAGCGCTTGTACTCGAGGAAGAAGAAGGCGAGCATCATGAAGACGACGTACGCCGCCGCCATGTAGAGGAAGCCGTAGACGATCCAAATCCGGTCGGCCGTAAAGCCATAGAGGTGGAGCTGGTACGTGCCCATGTTCATGCCTGTGCGCTCGCAGTACTCGATGCCGCCGTAGCTGCACTGCTGGAACTCGTCGCTTGCATACTGGTTGACGGCAAGTGCGCGGAAGCACCACGTGAGCGGGTTGATCCAGAAGATCCAGATGCAATAGTCGGGAATGCTGTCCTTGGCGATCATAAAGCCCGCAAAGAGCACGTAGAGGAGGACCGAGAGGAACGTGAGCGGCTGCGCCATGAGCAGGTTTGGCGCTGCCGACGAAATGAAGAAGAACCAAGTCGCAAACGTCATGTTGGCGAGCACAAGGGCGCAGAGAAAGACGAGGAACGCCGAGGTTTCGGCCACAAAGCCCGTCATCCAGTAGACGAGCGAGCCAAAGACAATCGACTCGCCGATCGCAAACGGGATCTGCGCAAGCGTCGTCGAGAGTACGTACGAGGCCGTGCGGTAAAAGTGCGCGCCGCGCTGCTTGTAAAAAATCGCGCGGGACGCAAAAAACGTTGGCACTTGCGACGCTTGGCCGATCGCGATGAACATGATGGCCGAGAAGACCATACCAAAGACGACCTGGGCTTGCGACGTGTCCATGTCGTAAAAGATGAGGCCGTACAGGAGACCCATGATGAGCACCATCGAGACGCGGCCTTGGATGAACGCCGTGTTGCGGAACGTCAGAATGAGCTGGCGCTTCATGACCGTGACCGACCCGTCCCAGAACGACTGCCGGTACCGCGGGAACTCGGCGACGTGGTGGTGGATCTCGAGCGCACCAAGCACGTGGTTTTCGTGCTCGCTAAAGATGGCCGAGTTGCGAAAGCACACGGCAAAGTCGTCGGCCGACGTTGGCACGACGAGCGACTCGGTCGCCGAGACGTACTGTTCGCGGGTGCTAAAATAGAATTTCGAAGCTGAGAAAGTGCAATCTCAAAAACATCGAAGCCATACCCGAGGTCGAGGAGAAAGTCGGCCACATCGCGGCGCGGCGGGCAAACAAAACCAAGGCTCTCGAAATATTGGAGGACCTCGGTGCGCGGGCCGTGGTACATGACATACCCGTGTTCAAGACGAGGAGGTCGTCAAAGAGGTCGAGCACCTCGGGCGGCGGCTGCAAGAGCGAGATCACGATCGTCTTGGAGAACGTGTGCGCCACGCGCTGACACGCCTTGATGATGTCGTAGGTAGCCGCCGAGTCGAGACCGGTACTGATCTCGTCCATGATGTCGACAAGCTTCATGCCAAACTTCATTTCGCCCGTGGTCACGCGCTTGCGCTCGCCGCCAGAGACACCACGAAGGAGCTGGTCGCCGACAATCGTGCTGGCACAATGCGTGAGGCCAAGCACCTTGAGGTTGATGTCAGGCGAGTGCGTAGCAAAGTGTTCGACAACTTGGCTCGCAAGCAGGTTGTCTTCGGCCGTGCCTAGGTGTACAACGTAAGAATAAGAATGGGCCATAGGATTAGATAGATCGTACCTTTGTCGAACGCTTGTTTCATCGTGCGAGGCATTGCCTTGGCACCCGAGCATTCGTGAGCAAATCGAAGCGTCTCTTCGACCGTCAGCGTTGGATAGTGCACGTCGCGTTGGCCCATGTACGAGATGGCTTGAGGTAACACGTCCAGCATCTCCTCGCGAGGCTTGCCGTTGTAGGTGACTTGGCCTTGGATCTTGACGTTGGACGAGACGGGAAAGCGGCCCGAAACGACTTTCATGAGCGACGACTTGCCTGAGCTCGGCTGGCCAAGGATGAGTGTCATCGTGCCGGGACGAAAAGCACCGGTCATGGGCTTGAGAATTTCGCGCTGGATGACGCGCTTCTGCGTCCGCCCCGGCAGCATGGTCGTCAGAGCTGTCCAGACAGTCGGGATGCCTTCGGTGGGCTTAGTGCTGACTTCGACGTCAGCGGTGATGGCAAGATCTTGAAACCGAATTTCCATCTGCGGCAGGCGTTGCCCCAAGGCCGCCTGGAGGATGTCGACGACACGACTAGCGTCGAGCTCGGAAAAGTCGTGGCCCGTCTTGAGGGTGTCGACGCGTGTGGGCATGGTGGAGGATTGCGTTCTGCCTCGACGCCACCGAGGTTGCGCGTGTTGTGCATAGAGGCGCGAGTCTGCAACCACAGCTTGCCACGTGGAAACATATGTTTTCGATTTGTTTACCGCGAGCAAGTGTAGTGAAATCAACGCGTTTGATTGGCCCGCATTGATTTTCACGCCAGCCCTTGCGTGCGTGATCTTGAGATCACGCCACAGTACACTGGCAAACTGTATCGGATTATCCTATGGGCGGACAGAGTAATGGGCCAGGAATCTCTAAATTTGTTGTCAGCACCTCGTTCGTCGCAGACTTCGACTTTGAGTCGTAGAAATTATGCGTGGCGCTGAGACGATGATGGCTGCCGACCGTTGCGCGATCAAATTGTGCGATACCTGACGCTACACTACAAAAGGCGGCTGCGCAGCGTGAACGGGTGAAAATGGCGACATCCTCAAGCATCGACTCTGGTTATTGCTCTGGATGCGAGACGCACTCGGATGGCATGACATCCGCAACAACAATGTCGCCGTGGTGCACGCTGGAAGCGTACCGGTATCATAATGCAAGACAATTGACGTACCTAAGAAGTGCGATTGGGTGGTCATGTCTGCTGTCAAAATGGTTAGCAAAGCTGTTAGCAACCAAACGAGTCTTGCTGATGTGATTTGGGGCAGCGATATCGTTTTAATTCACCATTTGTATGATTCATAGCAACCAACACGATAGTTGATACTCCGAGGTCCTTCACCATAGCAACGCTTGCTCGAGATCTTGTGCCAATACTTGAGCCAAGGCGTTGTGTTTAGCAAAGCTGGAGCTGCATACAACGCGTTTCCTGTCCGGCTAACACGATGTGCCCAAATAAAGGGACCTTGGTTTCTGCGCATATGTCGATCTTTCTGCGGCTTCACATTCCACAATACCAAGCCCTCATGGTACATTGCACTCGGTTGCTTTTGCTTCCTTCAATGCGTTTCGTGTCCAGTTGGTGGGCATTGATGAGAAATGACGTGCTTCGATGCCCTTGGTGGCCATGCAACGATCTTTGTTTGCAATCAGCCTTGGCCATCGTTCAAGCACGAGGTAGCGTGAGCAAGAGACAGGTTGGGCCCCTCAGGTGCTCCACAACTGCGCGCGATGTCCATGAAGCGAAAAGCTCAGATATTAATCGTGTGGAAGAATACATCACCTTCAACGGGATTGGTAAACTTGGCGTCGAACAATTGAGGTTCTCGAACAATTTAGAAAATAGCCCCTTGCGTCTCACGTGTCCGAACTGTCTGTGCTCACAAGTACCGCATCATCACGCACGCACGCGCTTGTGTGTGTCGCGGTATCTAGCTTCAAGCCAAACACGCTGTAGATGCGTGCTATAAATTCGAACAATTCGCAAAGATATGGTGTCGACCAATCAAAACGCACCTTGAAGGATCCGACGCTGTCGACGATCAGATCTGGATTGGCCAAGAAGCGACAAGACAGACCAGCAGCGAGGACCGGAAACATGGCCACACCCGACACCTCAGCGCGCACAAGCGCCGTCAGCGACACGGACTGGATATACGACACGTCCGAGGAGCACCACGCCAAGGCAGCGCAGATCATCCAAGCGGCGATAGGGCAAAACCTTGCGCAGATGGAGATTCGGTTCCAAGACCTCGCCATCACGGCCGAAGTGACGGTGAACGCCAAGAACTCGCAAGAGATTCCTAGTGTCTGGACGGCCTTGAAGGGCATGGTGACGTTCCAGAAGAAGCACGTCGTCCACAAGGAGGTCCTCAAGCCCATGACCGGCGCATTTCGCCCGGGCACCATTACACTCGTGCTCGGTCAGCCAAGTTCAGGCAAATCCTCGCTCATGAAAATCCTCTCGGGGCGCTTTCCGGTGGCCAAGAGCGTGCATGTGGCCGGCGCCATCACGTACAATGGCCGGCCGCGGGCGGACTTGCTTCCCGTGCTGCCGCAACTCGTCGGGTATGTTGGGCAGCGCGACTTCCACTACGCGACAATGACGGTCGAAGAAACGCTCGAGTTTGCACACGAGTGCTGCGGTGCGAAAACGCTCCTACGCGAGCTGATTGACGGCTTCCACAAGGGTACAATCCCATTCAACTTGTGTGAATCACTCATAGGGTTCTTAGGGACGGCTGAAGACAACGAGAGAGCCAAGGAGACTGTCGAGGCATTTATTACCAACTTTCCCAAGCTCGTGCTCAAGACACTCGGGCTAAGCCACGTCGCCAAGACGATTGTCGGCGACCAAATGCTGCGCGGCGTCTCGGGTGGCGAGCGCAAGCGCGTGACCACGGGCGAAATGAAGTTTGGCATGAAGCTCGTCGATCTCATGGACGAGATCAGCACTGGTCTCGACTCGGCGGCAACCTACGATATTGTCAAGGCGAGCCGTACCCTGGCGCACACGATGCGCAAGACCGTCGTCATCTCGCTTCTGCAGCCGCCGCCCGAGGTGTTTGACCTCTTCGATGACATCCTCGTACTCAACGAAGGCCACGTCATGTACCACGGTCCACGAACGCAAGTGCTCGGGTACTTCGAGGGCCTCGGGTTCCACTGCCCGCCGCGGCGCGACATTGCCGACTTTCTCTTGGACCTCGGGTATGTCATGCCACGTTACCACAGCTGAATTGTCTCATTGTAACGCTTGTAGAACGGACCAGCAGCGGCTGTACCAGACTGGGACGTCGGCCAATGTGCCACGCGCCGCGCACGAGTATGCGTCGAGCTTCCGCCGGTCGCCTATCTACCAAGACATGGTCAACTACGTGAACGGTCCGACGGACGGCAACTTCTACGAGCGACCGTTCCCGAAATTCCGCCAGTCGTTTTGTGCGAGCACGGGCACCGTCGTGAAGCGCCAGATGACGCTCATGGTCCGCAACACGGCGTTTTTAAAAGGCCGCTTCATGATGGTGCTCATCATGGGCCTCCTCTACGGTCTTACGTTCTACCAAATGGACACGTCGATCGCCCAAGTCGTTGTTGGCATGATCTTCTCGGCCATCATGTTTGTGGCCATTGGCCAAGCGTCTCAAGTCAACACGTTTTTTGCGTCCCGCGCGATTTTTTACAAGCAGCGCGGCGCGAACTTTTACCGCACGGCCTCGTACGTGCTCTCGACGTCGCTCGCGCAGATGCCGTTTGCGATCGGCGAGTCGGTTGTCTTTGGGTCGCTCGTCTATTGGCTCACGGGCTTTGTCAACGACATATCGGCGTTCGTCGTCTTTCTCTGCGCGCTCGTGCTCGCGAACCTCACGTTCGCGTCGTGGTTCTTTTTGTCTCGTCGGCCGCCCCGAATCTGCTCATGGCGCAGCCGCTCACGTTCCTCTCGATTCTCTTTTACGTGCTCTTTGCGGGCTTTATGATCGTCAAGGACAACATTCCGGATTACCTCATTTGGATCTATTGGATCAACCCGCTCGCATGGTGCTTCCGCCTGCTCTCCGTCAACCAGTACGCCAACAGCGAGTACCAAAAATGTATCTTCGAAGGCATCGACTATTGCAAGACCACGGGCATGAACATGGGCACGTATCAACTCAGTCTCTACGGCTTCTCGGCGAACCGTATCTGGATCGTCTATGGCTTCATCTACATGGCAGGGGCGTACGTTGGCTTTATGGTGCTCTCGTTTATCTTCCTCGAGTTCAAGCGCTATGAAAGCCCTGAAGGTACCAACGTTGTCGTCGAAGAAGAGCAAGCGCAGCAAGACGAAGAGTCGAGCTACGTCGCGATGCCCAACTCGCCAAGTCAGTCCACCGCGATCGATGTCGGGCTGTCACCTCCCCGCGTCATCCCCGTCACACTGACGTTCGAAGACGTCTGGTACTCGGTGTCGGACAAGAACGGTCAAGAAAAGCATCTACTTCACGGCGTCTCGGGAATCGCCCGCCCAGGCACCATCACCGCGCTCATGGGCTCGTCCGGCGCCGGCAAGACCACGCTCATGGACGTTATTGCCGGCCGCAAGACCGGCGGGACCATCCAGGGACGTATCCGACTCAACGGCTTTCCCGCCACGAAGCTCGCCATCAGCCGTGTCACGGGCTACTGCGAACAGACCGACCAGCACTGCGAGTCGGCCACATTCCGTGAAGCACTCGAGTTCAGTGCCTTCTTGCGCCAGTCCAGCGACGTCTCGGATGCCGACAAGATGGCGTCGGTGGAGGAGTGCCTTACCTTGCTGGACATGCACGGCTTGGCCGACACCATCGTTCGCGGGTCGTCGGTTGAGCAGATGAAGCGTACGTCCCGTCTCTATCGCATTGATGTCGGGTGCTAACTCTACATGCCTTGTAGGTTTGACGATCGGTGTCGAGCTTGCTTCGAACGCGAGCATCCTCTTTTTGGACGAGCCGACGTCGGGGCTGGATGCACGGGCGGCCTTGCGCATCATGAAGGGCCTCACGCAGATCGCCAAGTCGGGTCGCACGATTGTGTGCACGATCCACCAGCCGTCATCCGAGGTCTTCGAGATGTTCGACCAGCTCCTTTTGCTCAAGCGTGGCGGGCACACCGTCTTCTTTGGCCCTCTCGGCACGGGCAGCGCCCATCTCATCGAGTACCTCGAGGCGATCCCGGGGACGCCCGCTATCCAACCCGGGCACAACCCGGCGACGTGGATGCTAGAAATCATTGGCGCCGGCACTGCATCGTCGACGGAGCAGCCCAAGGACTTTGCGGCCATCTTCCACGACAGTCTTGTCAAGCAGTCGCTGACGGTGCTTCTCGACGCCGAGAACGAAGAGACGCGTCAAGAAATGGTGTTTAAACGCAAGCGGGCGGCGCTGCCGCTCGTGCAGATGCGATTTGTGCTGCAGCGTTTCGCGCGTCTCTACTGGCGCACGCCGTCGTACACGCTTTCGAGCGTCCAAGTCAACATTTTCCTGGCGCTGCTTTTCGGCATCGTCTTTGTCGACGCGACGTACACGACGTTCAACGGACTCAACGCCGGCGTCGGTATCGTCTTCTTGGCAACCCTCTTTATCGGTATCATGGGCTTCAACGGAGTCTTGCCGCTCTTCATTGCCGAGCGCAACTCGTACTACCGCGAGCGAGCGTGCCAGACGTACAACGCGTTCTGGTACTTTCTCGGCTCGACGCTGATCGAAATTCCGTACGTTCTCGTGTCGGTCGTTGTGTTCGTGACCATCTTTTACCCGTTTGTCGGGTTTACCGGCGCGGTCCAAGCCATCTGGTTTGCAGTCTACCTCTTCTTGTATGTGCTCATGCAAGTCTACTTTGGCCAATTGCTGGCGTGCGCGCTGCCGTCGATCGAGGTTGCGAGTGTCATTGGCGGCCTCCTCAACTCGATCTTTTTCCTCTTCATGGGCTTCAACCCACCAACGTCGCAGATTCCAAGCGGGCTCCGCTGGCTCAACACGATCGTACCTCCGAAATACGGTCTCTCGCTCCTCGTGACGACGGTATTTGCCAAGTGCGATGCGCCGGGCGACGCCGACCTCGGGTGCCAGCCGCTCACGGGCATCCCGCCGTCGTTCTTGGCATCGCGCTTCAACGGACAAACGTCGCCGGTGACGCTCAAGCAGTACGTCGAGACCATGTACGGCATGAGCTACGACGATCGCTGGAACAACATGCTCGTGCTCATCGGCTGCATCGGCGTGTTTCGCATCTTGGGCCTCTTGGCGATGCGCTTTGTCAACCACCAAAAGAGATAAACGGCTCTTGAAACATCGCCTTTTTCGTGCATTTAACACCAAATATACATTTTAAAATGCAACAAATGTTTCAAGAAAATGAAAGAAGTCATTCAGATCAACCATATGAAGTTCATTCCAGTACGTTGGATGGTACACCCTCCAACGCCGGGAGTTTATAATCAAAATTTTGGTATTTTATTCAAGGGGTTTGAAGATAGAAATGTCGCCCAGTAGAAGACATGGCCCAAGCAATGTGACCGCGTTGGAGGCTATACCAAACAGAGTTGTTTGCACGGTCGTGGCCTTCACGGTCGAACGACGTAATAGCATAGGGGAGGAGTATACCATACGTGCACCATGTCTTTCGATCTTGTAAATCTTGAAGCGGCGCCTGTCTAGCAAGGGCGATATGCCACGTGCGCTCGTCCTCTGGCTTGCCCTCTGCAATGGTACGACGTTGCCGCCGCGCGATAGCCTCCTCACGCATCCTGTAGCTGTCGAGGCATGGAAGCAGTGGAGCTGGGCTGGACCTGGTCCCGGGCCTCGCAGCGGGCACTCGCTCACGCTCTACAAGCAGGTCACCTTGCCTTGTGCATCAGACTCATTCGACGGTAGGACCCGCGCTGTGGTGTTTGGCGGCCGCGCCGACGACACGACGGTTTGTCATGCCACACACCACGGATCCACCAACTTGTGCCCAGACGCCACATGTGCCCAAGACGTACGACATTACGCAAGTCCAAGGCCAGATCCAGTTTTCCACCTACACGGACGAGCCAGGTGCGGGGAGGGTCCTCTGAGTTTCTAAATGTGCATGTCGTTAGTGCTCTCAACGTGCAAGGACAACACGTGCACCATCCCGATTGGCAGCTACTACAACGACGTCTGGTCCTACGACATTAGTGCGAATGGACGCTACATGTCGCGTCTCTCATCATCGCATTTAGATTGCACACGCTACGCCGACGAGAGCTGTCGCGACAAATCGTGGACCCAGCTCCACGAAGGAAAGCCGTGGGGAGGTCGGATCTGCGGATCGATATATTCGCCAAGAGTTTGGTTGTAGGCTGTCACATGGTCTATGGCGCGCTTATTTGCTCGCATCCCGCGGAGCGCTGGTCGACACTCCATTTTATATTGGAATGGCCACACGGCGCTGTAGGTTTCACAAGGCCGAGGTCTACCAAGACCACATGTTTATCTATGGTGGGTACGGGCAACTCTGCACCGACTACTGTGATGACATGTGGTACGATTTCGTATTTCGCACTTGATATATCGATATCTATTGAAGGTAGGCGCTTCAACTTTGAAGACAACACGTGGACCGAAATGGCGGCGCTTGGAACGTACTCGGTGCAAGGGCCAGGAAAGCGCTGGAAGTTTTCGTCGTCGGGCGACGGCACCAACATGTACATCTTTGGCGGCTACCGCATTTGGCACGGCTTTGCGCCTCAAAACAGGTACAAGAATGTCTTTCTTTCAAGGTTAATGGGTCGCTGTCTAGTCGCGCCAACCGCTGGTCGGACCATACGATCTATCCCAAGGGCGGGTACCTAGCCGACTTGTGGCAATTCAACTTTGGTATGGTAGCGTCCGTCAAATATTCGTACGATCTCGCTTCTAGCATCGCTGACGTGGTCGCAGCTGCAGCCAGAAGCCACATGTGTACCAGAAATCAACGCCGTACGATTTGAACTTGCCGATTATACGAGTGGTAAACTTGTCTGTCGTAGGCAACGGTATGTACGTTGTCGTGGCCACCACCCCGCGCCGGACACGCGTCGCTCCTCTACAACAACCAACTGTAGGTTTTACATACCCCTGCCTTGCCATGTATTTTTGACATGTATAGATTCATTCACGGCGGCTATCAGACGTTCTTTCCATACCCCATCACGAGCGGCGCCGGCGCCGGTCGCGCCACCTTTGCCGGCTCGGGTCCAGGTACGCCTTGGATTTTCGATTTTTCTCTTCGTATTTATTTGGTTTCAAAAATTACACATTGTCGAGTAGGATACACGCCGTTTCCAAGCAACCCCTATTACCTCGACGACCTCTGGGTCTACGACCTGGCGTCCGGCCTCTGGACTGAAATCACGCCGCTGTTGAACGTCAAGCCCGGGCCGCGCACCGAACATACCATGGTCGCCGACATGTGGAGATCGTTCTTGTCGACACATTTCGCTAGATTGCGGCGGGGGCCGTCTTTGTACTCTTCGGCGGGTATCTCTCCAACTACTACTACGAGGACACGTGGCACTTTAACTCGAGTCCGTTGCTGTAATCGATCTTCCTCGCAGCTCATGCAATGAGCCGTAGCGGGGAACCAGTGGCTCCAACAAACCGACTTTGTCCACGCACTGTACCCAATCAACTGCACGGACGACTTGGCGGCGCGGGCCGATCCGTTCAGCGGCACGTATCAGTAAATCCTTTGTGTGCATTTTTCTTCTTTTTTCTAGACCATGTGGATAGACCGTATGCACCCGACACCGCGTTGTTCAACTCGACACCGCCCTTGCTGTGGGCCAAACAACTACATTACGGCACCACAACGTTCTCTGTGACGGCAGACCCCGAGCGCCGCCTTCGTGTCAACCCACAGAGTACGTTTTAGCATCCTGTGACATGTCCGAATACCAGAGTAGGTGGCTTGTACCCGCAAGCGCGACGCCAGGCGCCGGGCTGGGACGGCTGTCGCGACCGCGCCGACAACCGGTATCCCCATGGTCTTTCCCGTGGATCATCCTTGCATGCTATCTGGTAGCACCGACTTGCCCTGGGATCTGCAATGGTCTCGGCCATCGCAGCGCGCAGCTCACATGGCAGTCTTCCACAAGGTCCGTTGTCCCATAGACCTCTTCTTTTCAAGCTTTGGACTAGGGCTATGATCTCATGCTGCTCTACGGCGGCTACGGTGCGTCTTCCTCAAAAATGTATGATGTCCATCTATCCCAAATCTGTCGTATCAGGTGTGCGTCGCGAAGAGCTCTACTCGCGCAATAGCACGACGCCAGCCTCTACATACGGAGACTGGTGGTCGTACAGGTTGGCGATAGCATCGCGTGCGCGGTTCTAATTTCCTTGTAGCTTGACCAACTGCATCAAAAACTGCTCGCTCCACGGTGTCTGCTCGTACGGACGCTGCATCTGCAACGAAGGATACTACGGCACTGACTGCTCCAACTCGTATGCGTGGCATTTCATCGCGGCTCTAAGAAGGCATTTTTGCAGGTCCTGCCCGGGCACCGTGTGCGATTTCGACCAAACGACGCAGGTCACGTCGTGCACGCATTGCTGCTTCTCAGGTCCGTGGCGTTGATTCCATCATTCTCCGTCAACTCTTTTCAAAGGCTTTGAACACACGGACAACGACACCTATGTGCCGGGCATTGAGAAGCTCCCTTGCACGGCCGAGAACGTTCATTACTCGAATGGGTACGTATCCTATCTTTCTGTTCGTTCTCGTAGATCGAAATAGCATCTGCGACGGGTTTGGCCAGTGCATTTGCCGTCCGCCCTTCATCGGGGTGCGTCCTTCTTACTGACTTGGATATAGGATGACCACCTCGCTCTTTCTAGCAAGACTGCTCGATCCGCAATTGTGGCCGCAACTGCTCCGGCCATGGCTACTGCAGCGTCGAGTTTCCGAATTCGCGCTGCCTCTGCGATCCTGGCTGGCTCGGCAAGTACTGCGACCAACAGGTTTGTTTGAACAACTGCTCGTACCCGAACGGCGTCTGCGTCAACGGGTCGTGCTACTGCACCCTGCTCTACGAGCCGTACAACAATACGCTGCCGTACTTGCCGTACATGGGCGACGACTGCTCCTTTATGATGCCCTTCGCCCTCGCGACAAGTCTACATCTCTCGTTCCCACTGCTTGCGCTGCTTGGCGTACTTTTTATCGCCGTTGAACCGTACTAAACGTTCAACAAAGAACTCATATATCTGGATGCTGGTGTTGTGAGGTACATGTAGGTAGGTTATCGTTGGGTATACAAGGAAAACAAACAGTCCCGACTACGAACCCACCTTGTCGCTCAGGAGGTTGCCCACGTCGGCGTCGCCCCACTCGTCCGAGTCTGCGCAAAAACGTTATCATCATGCCATGTCGAGTACGATGCAATGTACCGTCGGCGCCTTTGGTCGCCTTGGATCCCGCGCTCTCTGTATCTACGCACGACATTGTCAAAAGAAGGGCGAGGGACTTGACGTACTGCGATACATGGGCTTGGGCACAGCGTACTCGGACTCGGTCTCGGCCTACATGCATTATTGCGGCAAAGTCTTCCCCCATTACGATCGGTCATACCTCAGCCATGCGGTTGTTCTCCGGTGGCGACAGGTCGTGGCTGCTCGATTGGTGCTGGTACTCGTGCTGCTGCTGGCCATAGATGCTTCCTACATCCAGCTACAGATTGCATTCTCTTTATGGCATCTTTACCATCGTGTTGCTGGTTGTTGGCTTCCAGGCGCGAACTGCTGCGGGCACTTCCACGGCTGGACCCGCGCTGGTCCTCGGTGGCTACATTTTTCCAAGCACACCTCATGGACGAAAATGCTGCTACCTCGCGTCATGCCGCTGTTGGAGTTGGTTGCGTTCGTTTGCGCGTTCACCTTGGCGGCATTTTCTACTCAAATTCGTAAAAATGAACAAAAAGAAATCAATTTGGTACCGCGTTCGAGCTTGGCGAGCGCTTGTTGGTGGTGGTCGTACTTTTGCCCGAGGTCCTTGCAGATCGCGACGAGGTATCGGAGGCACTCGAGATTCTCAGGGTAGTCGTGATGGATTTGCTCGTACAAAATGAGCGCTTTCTGGTACGCGCCCATGCGGCGATGACAGCTCGTGACCATGAGTCGCCACTTGACCTACGCGATATTTGCACACACCATTGGTGGTTCAAACAATATTCGCACCTCGGACGGCTGGATCTGAGACGCGCGTTCGAAAAACTGGATCGCCTTCTCGTACAGCTCGCTCTTGACGTACCAGACCTAGCACCAGATCAGACTCGAGATGAGAATCGAAAATACAGACGCCGAGCCATGAGATAACGTCGAGGTTGACGGGAAAGTGGCGGTACGACTCGAGGTGGAAGTGGAATGCCTGGGTCTCGTCGTCGTCCTTGTTGTGGATCTGCCCGAGGCGTGCCAAGACGCCAGGGTCCGCGACGCACTTGGAAGAGCCAAAGCACGAGAGAAGAATGTTGAACCTTCATCAAAATTGATACCACAACAATTCAGCCACGGACGATGAATTACCACTTGACGGCTTGACGGTAGTTGCCCATCATATCGTTGAGATTGGCGATTTGATAGATAACCTAGTTGTATCAAGTTTGTATCAAGTTTGAAAATAGAAAGACCTCGGTGTTGGTCGACACGATGCTATGGAGCTTCTCAAACGCCTGGAGGGCTTCGTTGAGCACACCAATCTTGATGTTAACGAGCCTACAGCAATACTTCCGTTGCAAACGACATCCAAACATGCAAAAATGCGTGGAAAGAGACCCGAGGTTGAAGATGGCTTCGATGCAGTCGGCTTCGACGCCAATGGCTTCAAGGTACAGCTCCTTGGCGCGCTCGCACTCGTTCTTAACGTAGAGGCAGTTGCCTTCGGATGATTGATCCACATCGATGCGATTTTGTTCACGTTGATACCTTTGTTGACCAAAGCCTTGGCGTTGTAGCGCTGGTGGCGCACGGCGAGCGATGCAAACCTAGAATAGGGTTACCGATGGCCACACGTGTGGCTGGATCATGTACTTGTCGGCTTGGTTGTAGTCACCTTCGACAAAGTAGAGAAAACTCAAGTTGGTGGCTGCCATGGCTTTGAGTGCAGGGTCCTTCTTCTCGAACGCCTTGAGCACCTCGATGGCCTTGTCGAAATCCTTGTTTTTGAGAAAGTGCAGCGCTTTGCAAATTTCCCTAATCCGAAAAATTGTCAAATTGCACAATACCACGAGAAAATAGCACACATTTCGCTTGCAATTGGCTCGTGGTCTTGCTTCATGGCGTCAATGACCCAGTTGTAGCCCGCGAGCCAGTCCTTCTTGTCGAGCGCCGGCGCGCACAGCTTCGCAGCAATCAAGATGTACTCGGTCGCCTTCTTTTGGCGCGCGCGGATCTCGGCCTTGAGGCTACGCTTCCAGCATAAAGTACTATGGACAGAACATGTGTTCACCTACCCGTCCTTCTTTAGATGCACCGCCGACGACGGCGACTTCAATTCGCCGTCTTTGCCTTCGTCTTCTTCGAGGTCTTCGTCGCCGACACCTACGATCCATCGTCCCAACCCGTCCCACAAACATGACGTTCCAAGCACCTTCCATCGGAATACCAATGAGGTTCTGGAAGCCCTTGCGCATCTTTTCATGCTCGCCGATCGCGTAGTAGCAAATGATGAGGTTGAAGCCCGACTGGAATTCCGGGTTGCCCTCCATGATGTCCTCGAACGTCGTTGCCGCGTCTTGGTAGTGGCCAAGCTTGATTTGCGCCGAGCCAATGTTCTTTTTGATGTTGTATCGAATTTCCTTGCTCGTGCTCGGAATCTGGTCGAGTGCCATGCGGTACATGCGGATTGCAGTCGGGTACTGCTGCTGCTCAAAGTAAATATTGCCCTACGCACTATGAGACATGTCAATTCTATGTGGTTCCAACCATGTTGACGCGGAGCCGGCCGCCTTGGGGGTACTGCTTGTTCTTGACGATCGGTGTATAGCTCTGAATGGCTTCTTTCCACATGCCGTTGAGGTGGTACGCGTTGGCGAGGTTGAAGAACACGGCGTACGTCAAGTCGATGTTGGTCATGTCGGTGAGCCCGTGTGTCTCGCAGTGCTTGGTGAACATGCGCTCCTTCTTGCCTGCCTCTTTGGCCAGCCGCAGTGCCTCTTCGTAGTCGTGCTTGACGCTCGCCTCGGCGCTCTGCTCAATGTACGTGTTGACTGCCTTCTCGAGCTCGCGCGCCGTCTCTTTGGGCGAGTTCTCGGCCTTCTCGGCGAGCGGCGGCGCTGGCGACTTGCGCGCCTCGCCCAGCGGATCAAACATGCGCTGGCCAGCGGCTGTCTTGGGATTGGACTAGTCCACCACCATGCGTCAAGCGACATTGGACGAACGCAGGGTCGTACCGAGTAGCCTGCGCCCGAGACCGACGTCATGGGCCGCGCCACGTCGCCGCCGCCTTGTTGTCCCGTCTGCAGTCGTCCCGTAGGCAACTGGCGGCCCATCTGCGACGGCGGCGCGCGGAATGCGGTGCCCGGTGGGTTCATGTTGGCGGCCTGACCCTTGTTCATGCCAAAGTAGCCTTGCTGCTGCATGTTCATTTGCATGTTCATGGACGCCGTCTGCGGCGGCGCGAGGTCGATCGAGTAGTTGAAGCCTTCGTAGAGGTCTTCGTCGTCGTCGTCCATCATGACCTGCGCCCGTCCACGGCCGCCCGAGTTGTACGCGTACGCCATGCTTCCGCCGACGCTTCAAAACAATCTTTGCCCCGCGCCCGTTCGGTGCGCGCGATGCCATTGGCCACTTTATAGCCAATCTCCGCTTGATTATTACACGGAAATAGTGTTGATGTTTAAACATGGCACATGCCGAATTCATTATGCGCCAAACGCGCATGGGCCTTTAGTGGGCCTTTAGCGGACCACATCAGATCTCAGTACGTACACGCTGGCACGCGAAGGCGCGCGTGGAGAGATCAGGAACTATCCTGCCACCTCTGTCTTTTGGGCCAGTTTATTTGGTTGTTGTTGAAGTGGGTCTTCTATTACAATAGATATAAACAATGCTAAATAAAAATGTCGGACTTCGTTGTGTGTACTCGGTTGAGGGATCCAGTTTATTTGGTTACCGAGGCGACAGCGTGTCAACAACACAACGGAGGCTTACGCCGTGCGCGCTAGACATATCATGACCGCCACGCACAACAGGTTCGAAGCGGTGCAAAGCGAGATTCAAGAGGTCATTTTTCAACGTTTCCAGCACACTGGCCTGGAGCAAGTGCTATAATCGGGCTTGGTGACCAACCGTGAAAGCAGAAGCCATGAAGGCATCAAGGGCATCCGAAACGAAGGCTCGTATTATTGGAATTTTGACCCTTCCTGTCTACAATTTCCCACGTGGGTATGCTTCTAGTCGTCCTCGAGACCAAGAAATCAGCGTCTTGCAGCACGGCAACGTCGTCTTGTCCCCGCACCTGCGCGGGAACCGCTGCATTGGCGCAGACAACCGCCAGTGACGAGGCGGCGACAACACGCCATGCCAGTTTCGATGGTCATGACGGCATGACCATTTGATGTGACAATTCATCACTTCATTTGTGAGCCAATCGAACAGACGTATTTCCGTCGGACACTGGTTAGGTTTCAGGGTTAGGGTAATGTCCATGCAGGGAAAATTCAATGATCAAAAGTGCACCTGCTGTCCTGGTTGGCCTGGCCTCCTCGCAGAGCCTCTTTGCACGGTGAGGCAAATTACTTCGGCTATCCAGTCAGCATAAACTACCGGTAGTACCAACCTACGTCGGAGACTGGACTTTTCATCTTCATATACCTTTAGATGGCAAGCTGCAGCTGCAAACTATCTCTACATCCTGACTTGGATACCCTACTTGGATACCCTAATGACCGAGAAACGATATGCATCTCTATCGGCAAAGAAGCGCAGAACACAGTTATCAAGCCGACGAGGCAAGTCGAGTAGACATATTTATCCCAGTTGTAAGAACGCTAAAACTTATACAGCGGGTCCACGCGGCTCTGGTACTTGGCCTTGGCAAAGGGCGTCGGCAGTAAGTGGTTCAAGCACGCTTGCCCGAGGATTTGAATGCGCGCGTTGGGCGTAAAGTCGTACATTGTGTACTGCACCGTGCGTACAATATCATATGTCTCCACGCACGCTTCCCGCGCCGCCTCGTCGTAATTGCACACCTTTTGGTTGAGCGCGAGGAGGCTACGCAGCTGCACCGCCGCGTCCAGCGGGTTGCGGGCCATGAGTGCGAGGATCTTGGCGATATCCCACTCCTTCGTCGGCTTGTGGAACGCGCCGCGCAGCTTCTTGCGCGCGATCGCTTCCAAGTCGTCGGTGCTGCAGTGATCCAGCATGTGCAATCTAGTTCATAGTCGCTTGAGCGATGCTTCAGTATCCATTGCACGAATATCCAGTGCGATCCACCTACGTGTCAAACGTCTGCATGGCACTCAGGCGCGTGTTGGCGGCCACGAAATACGGTGTTAGCGCCAAGGGCGCATACTTGGGCCGCGCCGGCGCCAATCGCGGCGGGAAGAGACAGAGGTCCACGAGCGCCTTGTTGTTGGGCCACTTGGCCCGCACGCGCGCTGCAAGAAGGAGAGCGTCGTACTTGGTACCTTGGATCGTTTGCAAAAGGACCCACGGACACGCGTGCAGAAGCTCTTTGGCCGTCGCAGTCGCACCGCGTAGCACCGCCAGATGCAGTGGAAGGCAGCCAGCGTCGTTGATGTGGCGAGCAGCCAATGGTGCAGTTTCCAGAAGCGCTTTCAGGACAGCCATCTCATCATTGTACATGGCAGCGACGTGCAACGGGTACTCGTTCCGAATCGTCATTTCGTTGGCCCATGCGGGACACGTCGCGAGCAGCTGCAGTACAAACGAGGGCGGCATGCGATAGAGCAGCGCGTAGTGCAGCGGGTTGAAGCCCTTGGACGTATGCACGGCCGGTACTTGTGTCATTGTCATCTCGAGAAGGCGCATCAAGAGACTGGGCGGGTACCCTTTTTTGATGGCCAAAAAGAGAGGCAAGAGCCGGCGGTAGACGTGGGCCACAGCGCTGGGCTGGACGTCGAGGAGCAAGTGCAGCATCCCTTCGGGCACTCCGTTTACAAGGCCAAAGTGCAATGGGAACGCATTTTCGGAAACAGGTTCCATCGGACTTCCGTGGGCGATGCAGTCTTGCACGATCTGGAGCCGCAGCGAGAAGGGTTTGCGCGCGCTTCGCACCGCCAGGTGGAGTGGCTGCTCGAATTTGTTATTGCGTAGGCGAAAGGCCCCGGGGCACGCCGTCATGAGTCGCAAAAGGAATGCCCTTGGCGCGTGGTGCTGCAGCGCCAAGTGCAGTGGCGTCAAGCGCGTTGCTTGTGTCACCATCGTGCACGTCTCGATGCCCCGGGGTGCGTCCAAAAACGCATTCAACAATCGCATACTGTGGCGCATCTTGGGCGCCCGTGCCAAGAGGTGCATTGGCGTGTGCCCCGTCGCATTCACAAGCGACAGAACCTCGTCATGCGCTTGAAGAAAAGCAATAATCACGTCGGATGGCAAGGCCTCGCGAAGGGCGTAATGCAGCGGGTAGTCGCCGTGCTAGCCATTTCCACTCTCAGTCACTAAAAGAACTTGTATCCGTCGACGTACGGGGCCAAGTCGTTTGAGCTGGCGAGGGTACCGACGAACAACCAGCTGCGCGAGGACATGGTCGTGCTCGAGTAGTGCGGGCCACACGCCTCTCTGTAGTCGCCGCTTGACGTTGCAGAGCACGTCGTATATGAAGAACGCCGAGGTTCGATACGTGGCCCGGCCTTGCAGTGCCATGGTGGGCATGACGCGTTCGAGCCAGAGCCGGCGCCGGCGCAGCGCAAGCTTCGTGTGCTTCTCTCGCAGCGCAGTCCGTGGCGTTAAAATTTCGTGCTCGCCCAGCAGCGATGGCTTGTCGAACCGAACTTCTTTTGTGAGTCGATTGATATAGTACGACGCGCCCGTGACACGGTCAATGTGGTGGACATACCTAGTCCAAAGTGCACATCATATCGATAGCACATCGCGATACCGTTCGTTGAGCGTCAATATGAGTTGTCGACGGGCCCGCTTGGCGCGGTACATTTTCTGAATGCGCTGCGCGGCATCCGCCAGCATAAGCGGCGTGACGAGCACGACGTCATCGAGAAGACTCCGCATCGTGTCGACAATGATGGGGTGAATGGCAGTGACATTGATCGTGCCGAGGAAGCGCACGCGGCCGGCGTCGTACACCTCGGGCTCGGTTTCATCTGGCAGATAATCGCCGAGCTTGGGGGCGAGAAGGCGGTACTTGAAGTCCGAGAGCTTGTCCTTGAGACTCGCAAACGATACTTCGCTCAAGTCGATGGCTTTGAGAGACGCCAAGAGGGACGGATCCTCTCTACGTAACCATGGTCGACCTATTTCGTTAATGAATGTACGAGTACGCACTTTCCAGTGGCGCTAGCTGCCTTCGCGTCGGCCAAGAGATGGCCGTTGGCTTGTGCGGCCCTTTTAATATCGAGCTCGCGGTGCACCGAGACCCACCACGCAATGAACTCGTCGCAGTCCATTTGTCCGTCACCGCTCGTGTCGATGACTTGCATGAGTCGATGCCGCTCGGCGTCGGATATCGACCAATTGAGCCGGGCAAGGAGGTGCTTGAGCTCGTTCTCGTCAATTGAACCTAGTCGTTGCCATAAGAGATTCGACAAGAAACAACTTGGTTTCTACCCGAGTGGTCCGTATCAAATTGCGCAAACAGGTGTCGCAAGGCGCGGATCGAGTCTTTGGTCATCGCGTGGTAGTTGATGACTTGGGATGTGAGGGCTTGGGCGTTGAGGGACGCGATCGACCGCCGCTGCATACAGACCCACCACGTCGTAAACTCCTCGAGTGAAATGACACCGTCACCGCCCGTGTCCATGGCAGCCAGAATCTGTGGCAGCTGGGCGTCATCGACCGACTGCCCGAGCGCCATCAAGAGGTGCTTGAGCTCCGCCGCATCAATGGTACCTACCCATCTCAAATCGCCGTTCGAATTCTGCACAAAATACCGGATGTGTCTTCATCAAACCGACGAAAAATAGCGCGGACGTCGTGGCCACCAACGGATGCCAAGAGCGTCTGCATGGCCTCTTGAATCCCTGGCTTTTCCCACACGCGTTCGTTGGTGCGGCTGTTGATATAGACCGTTTTGCCTACACGGGATATGTTACATGCAATGTCGATATAACGAAATTGTGGGGAAACCTTGCTCGTCCTTGGATTCGATCCATGCGTCGACGGCTTCTTGGGCCCGCTTTTCTTCGCGCCGTCGCTTCTCCTGGGCTGCGCACGCCGTGTCGTAGGCGAGATACCTAGTCCATCGATTTAAAAAACAAACAAAAACTGCGCACCATTGCACAAAAGCTTCGGGGTCGACGACATGTGTACTCTCCGGGTCCAGATTGTGCAAGGCTTCCAAAAGAGCTTTGCCACGGCACACGCGGCCGAGAGCTTGCACAAGACTAGCATCGAAAACGCGTCAAAATATAGCAAAAATTGATGAAAATGTACCGAGGAATCGCGTTGGAATCGAACGGCGATGCCAAAAAGATGGGAATTGGGACTTTCAAGTACGTGGCACAGAGTTGCCGGACGTGATCGGCACGGGAAAGTGTCTCGTGTTGCGCTTCCCACTGCACATCCACGGCTTGCTTGGAGAGCCACCACGCTTGGAACTCATCGAGACTGACCAGCCCGTCGCCCGACGTGTCAATCGCCTATACATACGAGCATGTCTAGATGTCAACGCTACAAGAACGACGTACGCGAATCATGGCCTGCATGTCTGTCTCGTCGAGGGATTGGCCCATGGCTGCGCATACGCGCTTGAGCTCGGTGGCGTCCAGCGAGCCGGTGTTGTCCGTGTCGTACTGCTGAAAGAGACGTCGCATCTTGTCTCTCATCGTCACGGTCGAGTCTACATTGCATCGACAGATTCAAATGAGACAAACACGAGCTATTGTACCCGAACTAAATTTGTCGAGGAGCGCTTGAAGGTGCGACGTCACCTGCGGCGGCTCCCACTGACTCTCCTGTGTGAGCGGATTGTAATAGAACACTTGGCCGCTGCTTTCGTCAGTGTACTCTTCCCAGTCCCCCAACACTGCCTTCTTGTTGCAGCTGTGCATCCAGGCGAGCACGGTCGCTTTCGAGGCCAGGTCGTATCCGGGCTCAAGCGCACGGATGGCGGCTTCCACGCGCCCAAGCGGCCAGTCCGTGTACCCTAGCGTCTTGAGCAGCGACTGCAGCTCCTTGGCGCTCAGCGAAATGTCGTTGTCGGCGTCCAAAGAGGCAAAGAGCCGATCGATCTTGATATCGATCGTGGCACCGGGGGACTTGTCCAAGAAGACATGCAGTTGCGCAGGTAGCGCGGGGGGCATCCACTGAATGACCTGAGTGCGGTCGTTGGTGTAGAACACGGCACCACACTCGTCGATTGTCTCTGTCCACTCGGGAAAGTCCACGAGGCGTCGCCGCACACGCTGCGGGGCATGCGCGTACCAGTACTTTTGCAGCATTTCAAAGGTAATTCGTGTCGCGTCACCAAACCCCCCTAGAAAATACACCACCTGTCAGCGTTGGTCGACTTGGCACCGCGTAGCTACCAGCGACGTCACGCATCGTAGGAGGCACCGTTCCTTTCGGGGGCACGGGAAGACTCAGAGCGATGAGCATACTGCGCCACTCGTCAACGTCCAAGAACGCGCTCTGATCGATGTCAAAGCGCTGGAACCAGCACTGGAGCTTCTCGTCCATCGACGACTTGTCGGGCAGCTCGTAAGCCGCGAGGATGCTAGCAATAAGATCTGGCAACGCGTACACAACGTCGCCGGTCGTGTAGTCGTAATAGCAGACACTGCCATCGAGCTCGATCACGTGTTCCCAGAGACGTACGATTGGCGCCGGCTCGGCCATTGCCGCGTCGTCGATCTTGGACGCAAGGCGCGCTTGCCACCACGAGACAAAGACGTCGAGCTCAACAACCAAATCGCCGGCCATATCGAGGTCGTACATGGCTTGTGTGAGCTCGTAGCTCGAGAGAGCAACGCCGAGATGACGACAGGCCGACTCGACGTCGGAGAGGTCGATGGTAATGCGGTCTCGCGTCTCATTGCCGGGGTCGATCACGCAAAAGATGCGTCGTGCGGCGTCATAGTCGGCCATCGCGAGACCGTTTCAGATCCAACTTGGGCATTTGCCTTGTGTATAAACATTCTCGTTCGCGATTTCTGATACGACGATGCCGTGCAGAACCCTTTTCGCGATTTCTGATACGACGATGCCGTGCAGAACCCTTTTCCCAGAGCCCGAGATAGACCAGTTCATTTACATATCCTCGCGCCACCGTGCGCCTTACCACCGCACACGCAAAGCCAGAGCTCGCTAAAAGTTGACACAGGCTGTTGAGTTGGACCCTTGGTCGGTTGCTTGGACTCAAAGAATGGCCCCTCCGAAAGCGACAATGGATCAGAATACAAACCACGCATCCCATTTACGCTGCATGAGTGTATTGACTGGTACTTACAATGTACGTAGATAGAAGTTGAAAATATCATTCATTGGCAATGCAACGACCAAGTGGTTTTGGTCCCAATTTAGCGCATAGGTTTCACTCGCGAAAGGACGTCGATACAAATGCCTCGGATCGCGCCCACGTCGTCGGAGGACGCGGATGAGAAGCAGGACAAGGTGCACCCGCTGGGAACAATTCCCGCGGCGTCGCGCATGTCGTTCTCGACGGGAAAATCCCTCCGCAAGGCGTCGCTGCAGCCGGGCACGGCACCTGTCATTAGTGTCGACGCGCCGGCCGTGCGCCGGTCGTCGCTCGGCCTCTCCACGTCCATGATCTACCCGCAGTCCCCTGCGGAGCGGCACGAGTCGGTCAAGGTCACGCGCGCAATGGAGGAGCGGTACGGCTTCAACTTTCTCACCAACGAATTCTCGACAAACGCGAGCTTGGAGAAAGAGTACCAAGCGTACTGCACCGAGATCAATTTGAACCCGGCTTGCAACTCGAGCATCCTCCTCTGGCTGCTCTGGATCGTCACGAGCTTGATTGAGCTCCCCAAACTCATTGGCGGCGACGCGACGGAGCGGTCGATCTCGCTCACGAGCCTCCTCTTCTCGCTGCCCGTCCTGGTGGCCACGCCATTTCTCGTCATGATCGTCCGCAACAAAAAGTACCAAGACCGCATGCAGCTCATCTTTTGCATTCTCGTCCATTTCTGTGCCTTCTCGCTCCTTGGATCCGGCCTCGTGTGTGCGAGTCAATTCACATTGCACATTGCCCAGCGCGACATTGGCGGCATCGAATCGATGGCGGCCAATATGAGCGCGGTCGCCGCCTCCTTCTGTGGGTACGTGGCGTCGGCCTACCCCGCTTCGTTTGTCGGCAACCTCACCGGCCAAGTCATGGTGTCGACCCCGAACGCGCTCGTCGTGTACAACAGCGTCGCGCTCAATAGCTCGCAGAGCTTTGGTCTCAACAACTACTCGAGCTTTTGGAGTTATCCCGATCGGACGGGCACGCTTCAAATGACACTCGACTACTATGTCACGGACGGTATCGTGTTGCGTTGGACATGATGTGGTTGCTTGATGACATTATTGTATTAGTCGTGCTGCCGATTGCGCAGCTGAATGCGAATTTGGTTCGACCGCTCATCATCCTTCTCATTGCGCCGCTCTTCAAGCTTGACACATATTACTTTATCGCAACGGCACTCACGACCAACTTGTGCTACTTTATCTTTCTCTCGCTCGTGTTCCCGGTCACGTCCGATCAGTACCTCATTCGCAACAAGTTCTACCTCGTCTTTGTACTCGCGGGCCTCTCGTCCATCATGGCGATCCGCGTGCGTCAAACCGACCGGTATGCCTGGATGGTCCATATTGTCTCTATATATGATGTGGTGTTAGGTTTATGCGGCTCAACTTTTTGCACATTCGATCGGTCGAAGAAAAAGTGCGCATCGCCCAAGAACAAAAAGAGCAAATTCAAAATGAAAACCGGTCCCTCAAACGCATGCTCGAAGCGCAGACCGGCCACGGCAGCGACGCGGTCTCGCCGTCTCCTATTAAGGCGTGGGTACTTAAAAACGTCTAGTTGGATTTAGACTCGCCCATGGCCAAGGTTATCACGGACCTCACCAAGATCCAGCAGTCGCCCAACCTCGACGCCGGGCTTCAGCAGCACCTCAACGAGATTGTGACCTTGCTCACCAAGCAGGGCCACAACCTTTTTGCGCCCGACATTCACGAACAACTCAAGTCCGAGTCTCTCCTTTGAAAAGCGTAATTGTAAAATGGGCTGTAGAATGAAGCGCGAAGTGGACCTCGATGCGGATACCAAGGGCTGGGCCACAACCGTCCTCGCGAGCAAATCGTACCAGCGCAACAACAACCGGCGGTCCTCGACGCAAAGCGACGAAGAGTCGGTCCAGCCCGTCATGACGCTGCGACCTGAAGTGCGCCTGCCCGACGAAGCGATCTTGAGCAAAGTCAACGACATGATGAAAGCGGGTGGCTGGAACGTCGACATCCACGCGTACGTCCATTGTCATATTGTCATATTGTACACAATTATTATACAACGAAACGATGTAGCGTTTCGGAGCTCTCGCATGGGAAACCGATTTCCTACGTGACGTATGTCATCTTTGAGCGCCACAACATGTTCAGCTTTTGCTCGGTCGAGAAACACACGATGATCAACTTTTTCTGGTTCATCGACGCCGGGTACCTCCCCAACCCCTACGTACGTTGTCGTAACGTGTGGTGAGTATTGTCTGATGTGGATCGTTGTATATAGCACAACAATTGCCACGCGGCCGACGTGGTCAACTATGTCGAGTTTATGATCTCGACCGTCGACAATGGGTTCTTCCTGACGCTCCTCAACATCCAAGAAGTGTTTGCCGCGATTGTGGCCGCCGCGATCCACGACTTTCGTCATCCGGTATTTTATAGTCGTTTTGCTAAACCTCAAGGCGCGGGCTAGGGCAAAAGCAATAATTTTCTCGTCAAGAGTCAGCACAGCCTCGCCGTGCGCTACAGCGACTCGTCGGTGCTCGAGCGCATGCACTTGGCCGAGTCGTTCTTTCTTGCGTCCGAGCGCGACTTTAACATCTTTAGGTGCGTCGAAAATCTAATTTTCTTGATTTTTCAACGAAAATGGCTAGTGGCATGAAGCCCAAGCAGTACACGGAAGTGCGCAAGGCCATCATCGAGATGGTGCTGACCACGGATCTTTCGGTGCATTTGCAGCTCGTCGGGTCGCTCAAGGCTGCACTTCTCTCGCAGAACCGCAACGACGTGATGGACTCGCCCATGATGCTCATGAAGATCATCATCAAGTGCGCCGACGTCGGGCACTCGTCCAAGTCGACGCAGCTCCACGCGCGCTGGTCGGAGCTCATCATTGAAGAGTTCTTCCTCCAAGGCGACGAGGAGAAGGAGCTTGGCATGGAGATCTCGCCGTTCATGAACCGGTCGCTCGAGAACAGTGCCAAGGTATAATCTTAGGTCGCGTGCATCTGGTCTGATATCGCTGGTGCCTAGAACCAACTGGGCTTTTTCGAGTTTATCATTCTGCCGTTCTTTGATGTGGTGGCCGAAATCGTCTTCACGCCAGGCTTCAAGCCGATTCTGGACCAAGTGCACATCAACTACAATTTGTGGAAGAAGGCAGAGACAATGCAGCTCAAGTCCATCAAGGACATCCTCGATCAAGTGTTTTACGTGGACGAGCACGCGACCAACTCGATGAGCCGAATATCGTTTCTGCCAAAGCAGCCGCCAACGCCGGGCAGCCCGACGAGCAACGCGATCTCGTAGCCACTATCTATTGCCGTGTATAATGCAAAAGTAGATGCTTTCTTATCACTATATTCGTATTGAAGCATTACAGACATCGGTGGACCTTGTCCATGGACGTGCGCGTGCGCGGCCCGCACCAGAACGCGCTCCAGTCGCCGTTGGTCGTGTACAAGGCTCGGACAACGTAGATGCACAGGGCGAGATTGCCGACAAGCAGCTGGGCGAGACACCAGAAAGCGCATGGCCACGTGTAGCCGTCGCGCGAGAGCATCCAAAAGCAAGTAAAGAGGTAGCCTGTCAGGAGGTTGGCGCCCACCGCGTCAATCGAGATGGCGAGCTTGGCGAGCGAGAAGAGGCCAAACGACGAGGTGGACACGGATGCACCGAGAAGCGACGCGAGGTCGAGCATGCACAGCACGATGGCACATAGAGTCGCAGCGACCCAGACGATGGGCGCTGCATGGCGACCGAGGTCCGCCGTCTCGGCGGCGTCGTCTGCTGCGCGCACGATCATTGTCCGGATACCGTGCCACCAGTTGTCTGCCGGCAATCAACCGAACGACGTTGAAGTGGTCGTCCGGATACGATACCGGAAAAGATCGCGTCATTTTCTAGAAGTGCAAACTGGTCGCACTAAGATAAGAATCCAAGATGCCATTGCATTGGCACGCGCTCATTGCCGCGCTTCTCGTGCTGATCGTCGACCGCGCGGTCGGTGCATGGAGCTACGAGAACGTCCTCCGCGTCGACTCGGTGCAGGCGCTGCGGGCGTCGGGCATGGAGTCCACACAGAAGCTCTGGGTCCTCTGGTATGGCGACGACACCGCGGCAAGCGCGCTAACCGCTTTGGACGACGTGGCGCGGGAGCTGCCGTACGCGATGCGCGCAGGCTGGATCTCCAAGGAGGTCGCGACGTCCATTGGCCTACAGTCGCTCACGCCGCCGCTGCTCGTGCTCCTGCGCGAGAAGCCGACATGGAACCCATACAAGGAGCGGCTTTTTCGTCCGCCGGAGCCCATGCCGATTTTGCCGAGCCAGATGGACCTTCGCACGCTCAAGAAGCTCGTGCGGGAGCGTGCGCCGTCCAACGTTCTCACGGCCTGGAACAGCTCGTGGCCGCCAAACGAAACCAGGGCCGTGCTTTTGACCAAGAAGAAGACGCCATCGCTTTTGTACAAGGCGCTCTCGGTCGACTTTCCATCGATACGCTTCTACTTGGTGGCCGACGAAGGCGATGCGCACGGTCAATTTCCCGCCGTGTCCCTTCCGACGCTGCTCGTGGGCCCCTCCGAGGCCGACTACAAGTTGTTTCCAGCAGAGAAGGACTTGACGTCGTACGATGACCTCGCGAGCTTTGTCCGCGACCATGCACCTCACAACAACAACGACAACAACACAGCCGAGCCCGAGTGGCTCAGCACGGCCGCGTTGGAAGCAGCGCTTGCGGAAGCGCACGCAAACGGAAACGCCTCTGCGTGGCTCGTGCTTGCCCAGCCCGAGACCTCGTCGCCCATCGACGTAGCCTCGAGCGCCGAGTGGGCCCAATGCGTCCAGGACATCCGTTCCAAAGCTGGCCTTCTCGTCCGCATCGCGCTCGTGCTCTGTGATGCGTCGTGGTGTGCCGACAAGCCCGGCGTGTACCATCTTCCGTACGCCAAAAAACCTTCGATCTCGGCGGCCTCGCTAGTGCCATTGCCATCGGTCGCTGCATCCGCCGCGTCGGTGCTTCGCACGCTGCCCGACACGACGTCAGGTCTCTACGGCAGCAACGACTTGAACGCGTTTTTGGCCGCATGCTCTCGAGCGACACGCTCAGCTTTGTGCTTTTCACAACCAAGGACGAGGCACCGACGGTCTTTCAAGCCGTTGCACTCGCCTACGCGCCCCGCCTCCAGTTTGGCGTCGTCTACAAGCCGTCGCCCGAGATCAAGGCGCAATTCGGCATTGGCCACGTGCCGTCCATGGTCGCGTTCATGACGCCGCGCGATCCAAGTGTGCCCAAAGAGCAATTCTCCATGGCGTTCTACGACAAGAAACAGCTGGGGCCGCCGACGTTTGAGAATATTGCTCGCTTCCTCGACCAGCTCCTTGCGTCGTACGGCCCGGCAACAACGGCCGACTCTGACGTTGCTAGCATCGTGCACGTGCACAGCAGTGAGAGTTTGGCGTCGGTCTGCAGCGGCGCGACCTTGTGTGTCGTCAGCGCTGTCGCCGATACAATTGCACCGCACGAAGAGATGCTTTTGGAGCTCGCGCGACAGAGCAAGGCGGCCGGCAGCCCCGTTGTGTACGTCTGGCTCGACGGCACGTGTCAAGCCAATGTAGCCCAGCAGCTAGGTATCGAGAGCTGGCACTTTCCCAGCGTCGCTGTCTACTCGCCGCTCAAGCACCGCGTCGCAACGCACGTCGGTGTCTTCGACGCTGCCAGTGTGGAAGCCTTTGTACATAGCGTCTTGTACGGCAAGACACGGACCGTCGCCATTGATGGTCCATTGGCGTGGATGGACCCGGCAGCCTGCACCGCCCGCTCGGCAGAAGTGGTATCGCCCGTTGTCGAGGAAGACGACGACGAGGATATGGCCGATGTGATGGCCGAGATCCTCGCCGACGAAGCCCGGCAAAAGGAGGCCCGCAAGCGTGCGCTGCAGGAAGAAATCGAGGCGGCCAAGAAGGCGGTCGAGGACGCTGCGACGCCAAAGAAGTCCAAGAAGAAGCTCAAGAAAAGGAAGAAGAAGACGACCAAGACGACCGAGAAGGACGAATTGTAGTTTGTACACGTCGAGATATATGGGTACGCTCAATAAAACGAGAAATTTGATTGCCATCATGTGACTGTTGTTTTTGGACAGTATAAAAGTTGATTTAGACCATGTAGCCCGGCAGCGTATCCTTGGGCCCGAACGCGCACGTGCCCTTGTCGTACGCGTTGACTTGCGTCGCCATTTGCGCGATCGCGCAGCAGTTGCAAAAGAAGCCGCAGAGACAGTCAACGAGGCAGTTGCCCGGAATCCGGAGCTTGTCGCGGACAATGTTGCGCACAATCATGACACAAATGCCGCATGCAAAGCTAGCACTGCTCGAGACAATCGCCCAGCCGCGGTTGTCGCTGTCGTAGACGTTGCCTTGACTCGTGTACGTCGAGTACTGCCCCGCAACCACCGACGTGATGGACGCCGTGAGGTACACAAGGCCAAAGACGAAGAGGCCCATCATGTACGAGCCGAGGCCGATGCGGTGTCCGATCTGCGCAAGCGAGACGCACGGGCACCAGTAGGCCATGCAGCAGTTGGGCACGCAGTCCGTAAAGCAGCCACAGATCCCGGCCTTCCACTGACCGACGACGAGGTTGTTGGCGTCGACCTGCATGCCGTCGGGAGCGACAGGCTTGACCGCCGGCGTGGGCTGGATCTCGTAGGCCGTCGTCATGGGTTGCTGTTGGTTCATTGTTGTCGTGATTGGCGTAAAATGTAAAATGAGCAGCTCCAGACCAAAGTGTGATATCGTTGATGTTGTTGATTCAAGGAAGTGTGGTGAGACGACGATTCCAGCTGGAACGTGATTTGAACCTGGTGGTCGGTCGGGTACATTTCTCGTATATGAACCTTGTACCTTTCTTCATGCCGACGAAGTAACGTTAGGTGGATATTGCCGGTATCTAGCATATCTACCTTCGGTAGCACCGCTGCATAATCTCGTGCCACCAACCCGAGTGGCTCCAAGACGAAATCGTTATGTTTAATTCCTGGCGTGAACACAATATCCGATCGGTCGAGTGCGATTTGAGGCGTGGAAAAGCCGCGCTCCTCGGTGTCTACAGTGTCCTGACTCAGTGTCCACATAAGAAGCGACCCGTGCAAGGGCGTGTCTCATTTTTAGTAGACTAAACGTTGCTGTGACGCATGCTTTGATAGCCGTCCATATCAGTACCCGGTATATACTAGGTGTACACTCCTCCCCATATATGGTTTCGCTTTCTTTGCACCAAGACCGCGCCAACTATAATACAGTACCGGTACCGTTACGTACACGCAACAAAGAAACAGGGCATCGAGCTCTCTCCACATTAACGTTATGGCTTGATTGAAATATTTGAAATGGCAGAGATGTTTCGTATATTTCCTGGTGGATTTATTTCCGTTGAAAGGGCGGCGAATCTCAACGAAATTTCGTAACAATAATGCCGCCAAGTTCCACGAATGCGGACCTCCCCGTTCGCCGCATAAATGGCCTTGATCGAAGCAATAATATGAAATCCTCGTTTTGGCAATACACTGCACACAAGTGATTTGCCAAAACGAGGATTTCGTATCACTTCGATCAAGGCCATTTATGAACTTGCTGTGATGCAACTTGCCTCCGGTGTGATTTTAGAATCCACTTCACATTTTGTCAATTTTCAAATTTTATACAAATTCACCAGAGGTTGGTCTACATCCACAACGAAAAATTGACTTAAATTTTAAATTTCACTGGAATTTAACTTTTCCCCTGCGGTTGATTTTGAACCCAAGGCAAGCGACAAGTTGTCGCTTGCCCGGACTACACCACACGAAAAAATCTTATTTGAGGAAAAGGGCCACCTCCGACGGCGCTTGTACCAGAACTTAAATTGTATTAATAGAATACACAAGTTGTACCTTTCTTACAACCCACAGGTTGCGCTTCCCATTTCACTCCAGACAAACGCCGGGTGCATACTATGGCTCGTCGCTAGACCACATGGCTGGACCCTGTCGACCTGCATACCACCCACCTGCTGACCAACATTCTGAAATGGACCGCTCTCGTCGCGTGCTGGTGATCAGAGTGTTGGTTTTGGACGCGACCAAGTCCAACGACCACCAGATGGGCGAGAGCCGGCGTTGCAGGGGTCGCATTAGGATCCTTGTATGCCGCTAATTACCGTGTATTCTGCCAAGGAAATATTATCCATGCGCTCTCACTACGCCGTGCAAAAGTACCGACATCAATATTCTGGCGCGCTACGGATTGTTGCCCAGATAAGTTAGTACACGACGAGTTTCGCCGCTCATGGTACCTGATGCGCACTGATATGTTTTGCCTGGCATGATTGTGCGCAACATTGTCCGCGACAAGCTCCGGATTCCGGGCAACTGCTGCGTCGACTGTCTCTGCGGCTTCTGTTGCAACTGCTGCGCGATCGCGCAAATGGCGACGCAAGTCAACGCGTACGACAAGGGCACGTGCGCGTTCGGGCCCAAGGACACGCTGCCGGTCTACATGGCCTAGGCGGTCCGCAGAATATCATCACTCGAAGTATTTCGTAGTGCATCATTCATTTTCCCATCAACTTCTAGTGCCGTTGTGGTCAAAGCCCGTCAACGAGCCCAGTACCACTGTAAAAAGGGTCTTTTGAAAAATGGAGTGTCGACGGTTCGCGAGGGTTTAATCTTGAGCTTCGTTCTTGGTGTACCCAAACCCCGGACTTGGCGTCGGATATTTCATTACAGCAGCCTTCGATGTACTGATACTAGACTGCTCGTACGTGCAGACCATGTTGTGTGAGCATCAAGCGCGAAGTGCGGCACGGTTCCTGGACGAGACGGAGGCAGCTGTTCCGGCCACAGCGGACGTGTTGTCCACGCCTTCCCAGATGTGTGCGCTACTTCCGGTCTCGGTCTGGCGTACCAATGCCGACGCTCAAGAAATCGCGTAGTACGTTGATATCGGAAACGAGTCGTTTTGCACGGCCATCTGCCGCCATCTGCCGCCTCTTCCAGCCGCCAGTAGCGGTCTCGGTCCTCAAGCTCGGCGGGACCAATCTACGCACTCTTCGACACGGCGCCGCGCTACAAGGGCAGCCCAAACATTCGCTACGTTGGCACTGATAGCTTTGTGTAATGCTATCGCAACAACGGCGAGCTCGAGCTGCGGCTCAGCCTCCTCCTCGAGGCGCTCGACGTCCACGCATCGGCCAAGAACGAGCGAAACGCTGTCGACACAGGAGAGGTCTCGCCGCTTACAGTGCACGATCTCGTACTGCCCATGAGCATCCAGTGCCAAGGCACAAGGAAGACCAAGGTGTCGCCGGCGCCAGCGCGGAGCGTACGCCTCGGTCGTCGGTGTGAGCTGTCGGTGTGGTGTCTGTGAGCAAACTTCGAATATAATATATGTGTTGTCCAATCCAAACGCTTGCTTTGGTGACGCGATCGATATTTTCAACCAATCGCAACGCATTCGATCTTCGATAGATCTCGGGATGCAGGCCACGAGCGCGTGGTCAGGCCACGCCGTCGTCGCCGCCCTCGCCGCCGCCACATTCGCCAACACCCTCACCTGTGGCTTCGTCTGGGACGATCGCGCCGCGATCTTGACCAACCGCGACTTGCGCACGGACGAGACGTCGATGTGGGACCTCTGGAGCCACGACTTTGGGGCAGGCCACTCACGTCGCCGACGAGCCACAAGAGCTATCGGCCGCTCACAGTGCTCACGTTTCGAGCCAATTACGCTGTCGGCGGCTACAATCCGATGGGCTACCATCTACTAAACGTCCTTCTGCACGTTGCGGCATCGGTGCTGGTCGTCGCCGTCGGCCGTCGGGTGGTTGCCCCGTTCGGCGCTTCGCACGCGCCCGTCTTCGCCGGTGCGCTCTTCGCCGTGCATCCGATCCACTGCGACGCGGTTGCGAGCGTCGTTGGCCGCGCCGACGTACTATGCACGTGTCTCTCGCTGCTGGCGTTTTGCCTCTACGACGCGTCCGCGTCGGCCACTTGCACCCACTGGCCACTCTACGTTGCGAGCCTCGTCTGCATCCTTGCAGGTAACTCTTTCTCTTCTCACAGTCGACGGAGTGCCCTCATATCACTATAGCAACCTTGTGCAAGGAGCTCGGCGCCGCAACGCTCGGTATCCTCGTGACGCTCGAGCTGCTACGCGCCGCGCCGTCCAAGTCCAAAAGACTCGGTCCATCGGCTGGCGTTGTCCGCACGGCGGTTCTTTTCGGTCTCGGCAGCGCCGGTATTGCCTCCCGCATCGCGCTCAACGGCGGCCAGACCCTGTATGCGTGGTCGATCTTGGAGAATGACGTGTCGCTCCTGCCATGGGGCGTTCCGCGTCTCCTTACCACGCTGCACACGCATGGCTGGTACCTCTACAAGCTCTTTTGGCCGCAGTATCTCTGCAACGACTATGGCTTTCGAACGATCCCGATCATCGCGTCTCTCTTCCAGATGGAAAATGTCGGAACATTGGTGGCCTATGCATCTCTCTTGGTGCTGGTAGGCGTGGCGTTCGACCGCCGACGGACATCGCCGCTGCTTTTGCTCGCGTCCTTTGGCCTCTTTCCATTTGTACCGGCCGCCAACGTCTTGTTCCCTATCGGCACCGTCGTCGCCGAAAGACTCATGTACTTTCCCAGCGTCGGCTTTTGCTTCGTCCTGGGGTACGCACTCGAGCATGCGCTACGTGTCTCGATGCGATGGCAGTCGTTGCTGCTCGCGCTCTTGTTTCTCTCGCTGCTTACTGTCGGTGCCGCCCGGTCGATGGCCCGCAACTTCGAGTGGTCGTCCGAAACGCGCCTCTTTGAATCGTCGGTGCTCACGGCGCCGTGGAGCGTCAAGGGCCTTAGCAACTTGTCTAAAGTGCTGCTCGGACCCGATCCGCCGCGGGCCGCCGCGTACCTTGAACGTGCGCTCTCGGTCGCGCCACGCTACGCCGCCGGTCAATTGAACCTCGGGCTTGCCTACATTCGCATGGGGAAGCCATTGCATGCGATGCAGAACCTTCTCCACTCGATCGACGTCGACGCGAGCCTTGCAGTACGTGTGTATGTATCGTCTCGATACTTTGATAGTACTGTATTGAAATATTGAAACAAACGCGCCATCGTAGGCGTATGCGTATCTGGGCCGGTGCGCATCGAGCTTTTACCTCGCGTCGCAGCTAAAGCAATTTCCGACGAGCAATGCGACGCACGCGTGCCAGCTCGCGCACCAGCTGCTCGACTATACGATCGCCCAAGGCGCGAGCATGCCCGGTCTCTTCTTCGCGCGCGGTCTTTTAGCCTACTACACGAGCGACTTTAGCACCGCCGTCACGTATGCACATCTTATTCCTAGAACTCAAAAGCTTTTTGAGAGGGACGTAGGCAATTCCGCTCCACAGTGCAAGCCAACGAAGCCGTGCGCGCCCGAGGCTACGACCTAGAAGAGCTC